CTAACCATCCTTCACTAACCCTCCTTCACTAACCATCCGTCTTCCTTCTTTTCACATTTATAGAACCTTTTATATCACAAAACTTGAATCTCTTTGCTGGCGTTTTCTACTCGCTCGTTCACAGCTTTTCTTTTTGACAGTAAGGGGGCGGAGCCAGTTGCGATGATATCTCATCTAATTGGTTATAAACCTTGTCTTTGGATTGGCTGGAGATGTGCGTTCCCAGAACTGTAGAAGCCACATTTCCACACGAAAGAAAAGGGATAGAAAGCCAAAATTATGAGAAAAGATTTTTCAAACTTGAAATTTTTGAAAAATGAAAATAATCTATTCAAAATAAAAATAAATGGACGAAAAGTATTTTCAGGTTGACTCAGTTTTATAATTTTTTTAAATACATTTTTTTTTTCAATCTTTGTTATGTTTTTATATTCGCTGTATGGTTGCAGATTTTATTCGGTTTTCAGATTGAAATCTTATATTTTCAAGTTCACATTCGGATCGTTTTTTTTCTCACATTCAGACTTTTGACCCTGACGTGGCGTAGGGGGCGGGGCATCAACTGAGAGGGGCATGTTGATTGATCAACGCAGCTCAGTCAGTGCTAATCGACCCCTGGCACCGACACACATTTGGTGTTTGTATGTGATGCACCCACACAGACAGAGGGAGGCCACACAAGGCCAGCTCTGATGAAGACGCTGCGTAACAGGGCGTGCGGTGGAGGACACAAACGCAGAGAGGTCAGGAGCGAGGGATGGTCATATATCAAAAAGAAACACAACTAACAAAACCAAACAGGGCAGAGCTTTCCACAAAATAGCACCGCACAACACCTCAATTCACACAATGGATGAACCAACAATGAGACATGAAACACCCACGGGTTAAATACACAGCGAAGGTGCAGGTGATCACACACGGTTGGATACAATCAGGAAAGAGGCACACAATTAAAAGTGTTCACTTTGAATCATATTAGGGAAGGACGGGAAGTGAGGCAAGGAAGCACATGCAATGCTTGAAAAATAATTGCCCCATTCCTGGAATCTGTTTTTTTTTGCATTTGTCACATTGGATTTTTTATATAATCAAAAAAATGTCAATATTGAAAAAAGAACCAGAGAGTTTAAATGCATTTTGATGGTTTAATTTATTATGGGGGGGAAAACTCTATTCAAACTTACCTGGCCTTATGTGAAAAAGCAATTGCCCCCTCACCCATTAAGGCAGTTGTATCCCCCTTTGGGGCAACAACCGCGTAAATCATTTGCAATAAACGGCAATGGGAATTTCACATTGCTGTGGAGCAATACTGTCCCACTCTTCTTTGCATAATTGTTTTAATTCAGCCACATTGGAACAGAAAGTTATGTTTAGGCAACAAAACCACTAAATTGAGTTTAGGAAAAGTGCGTTGCAAGATTAGCCTGACTAAAAAGGGACACAAACTCTGCGTGAAAGACTCTTTTTCTGTCTCTTATAGCAAGTCCATTGTTCTTAGCGTCTGATACTAACACCAGTTAGTACATTGGAGTAATTTGAATTGGTATGTGACTCATAAAGAAGATAATAAAGCATGCCGTTAAGGAGTTGGGAACGGGAAGGGGTTAAGTATAATTATAGAGTAGATTGAATGTATTCATTTATGAATCTCTGATTGTGGGGAGGAAGTAAATACTGTAAGCATAGTGGGCAATAGTCCTATCAAATGTTGATCTTAAGTAGAACGTCGTCCATTCCCAATCATTGACAAGATTCAGTTTGTTGGAAAATATAAACTTTTTATGCTAAATGCTGCACATGAAGATAACAATGCATTAGAAAAAAATTAAGTACAATAATAAAGTAGTTGTAATAAAAAGGATAAAGGTGAACTGGCTAAATAAATGATTGGGGGTGAGGGAGAGGAAAGGAGGCAGGGAACCAGCGAAGGAGATGGAGGTAGCAGTGAGGACTAGGAAGGGAGGGGGTGATTGTTACTGGGGCCTTGGAGGTTTCCAATTTCTCTTTTTTTTCAGTTCCCTGCTCACATGCAGAATGAAGCTCTTCTCTTATTTTTCTCTCTCTTATTTTCTCCAGACCAGTGGGACTTTCTGCAGAAGGGCCCCTTCCTACCCAGCCAAACATGTTGTAAACGACTGCAGTGGAGAAAGCAGCAGAGAAGAAAGGAAAGTGGAAGATGGGATGTTGAAAGAAGGTAAACCGCTGCTCTTTGTTTGAAAATCTGAGGAGGAGAAGGAGGGAGCAGAAAACATGGAGGATTTAGTTCCCGCTCTCTTTGTGCTCAGGGCCTGACCAGGGACACACACTTCGGTGTGTATGTGCTGATGCACGTGTGTTTGTAACTAGCTGCTGAGGGGAAGAGTAAATCACACATTTAAAAAATCAACCATGAATATCACTCATCACATTTCTCCATGTTGATAAAGCAATGCCATCTTCATTGATTTGTAGTTGTCGGAAAAGTTCGGATCACACAAGTCGAGAACTGTACTGATTATGTAAGTAAGTAATTACTGAGTCTGTCAACCTGAACACATTCATCTGTGATTAATGCAACAAAATATTTATTTTGTACAGGTAGGGGCGAGGTAAGGGCAAATTATGATTGGTATGCTTGGATGTTGTATTTCTGTGGGTTTGCCCAGGTTTGTCTGAGAGAAATTATACTTCTATCAGCGCCTTCTGCTTTGTCTCGGCTAGTGATTTGGCATGCGGTTTACTTTTGTTGGTTCTGGCTCGGTTCCGGGAACAAAATTGGTGATGTTAGGATACAACAGGTTTGTGCAAGATTAGTTGAGTCAGAAGTTTTGCTCTGCTCCTCCTTTGTCAGACTCTCACCAAGTGCTCGAGATACTCCTGCTCGGCCAAATGAACCAAGAGGAGAAGGCTCTGTAGTTCTTTCCGTCAGTCAAGGAGCAGCTATCTCCGCTGATTTTCTGGGGCTGGTAGTTTCAGAGGTGCACAGCGTGCTGCTCGGACCTGGTCTTGTGCCATCCAGGATATCCATCCTGGCTCCTTTGATGAGAGCTTCTTCTAGTAGCCAGTGTGGGCCATTGGAAGAAGTGCACTCCAGTCTCCTCTATTGACACGGTAGCCCTGGTTGGAACGCTAGAAAAGCACAATACAACTATAAGTTAATTTACTATTTTAAAATGTTCCATACCTTTTAAAAGTATGTCATCCTTAATAAACACCACCTCCCTTCCTTAAAAAAGTGTGTTACATCACTCCAAACCACCACAGACTGGAACCTTAGTGTTGACACTCGCTTGCTATGTGTACGTAACCTCGTCGCCCTTTTCTTTTGGTAAAAACAGCACACTTTGACCCAATGCAGCCTGTCCCAGGAGAGGTCCACTAAGATGGCCTGTGACCTGCAGTAAACACACCATTTAGGTGTTTCCATCCAGGAACGATTGTGTCACAGAACAGAAGCCACCAGATTAATAAAAGTCCTGCCTGCACCCAAAATTCAGATGCCCCCGATTCAGTTCATTTTATTTTGTATAGCCCAAAATGGCAAATTGTCAGAGGGCTTTACAGCGACATCCTCCGTCCTGAAACCCCCCACATCATCAGGAAAAACTCCCCCAAAAAGTAAAAAACCCTTTGATGGGGAGAAAATAGGGAAGAAACCTTAGTGAGAACAGCAGAGGATGGATCCCCTCCTGGGATGGACCGACTGCAAGAGATGTCATGTGTACCGAATAGACAGCATAAAATATCTACAATACCTTTTATTCCTACGATAGAAATGATTGAAATATTACTACCAAATATAGACTAGTAAGCCAGGCGGATGGCAGGACCAATGCAGACCACAAGCACCATCCACAGAAACCTGTGGGGAGGGGGAGCACAAAGACACTAAGGTTGGTTTATGATGATAGTGTTTAAAGCTGTATGTGTCAGCAGGGCCATTAGGGTCCAGATATAATCCTGCTCCATGGAAAACACAAAAACTCTAGGGAAGAAGCTAAATTAGTGATGAGCATTCTAAATGTGAAAAAGAGGCTGGATAACAGAAGGTTCCGGCTTCCATCTTACTTTAAGCAAATTTTGGATTGAACAAAAAGTTGAATCCAAAAAAACGTTTTTAACAACCTCTCAGATAGATACCAGATCATCTTGATTTGGTAAAATCTTCATACCTTGGGTCGCACTTCATTTCATTATCTGATGGTGCAGAGTCATTTTTCTATCCGCCTTAAAACATCCAGTCGATCAAATAAACATTAACACCACTGAAATCCTCTAATACCCTGAACACCAAAGGTCAGTTATTCCTTTCTAGGCCGTGGACAGTCTCCATATTTATAAAAGGAATTAATAACATCAAAGCTGTGCAGTCAACTGAAAAAAATGAAAACCTCTTTTTTAATGGAAATGGAAGTACTCCGTTTTTTTTACAGCAATGTGGTTCAAACTAGAATCTCTAACTTTTCTCACTGTTCCTTTTTGTTTTTCCTACTATTTTTCCAAATTTATTATCTCCCGGAAACGCTTTCCCCCACCTTTCCCTTTACCTCATTTATTAGAGCCCCTCCTTCACTCTCCATCCTCAGTCCTTAGATGCTCCTTTTTTAATTCACCGTTCACCAAAGGAGTGGAATGTTTTCTTCTTCAGCACAGGGTCTCTCCTATTAGTCCGGACACATACAAACATACAAGCATACATACAGGAATAAGAGATGTCTCAGAATGACAAACACAGAGACAGAGTGGCGGACAGTAAATGTCATAGTAAATAAGCTGAGTGTTGCAATTCTAAGCCAGCGTATGTGTGTGTGTGTGTGTGTGTGTGTACCTGCGAGAGAAGGGGATAAAGGGAGAGAGAGGAGAGGGAGGGTGAGACATGTGGGGAAACAAGCAGAGAGAGAAAGAGAAAGCCATGCAGTCCGTAGGAGAGAGAAGAGGACAGCGGTGTGTTTCCCCGTTCTCTATCGTGTCTCATTTCTCATCCGTCCAGCCGTCTTCTGCACTTTGGTACATGACTGACGCAAAGGAGGATGTTGAAGTTCCGTGTGGACAGGAGAGTCGGGTAGGTGGTGGGAGAGGGGAGGGAGTGACAGTGGGCTCGCGAAAGATGAGGAAGAAGAGGGGAGGAGGGGAGGTTGACGGAGGAGTGGACAGCCAGCGGCTTGGAGGTCAGAGATGACTGCATTGCAGTGCCAGCAGGAAGCACAGGGAAACCAAACCCCCGCTGTGTATGTAAGGCTTATATGCGTTACTTGTGTACACTGATTTTTAGGATGCTGTGTACTGGTAAGTGTGTGTGTGTGTGTCTGGCGGGGTGTGTTGTTGGTGAAAACCTTTCCTTACTGTGGGCCGTCGATCAGGCAGTGGGACTAGAACGTAACGTCATGTTGTGCCAGTTTGATCTACTGAGTCCATTCTGAATGCAATACTCACTTAGGACATCTGATTGCAATTCGTTTGTACAATAATGCTAATAAATAAGAATGAAGAACATTTATTCTTCAACTTGAAAAAAAAAATGAAGGTCCACTCAAGCGTTTTCCAGGGTTTCCTCACCAATCAGCCGTCATGGAATCATGGATTTCGCTCAGGCATTGATCGCAGTGACCCAAGTCCCATACTAGACTCCATATGCTGACCAAACATTAAATGTCTTTTTTTAAATGGAAGGAAGGAAGGAAATCAGTAATTAACATAATTTACATGTGGTGTTTCATGTACTTCTGTACATGATACATTTAGTGAGTTGACAGGACTATACTGAAGGGAGTCAAGTTGTAATAAGACAGAACGTAATGCATTGAGACACGGTTGAAGAGATTTGTGATTCCTGCTCTTATGAAAGACAATCTATTCATATCTGTGAGGTCTAGAAAATAGGAATCTAAAATAAAAATATCAAAATGCAGATTGATGTCTGTGATTTTACTATACAACTATTAGACAACCTCTACTTCTTCCCTCTTGTTACTGGAGGTCACTGGTCCCAATGCTAAATCTCAGTTGTGGTCTGATCTCTAGTTCAAATACTCTTATTTCTGCAACATCAATCTCTTTTATCTCACCACAGCGCATGTCTGACCGGATGTTGATGTCTATGGAAGAGTGATTTTTAGGTGTATCCATATAGGAAGTAGCATTAACTCCCTTCTCATGAGCGTCTGTGCCTTTTCCCCACCTGCTGTGTTTTAATACCAGCTCCTTATAATTTGTTCAACATACCACCAATACTTCATCCAGTAGGGTTAGGGTTAGGGTACTCAACACTGACTGTTAGAGTTGGTCGTCACGCAGCCATCACCTATCGGGTTAGGGGAGGAGAAAGGTGGTTGATAATCGTTAACTGCGTTAAGGGTCTAAAATAATGGTCATTGATGTTCATGATGCTTATTGATGTCTATAAGAAGCTGTACATGCAGGTACTGGATCAGGGGGGGTCCAGGTGAGGTGGAACAACCTCCAGGAGGAACAATATGGCTGGGTTACCTGAGTAAAACAACACAAGGGGCAGTTTGTTCTCACGTCTTTTTCTACTTAAAAACACAACAGCGGTGGTCATTAATAACTTCAGTTCTATCAACTACGCCATATAGAAGAGATTTACAATGAGTGTGTTAACTTTTTCCATGCATGTGACCTCAAAGAGCAGTGCGTCTTTATTCTATATTAATACTATTGTCTACAGTCTCAAATCAAGGGGGTCTCGACCGGTCAAGACCGTGAGCCTTGGATGCGTTTTCTTTTTTTATTCTGTGTGTACTGCCTGCTGTGAGTCTAAGAGCAGCTTGAACCTCCTACTGGATGTGTGCTGCTATAAATAGGATTCATAGAATTATAGTGTCAGGCTTATGAATGTCATTAAGTACTCACATAAACAACAACAAAAATAAAAAGACATTGTAGTGTTTTAAACACAGGCAGACAGGCACATGTGAGTTTGAAGCCCTGGTGTAGTACCCTGAATACGGTTACGCAAATTCAGCAAGGACACAGCTAATGCATGCAGACACCTGATTCTCAGTACGATTTCATTATTTTCCGGGCAGCTGTAAAACACACTCCTAGTTTTATGATGCGCAATAACAACTTTCACATTTAATAACACATTAATAAAGAATGGCTTGAACTGTGATGTTGATCCATGTCCTTTGTGCCCCCATCGGTTTCCAGTCAACATGACCAGAGTGGACCAGCTGGACCGGCAGTGAGCAAGTTCCAGCTGGAAGAGCAAACAACAATACACTCCAATCTCCAGTAAGTGTGCTATAAACTAACTTTTTTATGGGAGCAGTTGCAACATCTAGCACGACGTATTCATTTACAATTCAATGCAATACGAGTGGAGCAGCAGCAGTTACTGACTGCCGGCATGTAAAGATTTTTACCTCTCAGTTGGCTACTTATCAACAAAAATGATGCAGAACAACACAACTTACAAGAGACTGTGAATGGGAATGCATCTTTAACTACTGCCTGTGCAGAGAACTGACAAAGAACTGTAAAAATTCAGCGTGCTAAACACATTATATTTACACTATATTACATGTTGTTTAGCTGACACTTTTATCCAAAGCGACTTACAATAAGTGCATTTCAACCACAAGGATACAAACTCAAAAGAACAAAAACCAACAATGTGTGATTTCATTAAATAAGCTGATTAAACTTGCTATAGATAAGAGCCATTATAAGTACAATTTAAGTGCTACACTTTGCTAGTGTTTTAGTGGAGGTAGAGTCTGAAGAGGTGTGTCTTTAGTCTGAAGATGTGAAGGCTCTCCGTGACAGCAAAGAGTCGTGATCTAGTCGAGTGTTTTGCTCTCAGTGAGTCAGGTCCTGTGTAGGAGAATCCGTTCAGTCTTGTCGAGGTTGATTTTCAGATGGTGAGCGGACATCCACTGAGAGATGTCAGTCAGGCAGGCAGAGATCCGTCCTTCCACCTGATTAGTCAATTAATCAGATCACAATAAGAGGCTCCGATGCACAAATACAAGCTAATTTCCTTTTTCTTTTCAGGCACGGTGCTTTGGAGATGAATGGGAAGGTAAATAATCCTTCTGAGAGAATCACCCACTCCAAAAGTGCCAACATGGTTTCAGACCTGTCCACAGAAACCCAACCCTACACTCGGGTAACACACACACAAACACAACCGCACGGAAATGAACCCATCCAAAATGGTCAATTACACTCAGCAACCCTAGTTTGTAGTGACTGATTTCCCTAATTGGATGGTATCGGCTACATCTATAAAAAAACCAAACAATCACCAACTTTTCTTAAAACATGTGAAACAAGTTGACCCCAAATCTATAAATGGAATGAAATACTTGATTTTCTGTCAAACCTAATATCCCAGACAGTGTAAGTTGAGTTGTTTGCTCACAGTTATTTAGTAGATACTGTTAGAACGTGTTTACTCGAAACCAGTGTAAAATCACGTGAGTATGTTGTTTATTTGAATACTATTTGATGCTATCATCTGGATACTATCTACAAATCATCCTGAACATGTTGTACCAGAAAAACACACGTCTCTTTGTGAAAGGTCACAGTCTCTGTGCCCACCAAGACGAAGCATTATTTAGGTTTCATCACCAGATACATAACCAACATCTAACAAATCTTCCTCCTTCTCGTCTATCTCTATCCATCTCTTCTGACCTGCAGACGTCTCGTACTCCCAGAACAGCAGCTACGTTTGGGAAGCGCTCCAACTCCATGCGCAGGAATCCCAAAGCAGAGGTCACCAAGCACGGATGGCTGCACAAGCAGGTAAAACGGGTTTTCTCTAATGTCATATGAAAGCAACACTCCTCCAGTAGGGTTTTAGTTTTGTAATCCAATACATTCTCACTCTCAGCTCAATTGGTCCGGAGCACCACTCTTAAATAAGGAGCTTCCCTGGCCATAAACCGATGTTTCCTCCACAAAAGCCATGTTTGGAGAGTCTCTACCTTTTTAATATTTTTTATTACTCAATAAACAATGTTTGTGTATGAATAACTAAAATTTTTTTTACTAAAATTATTTTCTATTGTGTTAACATTTCAAAGTCAATACATGACAACTACTTAGATTTGCAGATTAGCAACTGCAAAATCATTTTAATCTAACTAGACTGGAAAAAATTGAAATCAGCATGACCAGAAGAACAAGGTTCGTTGATATTTAGTTTTTCATATATTTCCACCATATTATCTACCCAGATAATTGTTATTGTTGCTGCTCTTTAAGTTATGAGGCAAAAAAATAACAAATAACAAAAAATTGCTACCATTTCTGCTTTGTTTTTCTTGTATTTAATATGGGCTAAAACTGCATTTAGTTGTGCTGCTGTGTTGCATGATGACAATAAATAATCCAATAATCCTTAACTGTGCATACTTTACCAAGCTTGATGGCAGAAACTGTAGAGACACATTTGTTGTTGGTTTTGGATGTTTATGACATGTGTTGACAGATGATGATGAGTCATAATGAGTCATAATGAGCGTACACGTGTTCCTACAGGCCAGCAGTGGAGTAAAGCAGTGGAACAAGAGGTGGTTTGTCCTCACTGACAGATGTCTCTTCTACTATAAAGGTTCGTGTTTCCTTCGCTTATCTTGCTCAAGTATCTGCTTCTATTTTTTTATGTCATAAAATGTTTGTTGTGTTTTTCCATTAATTCAGATTACAGAGATTTATCATCATGTTGAGACTACATATATATCACCTGGGGATGGCAAAAAATTGCTGATCACTGAGGTTTTAAATTATTATTAAACCGCTTGTCAACTGCCAACTACCACGGCTTACTTTCACATATACATGCAACACAATCCCAGTTACATTGCAATTTTCCCTTTTATTTAGATTATACAGACAAAAAAAACAAAATATCTAAAAAATAGGGTAGGAGGATGGGTCAAACGTATTTGTATGAATAGTGTAGTGTTCATGTGTGAAGATGTGTGAATGTTCATACACTCATCAGGGAGATTGATGGGTCACTGAGCTAACTTTGGGCTCCAGCCTGGTTTCATGACAGTTGCTCTCCTTTCAGCGGAGTACATCACCATGGTAATGCTGGCTGCAGTCTCTGAACAGAAAACACTTTAACAGAATCTTAATAAATAACCTGCTGTGGCTAAATGCCATCTCCGTAACAAAAGATGAGATAAGCAATTACACGCCGCTAAGTGAGGGTCTTGCGGTCAACATGGAATCTCAACCAATCTGCTTTTGTGTATTGGTGTGCCTGTAAAAATATCAGTAATATTGGAGACTTAGTATGACTTCAGGGGTCTTTTTCTTGTCCTATAGTAACCGTAGGGCTCATGTCTCAGTGATCTGTTATTGCTCCTATCTGCTACCTCAGAGCTAGTTGCAGCCTTAAATAACCTTGTGGAGAATTGCAGTAATAAAGCCAGGCAACGACTACTACTCTTTTTATTCTCATCACGTCTGTTTTGTTTCAGCCTTCCCCCGCCTCTCACTGGCCCAGCTGTGTTTTGCAAAAGTAGGCTTAGAGAGACCGAGCGGCGGAGGCAGGAATTCGTGACAAGACAATTTACCACCGCGATTGCTATGCGAGGGACAAAGGGACAAAACAATGGGCCCCAGAGGAGGAGAGGGGCAGGTATTTTGTTGTGTAGGTTATGTCTTAATCTTTGGGTCCTCCCAAACGCACAGCAAGTGTGTTGGTTACAACAAAAGTGTTGACGTTTTAGTAAATATGTTATATTACAGATATTTCATAGAACTGAAGGAAATATTCTATCCAGGTTAACTATTTTTGCCAAATAAGGATATGCAAGCTCCACGTAAAAATACACCTCAGCAGGCCGCTTTCGACACAAATGAGCTCCACTTAGTAGCTTGTTTCCGGCAGCTTGTGTCCTTGATCTCATTCTTTTGATCATGTTCAAAAGCTCTTGATTAGGTGAGGGTTGATAGTTAGACTTTCGAACCTAACTGGTCAACCACATCTCATATCTAATTCGACCATCAGCCGTTTTCAATATCCCAAGTTACCCCCAAACTCTCTTTTTTTGGGCCAATGATTCCATACCCCAAAATGAGAGTTCAATTCAAGTTGACAGAGAAAGGATAAACTACTCTACAGAAGGCTTTTGGGAAGGCCTCACATCAGACTAACGTCCGGCTCAGTTGAGTTGAGATCGGCCAATTTGCGTCATTCTACCACTTTATCGCTTCATACAATGTTAGTCATCTTCACAAAATGAACAATACAGTTTGCACTATTTGACAACATCCCTCGATATGGTCCACATTTTTTATCCTCTATTCTTCTAAACATGACCTAAGCTAAGCTCGAATTTTCCATTCTGAGGTTTTATCAATTTGCTGAGGCCAACCAAAGATCCTTCTATAGTCAGCTCTCAATTGTGTGTAAGAGTGGTCTTGGGTGTGCGTAAATTCTGTTCCTACCTAAGAACGAATCCCAAATAAGAAAACATTGGAGAATGCCAGAATCTTTGTGAAAACTGTGTAAATGGGGATTAAGCACAAATGTGTTCTTTGGTGAATGAGGCCTAATGTTCTTAGGCTGATGCCACCACAGGCACTGAGAATATTCCAACCACAACTAGCAGAACCAGCCAGATGTTCTGTGTCTTCCACCTACCGGATTGTTTTTTTGGGAAACCTTCCCTCTTCTGATCCAACCTAACGCCAACTGTGATCGGATTTTAATTCCAATATCCAAAACATACTGCTGCATTATTCCAAACCTAATGTTCACCACTGGCACCTTCATACTGTATAGTTGGGCTCCAGGCACTGAACTGACTCTGGAACCAAACTCTTGGAGAAGGGTTGGACTTTTCTGGAGTTGGCTTAAGGTGAGAGGCGCCGGTTGAGAGTGGGGATACTCACGAGCCCCCTTGAGTAAGGTTCTGACTGTTGTCTATGTTTATCCAGCAAACAGCAGTTCAGAATCACTGGGAGGGGTCCTGGAAAGGGCACCTCCTGCCGACTCCATATTTCTCCTGAGAGACTTCAATGCTCACGTTGGCAATATTTGGAGGAACAGCCAGCCCAATCTGAAACCAAAGGGTGTCTCGGTGTTCGACTGTGTTGATCAAGGTTTGTCCACAACTAACACCATCTTCGAACATAAGGTGGACACCTGGGGTGAAGGAAGTCTCCAACCTGAAGAAGGAGGCCTTTACTTTAAGGAACTCCTGGTCATTGTTGGGCCATTTTGGCTGACATGCCTTTTCAAAATTGCCACCGCCAGAAAGTAGTTTAACTACCTCAGGGTCTTGTTCACGAGTGAGGGTACGACAGGCAAATTGGCGCGACTGCAGCAGTAAAACAGGCTCTGCACAGGACTTGAATGGTGAAAAAAATTTACCAGGCAGTCTACGTTCCGACTCTCGCCTATTGTCACAATCTCTGAGTCGTGACCGAATGAACAAGGCCGCGGATACAAGCCGATATGAGTTTCCTCCATAGGGTGGCCGGGCTCACCCTCAGAGATAGGGTAAGGAGCTTGGACATTAAGACGTAACTTGGAGTTGAGGCGCTACTTCTTCAAGTCGAAAGAAGTAAGCTGAGGGGATTTGGGCATGTGATGCCTGCTGGACGCCTCCCGCTGGAAGTTCTTCCCGGGGAAGATCCAGGAGGGATTATCGAACTCCTCATGAATTCTCCTAACCATCTTTCCTTGCCCTCGTAACTTTTTCCACAGAGGTCAAGGAAAAGTGGTAGGGAAAATACGTTAGGAGGTCATTTTTGGACTATTAGAATCCAGCCTACATGTCCCAATTGGCATGGGAATGGCTCTGCGTCCCCCAGAAGGAGCTGGGAAATGTTTGCGGTGAGAGGGAAGTCTAGGTCAGCCTGCTGGGCCCGCTGCCACTGCAACCCGACCCAGGATAAGCAAAGGAAAATGGATGGATCAAGTTACATCATTTACCCTCTGAAAATACTCCAATCGTGTAAATCATTAATAATTGCTTTTACCCTCCTCTTGTCACTTTGTCTCACTATCACAGGGCATACTGAATGCATGTTCCTGGTTTCAGTCTATAAATACAGACATTAATAAATAATTCAAATTGGAGTGGTAGACGTGCACAGGAGAGGCAGTGTTTCTATTTACCTGCTGTCCCTTTATGAATGCTTGTATGTGTTTGTGTCACGGGCGCAGACAAGCAGCAGGTACAGTTGGCTGTGAGCCCAGATTCCTTCTATACTGAGTCACATGGGCTGATCATTATCTTACCAAACACACACACACACACAGAACATACCCAATCATATAGAGCAGGGATCAGGGTATTGTATGATTGCACAACCACTTACCCCTCCCCCAGACCTCTCTGTCTCTCTCCCTCCCTCTCTTTCTCTTTCTCTCTCTCTCTCTCTCTTTCACACACCCACATATAAACACTCACATTCAGTAGAGACAACGTCGGTGCGGGGCTACATTCGGGAAGTAAGAGGTAGGAGCTGACAGAGAGAGGAGTGTATTGCTTTTCACAACCGATCCTCTCCTTCTACAGACCTCTCATTGATGGCCGCTGTATCCCGTTGTGTCATTATCGCTGCTTATCCCAGCGACCCTCTGATAATGGATATCTATTTTAGGAAGCATTCACCGAGGGAGAAGAGAGGTTGCTAGGAGGAGAAGAGCTTGGATTCCACTCTCATTTTTGGACCCTGAACACTGCGTCTTACTGTTGTTTTATCCTGCATGCTGAAGGAACTGGCTCATGCTGTAATTGATGTTTCTCTCGCACAGTAGATGGAGCCATGGATTCGTTCAAGGATTCTGTTTTCTGATTTTATTCTCTAGGATGTTTTCACACGTTCAATTGTCTCCTCACAGATGAGAAGGAGGACACGGTGCTAGGAAGTTTGCCGTTGCTTAGTTTCCAGATCAAAGGAGTGGAGCCTTCGGATAACATCACCCGCAAGTTTGCCTTTAAGGTCAGTGACATCCTCACGGAGGGACAGAGTGTGCTGTGTTTTTGCATTTTATGCTGGGAATGCATCTTGTGCTGGGGAACATAATATGACGTCCAATGCTCATAAAAACAGAAACTCATTATTTTCCGAGTGTAGGCGGTGTTCTGATGCAGAGGTTTTGACAGGCAGTGGGTTTTCCTACTTAAAGAACCATTGCAACCATTGAAACATCTGCATTATTAACACTCATTGCAAAAGAAGAAGGATTTACTGATGTTTGAACCTGTTCCTAGTTCCATCCTTTTGGCTTAGTAAGGGTGTTGGTTTGGTTCTGGTTGATTGATAGAAGCTGGCCTGCTACAAGCTAAAGTCACATGATGTAATTTATGACCTTTGAAGAACCCCATGGGAACACCAGTCTCTCTTCCATTAGAGTGGTGGACTGATGGTTGTATTTCTATAATAAATTAGGAATTTTCATTCCTGTGCTTTATTTTTAGGTTGATTTTGTGTATAAGGTGTTGCTTATTGGGGTAATTTCCTACAAACAAGTTACTGGAGACGTTCTCTTACATTCAATTAAAGGAAACCCTTTAAGGTCCATCATGTTAGTTATTAGTGTGGAGCAAATATTTAGTCATTATTTGTGCTTTTCTGAACTCCAACAAGGTTGAGTTGTTTGGAAGAAGTTATCAACCAGCTACTTAAATCAACAATTTCACTTTTAAAGGTTTTTGTCTTCAATTGAAAACCAATTCAGTAGAATCTCATTTGTGATATCCAAGATGGACAGCACTGATAAAGCAATGAATTTGTATGAAAACATCCTCGTAGTCTGAAGAAACAGTGGGATTTCTCTCCAAGGTTTATGTGGTAGCAGGCAATCCACCAAAATCATATTAATGCTATAATTGCTGCTCCTGATAATAAGATCAAGGCTGCGTTTCTTCAGATCCTTGTGAATCACATTCGCAGCTCTGACAGTTGGGGACAAACAGTTCCTGAAAAACTGCAGCATACCACCTGACTAAAGAGGACACAGCGAGGATGTAATGTAGGTTAGCTTGATTTTAATCTGTGAAGTTTCAGCAGTAAAGTTTCTGCCAAGTAGAGGTTTATATAAGTTAGCCTTGTTTCCCCCTCCAGAATGAAACCATCCCTTTTAATCTCTTCCTGACCTCAATGTCTGTCAGTATCAGTTTTATTCCCTTTTAAGAACATTTAGTCCTTTTGTGGTTCTCTTTTTCTGAATGCCCAGTACAAGCTCTCGTGCAAAGTCCAGTGCATGTACCTACCGAGTGTACAAACACAAACACACACACACACACACACCTGCAGTGGAGATAGACAAAGCAAATATGCTCAGTGTGGCTTTGACAGTTTGCCAAAAGAGCTAGGTGCTAATACTGAAGTTAATACTGGAAACATGTGTAACATTAATATAAATGATAATGGCAGTGATTGAGACTACGATAGTAACACTGAATGTATTAGAGACAAATACAAAGGGAGGTAGGAAATAGGATGGGATGGCATGTAAACACCGACTGGGATGAATGAAGCGAACTCACAGGGGGTAAAAGGGTTACAGTTGATGATGAAATATTCCAGATGAGCAGAAAAGTGTTAATCTTTAAAAGAAATATAGTGGCAAAAATAACACATGTATACTGCATGCAAATAACTTGCATAATAATAATACCTGTCTAAAGAGGAAACTCTTGGGTACAATCGAATTCCTTGATAACATGGGAAGAATTCAGCTTTCTGTATTTCCCAGAGACGGCTAGTTGAGGCATGTATGCTGGCCAGTTGAAGCCAATGTGCATTTCGTCTCCTGAGGGTGTCAGAGAGGAGGTCGTGTCCTAGCATGCCTCCTTCAAAGCTGTCTCCTGATTCTTGTGCAGCCACCCTGCTGCTGTGTGTCTAAACCTACAGTGTGAACATGAAAACTTTTCATTTTTCGAAACATTTTTTTTTTTAATGGCACACAGTTGGTACACGATAAGCAAAAAGGACTATTCGAATCCAGCCCTGGTGTGTCGGCCTGCAGGATAATTGCGTGGATGGTGGGCAGCTGTGCCCCCATCAGGGGCGTGGCCATGGGAGGCGGGCAGACGAGAACGCTGCACCTGATACACAACAACAGGGGAATGACAGACAAATGAGGACAGGAGATCAAGGGAACCAGAGGAGCACACAAGGCCTAAGACAGGGACCCGGTCAGAGGGTCCATTCTGCAGGGCTCTCGGCATTATCCACCCTATTAATTAAGCATGTTGGCAGGGTCATTTTTGCTCATTTTTGAACAGGCTAAATTACCGAAATACTGAGGGGAATGTAAATTCTGGAGTTATATGGTCATAAACAGGGGCGACCCGGTGACCCGGAAGTTACTGTGAGACCAGCCCACTGAATGCAGAGCGCGTTTCCCCCTCAATGCAGCGCACATTTCCACCAGTCAGTGGCCTACTTGGAAAAAAGACTCACACACAGATTATTTTGAATGAATACAAAGAAGTTACGATATATCAGAGGTATCAGTAGTGTTGCATGCTGGGTGTGTGATTGTGTGTGTTTAGTGGTTTTGAAGGTGCATAACCAAAACAATAAGCTGCATCTTCATCCTGTTGATATCGAAAATTATTACTGTTTACTGTATTTTCTTTGTTCACTCTTTTATGTTTTTCATCTCAAAAGGGGTCGGGAACACACACACATACACACACACACACACACACACACACACACACACACAGCATTCTCCCACACCCTGACAATATGTTTGTTGGTTTGTAGTTCACTGTTCCCTGGTTGTTATTTATTATACTATTTTTATCCTTATACATATTAAAAGACTTACTAACTGAGCACACTCCGGTGCATTTGCAGACATGGACTGAAAGCTAAAAGCTGACAAATAAACCGAGGCTGATTCCAGCACCATTTCTTTCAGACAAACCTTCCCTGAGTAATGGAAAAAATAAACACCAAGCACACAAATCACATAATCGCTTTTCAATAATAAATGATTCTCACCTCTGCTTTTTCCACAGCGGACATGTTTTGTTCATCACAAATCATTTGTTTCCGTATTGGGATCAGAATTGAGGGTCAGAGGTGGAACTTTCAGAGTCGAGCGTCACCATAAATATATATTTTACTTTGTAGCCACTGACCCCTCATTGAGTAAATTATTAATCAGGCGCTTTGTGTGTGTCTGTGTGACTCAGCAGCCAGAGTCATTGGGTTACACCTTTGGGTGTGTATGTGTACGTGCTATGGAGCGTAGTCTCACCCTTGCTGAAGGCAAACAGTTCCACAAAAATATCAGGTTGCTGTGAGAGGACAAGTGTTTCTTTTGGGCTGTTGTGCTACTTTTTCTCCGTTCCTGTGTTCATATCAGTTACTTTCCTACGAGTCCACCGATAGTCGTGATCTGGGAAGCAGAGAACATATTCTCTTCCAAATACTGGGGAACTCCAGGTGCAAAGGGACCGGAGTAAACCTACTAAGTGAACACAAAATGACGTTAATCATCAATATATTACTACTCTGTGTAATAGCTGCATAGGTGGAAGCTCAGAGAATCGTTTATAACGTTCAAGTTGAAGTTCTAAACCAGCATTCAAATGCTGTGTAATTTCGTTGTTTATTCAGTCCACACTAATATTAGCGTTTTAGTATTTTATTTGAATAGACTCTCTGGGTTGATTCAAGCTACTCTGATCCAACCTTTTTCAATAACAGCTAATACATTATTATACGTCACACACAACAACACTCAGCAGTCATGTATGTTGTTGTTGTTGTTGCACTAGTATGTTTAGTTCTATTCTGTACCTGCAGTGGAAACCGGACCAATAACTGATCAATATTTGAAACGTATTTAATTTTAACAAAGTGCTTCCATTGGAAAGGGCACAGCGTTTCTAGCCGACCAATAACTGATGCTTTGCAAACCATATTACATGATGCTACTCAGCCAATGTTAACTCTTCCCACTTGTAGCACAAATGTTTTATGCAAGTGTAACAGGTTGGTCCTCTGGGGGGTGAATGACGAGCATGAGGCAGTCTGATCCATTATAAATGTTTTTATTTAATGATTCCCACCCAAACACAGCCAGCTCCAGCCTCTCGCTGTCGCTGGATCTCTCCTACTTAACAGGCAGAATACAAACACTGATTAATTTCAGCTGAGGCCAATTGCGCCCCCCCCCGGCACCGTTCCCTGAACCACTCCCTTCTGAGTCCCCCCCCTGCAGCCGAGCCAAACCACGCCCGCCACCACAGCAAACAAACCCATTCCATCCCGTTATTGAGTAGTTAATAGAACTTCATCATATCGGACTAAATCATTGCATAAGTGGTCCAGTACGGTGGTGTTCTCTCTGACTGGACCTTTACTGTTGAATGTAATACGTGGGATTAAAATATGTAATAATGACACACAGAATATTAATGCTGTTTATATTCTTTACTGTGCGATCAATTAACAACGTACTCCAACAATATCATAGTGTGAATCTTGTTGCGCATGACAAACAGCGCGTTGTGTGTTTGTGTGTGTTTGTGTGTACACTTTCAGTACCTGACTAGTTCAAATTGCCCTCCGGTTGTCAGGGAATGCAACTCTTTCAATCCTGTCAATGTGTCAGCTACAGAGAGCGAGGGCCGTACACTTCCCAAAGGAGAGATATGACTCTTCAAGGCACATTGAACACACGTCCTTCTGTCCTTCAGCCCTTTCTTTAAAGTTTGTCCTTCTACACTACCCTTCCTCTCTCTTGCTCCATTGTTTCCTCCATTTCCAGTTTTTTTCTTTCTCACTATATTTCTAATCTAATCTAATCTTTTCTCTCTCCCTCCTCCCAAAAAAATGATCGTAGACAATAACACAGAAGTGTTTGAGATAATCAAATGTTTTTATATATATATATATATATATATATATAGAGAGATATATATTACCTTTCCTCTCTCCTGCATTCATCCTTGACCACCTGAATAAAAGAACAAAGGAAAGACAAAGGAGGGGGGGGGGGCTTCACACACACACACACACACACACACATACACACATTCTTCCCATAGACCCACCTCTGTTGCTAGGTTACGGCTGCCTCTTACACTACAACCAATTGCATCACCTTGTATCACGGCTGGGGGCGGGGCTTTGGACTGCTCCAGCGTGGAAGGAAGTGACTCCGTGACATCATTTCCTCTTGCTGCCATTTGGCATCACACTGCTCCTCCTACACAGACACAGTTTATCTGCAGTCAAAGAAGACACAACAAACTTGTCGACATGGTGACAGCACCGCTGACGCACACACACACACACACACACACACACACACACACACACACACTCAAACACATGTTATTCAACAATTGTCACTATGTTCTTTTGATTTTATATGAACATCTGGACAAATGACAATGTGATAATAAGTGTGTTGTTAGGCGGGTTATTTTATTTTAAAATTAGATTAAATTAAATTGAATTTGATCTCATTAGGAAAAGGCAGAGAAATTATGAAGTCATTGGAGTTTGCCTTGTTTGTTGGAAATTATCCTGTAGCATACGAGCTTTGGCTGAGAATGATTATGAATGGATATGATTGATGCCATTTTCAACACACACAATTATTTACCATGTAATTTTTTATTCAGCGACCATAACAAGCCTTTCAAGGAAAAATGTTTTCCTTTAGCAGCTCAGCATATTTTTTTTTTCATATTTAAACTGCATTTGCATCTCAGGTCTTTTGTAGAGGAGGACAAAGCCAGTGTTGTGCTGCCCTCTTGTGACATACAGGTGCATCTCAATCAATTACAATATCATAAAAAAATACTTCTGTTAGTGAGATTTACATTGCGTTACACATAAGGAAATTAATATATTTGAAGGAAAAGCCCAAATTATAATATTAAATAGCCTAAAAAAATGAATGAAAATGAATAAAAAAATGTAAACATAAATGTTGTTCTACTAAAAAGTATGTCCTATTGTACACTATACAGTATGCAGTCAATGCTTTTTTGCTTGATTTGATTGACCTTTTATTGATCTACTGCATCAATGCCGCGTGGCATGGGGGCCATCGGGCTGTGGCCCTGCTCAGCTGTTATGGAAGCCCAGGTTGCTCAGTTTCTACCCAGCTTTCCTATTTCCAATCAGAGAGGATGCATTGGAGTATATACGTGTTAATGCCCTGACAAATGCTAACCAGCAGTGCCCTGTCATCCCGCTTATTGTCTCCTCTTCCTCCCAACCCGCTTTGAGCTCTGCCGGCCCACCGTTATCTTCTTTTATTTTAAAAGGTACAGTAGGTATACAGTTCAAATTCCTTTCCTTCTGTTTTATGCATGGTCCTGCATGTTCATTCTACTGATCAGAGGTGTGTGGGAGGTTAGTTAACTAGTAACACCTTTTGTAAACCCACGTTTCAAACTTAAAACCTGAGAAATGACCTGGGAGCGTCAGGATTTAAGCGGCGCTGTTTGGACCGCTGACATAATTAATGAGATTATTTATAATAACAATATATGACCAGGAATTGTGCATGGATATGATTAAAGGATAATTCTGGTTTACCTTGACACTGGTTTTGTATATTTATTTTATTAATAATATTGTGATCACCAATGATATTGATGGAAACACGGTGGTATCGATGAGAAAATGTCAGGGCAAAAACGCCTGCAGTCTACAGTTCAAAGCCATGAATCACAAATGAGCCCCAATGGAGGTCACAATCGGCACAGAACACCAGTTGGTCCTCCCACCGTCAAACCGTCCAATGCAGGCATCACAAGTTAGAGACACACTTTCTATTGGAACTCTGATCGATATTACTTACTTCACAGAAGTTGTGCATGAATTCAGTACATCTGAAAAGTCACTTTCAAATGTTTGTTCTACAAGATCTTTTTAGTCTGTCCTCCAAATAAAGTGGTTTACCAATATTAATAAACCAGAATTATCTTAATATCTTCAATTGAATGCGTCTTGATTTCATGAGCAGATGTTTTTTGATGATGGGATGCTGACAAAACAGTGATAGCAAGACCGCTACTCACGTGTTGCATCTCTGCTTTGTCTCTGCAGGTGAGGTTGGAGAAGGAGCCGGCCGAGGATGCAGAGTTGAAGGATCCTCTTGTGTTTTGCATGCAGGCACAGCACGCTGGGACCAGGACATACTACTTCAGTGCAGATAGCCATGAGGAACAGAAGGAGTGGATTAAAGCCATGAACGAAGCTGCAGAGGTCAACATTCAGCAAACACAGAGGTGCAGTTCACTCACAGCATCACACACACACACACACACGTGGAGAAACGATTTGATTGTGACGGTACCATGTTTTCAATTTGCAATACAAATAAATTGAATTGAGGTACAATTTGGTATGTGTAGTGAAAATTATGTTAAAATGAAAAACATGGACAAAACTGCTTGATATGGAGATATGTTTCTGTTAGATTATTATTCAGTAATTATTTTAAAACAACAAAAAAATGCCTATCTATCCCCATACCTTTGTTTTTCTCCGCATTTCATAGAATGAATACTATAGAAGATCCCAACCACACCATGGCGACCAAGGCAACTAACCAACAAACACAGCAACCTCCTCACACACAAAGACACTGTGACACTGACATTGAAAACACCCCCCACCCTAAGATCAACGTGCTCAACAGCCCGGAGACCCCTACACCCTCCACCCCCTGCTCCAAACAAGCAGGAAAAAACACAGATGGAAGAAAAGGAGAAGGGGAAGTTGAAGGGGAAGGACCTGTTCCTGACAATGCCTCTCACCCAAGCCACCATCCAAATGGGTGGGGCAGCAATGGCCTTCGTAACGCAATGCCCCTCAACAGCAATAACAAGCCCCCTGCATCCAGGAGTCACAGTCAACATTGTGCCCCCCAGGGACACCCAGGAGGGGGTGTTAGCCCATCATATGATCCCACGGAGCAGCAGGATAACGTGGTGCTGAGGAGAGGATTTGTGCCCAGGACTGCTCCAGAGAGGGTTGCCCAGAGGAAGACCTCCATGGTCCAGTTGCAACAATGGGTCAACCACCGGCGGACAATGGCCTCCCAGGAAGACATCCACAGGTAGAGCAGTGTAGAAGGGGAGGAATATGACGAACATGTCTTTTCAGTGTGGTATCTGCATCTTCGTTCAGGATGGTATTTAGGCGGTCATGGGGATAATGTACCAACACTGATAGTGTAACTTTTGAAAACCACTGGCCTCAGTAGCTGGTGCACAAAAATGTTAATGTCAAATGCTGGTTATAATACAGCTGGCTTTCCTCAAATACATGATTTCATTTTTTTATTTAGCTTGTCCTTCCTTGAAAAAAAACAAGAAGTTCTACACTGTATACAGTGTAGAACTCTTTGATATATATACAATCTACTGCTGTTGTTTTAACACCCTCGGTTATTACCCTCTATTTTCATGACTTCCAGCCTTTCTAGTTACTACCCAGTGAACCACGGCGTATTGGATGACTACTTTGGCTACCCAGGTGGACCCCCGTACATGGAGGAGTACCCTCTTTATCCGCCAGGAATGCGACCTGACAGTATCTGCTCTGTCTCTGCTTTGGGGGGATACAACCGGCGCTGGACCTTTGAGGAAAAGCGTCACTCACTGAGAGACCGATCCCAGCTGTATGGATCTACGATGCCCAGGGACCAATGGGCGCCCACATACTGTGGTGGAATGGAAACATCAATGAGACGTCTGTCCATCCAGCCACGCTCCAGGTCTGTGCCCAGGTCACCATCGTTATCATCAGGGGGGCCCTACTCTCCAGTACCCCACAACTTTGCCTCGCCGGCTCGATCCACATCTGGCTGCTTCAATCGGTTTCCAGGGAGGATGAGGGAGGATGTGATCTATGCGGATCCATCAGTCTACAGCCTGAGGAGATCCCTCAGCCCACCAAAGGTAAAACAAAGGACAACTTGGGATTTTTGGTACTTAATCCAATTAAATGTGTCAACAATGCTTAGAATTAAGGATTCAAATAAAAAAAATAATCAGCTGAAAGAATGAAAGAAAGTTCACTGAGATTGCTGTCATTTATAATGATAAAGACCTTCATTTGCTGGTATTACTTTCCTCCTATCACGAGGTCGCCATTCAGGGCGGGACATATACAGTATAAATCAGCACACAGCATTGTCTGCTTTACTTTTTCTCTTCAGAGAACCTCAATTTCCCAGGGCTGCAGCGGCTAGCTGTAGCCGCTAATAATCACTGTTGTTTGGCCAATTCATGGCCCCCCATCCGACAATCTCAGACTAGCATTTTGTAATGCAGCATCGGACACATGAAGCTGATGAGCAGAACCTAAATGAGCTGAAGTAGATGTGATTTTGTGATTACGTTTTGGACCCCGAACATAATGAATGGATCGGTCCGTAAGTCTCCGGACTCACCAGGGCCAGCAAGAGATCAGCATTTTGATCAACACCATCATCTGGCGCCACAGAGCACTGTACGTCAAAACCACCACACAGGATCAGTTTCTCCCACAAGATATTATTAGTGAGCGCAGCAGGCGTCTTCAGGCCACCGCCGCCAAATGATATATATATATATATATATATATACATATATATATATACATATATATATATATATATACATATATATATTTATACGGTTTACATACATATATATATATATATACACTGTAACCAAATCCATCCTGACGCCACTCTAACAACTTCTTGCTTCCATTCCTCCTTTCCTTCCTTTTTTCCTTGCCTCCACTCCCTCCTTCAGTATGACTGCCCCGGTTATAGGAGGTCCTTAAGCCAAGGATTATACAACTACAACTATCCTGTAACCCCTTCCATCCGCAATAAAATGGTATGTGCCACTAATGTGCTATAAAACATATGTGTCTACTGGATTAGGTGTCCTGAGTGCCAGGCACAGTCTACAGTAGTTATGGCATTGGTATGTGTAGCTTTTCTTTATTCTGCACATCTATTTTCTATATATCAGTTCTAACCCTGTACTAATCTCTTTCTAGTCCTTTTCTATCCTCTACTCCTCCACGCTGTCCTCTCTAACACCGTACTGCGATCCTTTTTGTCTGCACATTTACGTGTGTGTGTGTGTGTGTGTGTGTGAGATTACCCAAATAATAAGAGAAAGATGACTTAAAACCAGGCGTGACAAACCTCTTAGGGCTCCACCAATCTGACTCATAATCAAAGAGGTATAAAGCTTCCAAGAGGCCCATGAAGTTCTGTGCGCATCAAGCCACTGTGGCCACATCTAAAGCTAAAGTTGCATTGCCAAACATTGCCAATGTAAATTTCAAACATAGATAACAAAACACCCATTCTAATTCTAGAGATTAGACAAAAGAACATTTAAATAAATAGGTGTTAGTCAGAGATTTAAATGCATTTATTTTTGCCCAGAAGCTGTGAACCTTTAGTGTGAATGATCGGTTGTGGAGCTTTGCTTTGCTTTGCTGCTGTGTACACGCAAACCTTATCTGTACAGTATGCTTGCATGTGATTTCCATGTGTGTTGCTGTTGCTGCTGCTAGACACAGGAGGACATATTGGACCTTCAGCTCCAGCGCAACCTGGATTATTTAGACCAACAAGTAAGAAGCTCACCACGGATTATTGTTGGCCGTCACATACCGTATTACGCATGCTGATTCTCCCAACATCTGTTGCATACAGTTGAATTTCCGGTGTTTTTTTTTTACTTAAAAAGATCCTTGCCCATGAAGTAACTTTAAAAAATATGATTTGCTTACCCCAACACAATTACGGTAATTTTGTCAGTCCCTTGGTGACTTGGTAAGGAAAGCTGCTCAATTGGCTCGGTCACCTGGATGGTGCAGCGCTCATCCTTTGACAACAAAGTGTACGGAGAGCACAGCAGGCAGGAATCAGCCAGCAGCACTAAAATCACGTCCTAAATAGTAATTCCATATTCCAGCTGTAATTTCTTTTGAATTTGGAACTAAGTCAGCCACGTGGCTTTGACCAAAGCTTCTCCAGTATTTAGTCCAAAGGCCCATATAGACACCTACTACTCTACAGTCCTGGTCTAGTTCTTATGTGGCCCATACTCTAACATGGTCAAACAGATTGATGATAATATTCTTCTTCATCATTACATCAGAAGCTTACATCACACTTTTTCCTTCCGCTTGACTGTAACGTTTAATCTGCCGCAAAAAACAAAAAACCCGAGGCAGGAAAATGATCAATACAAGATGTTAAAATGATGCGGATGGTCCTTGTAACTTTTAAAATAATTCGTCTTCATGTTCCTCTGAATTAGGAGCTTATTATACACATTAAATAGTTGTTTTTGTCACACCGGGACAGTTAGTGTTCGTGCTGTTTATGGATTTAAATCATTCAGATGATTTGTTCAATGTTCTCTCTCACAGGTGCCTCCTTTTTATGAAGTCTTCAGCAGAGAGTTGCATCCTACACTCAAGCTCAATGAAATCGAAACCAGTGTAAGAAACACCCCAATGCATGAATAACAACAACAAAAGCATAGTCCTGTGTGGTCATGACCAATTCCTCCTTTTAGATCAGACCAACTCTATAAACAAGAGGGTTTTCCTAGTTTCTGTTGAATAACTTCACTTCTTCCCCATCAAACCACTTTGGGATGGTCTGGAAAGCTGAGGAAGACCTTATTGCCCAACATGGAGTGCAGAGCGTTTAGCAGCAGATTACATGTGACACACTCAGTCATCACATAGAGGCTAAATGTATTCATCTCCCTAGGACTGATACTGTAACCATGTAGTGACACACATACCTGCACATGTCACTGTAAACAGCTAAATATATATGGTAATCATCTATTGTTGGTCTGACACAGAAACTCTTGAGTCGACTGTGTGAACAGAATGGAATTTGGAAAGAACATGAAGCTGTTGTCCACAGACTGCGAATGGAGAAGGTACATCATTCCCACAGTATTTTACCATGTGTTTAAAGAATGTTTCGGATAAATAAAGCTCTAGTTGTGTTCTAACATTACAGTGTATAATAATAGAAGCAAACTTGTTTAATAAACTAAAATATGCCATCTAAGTTCTCTCTTTCTTGCTCGCCATGCTTGCGGTCTCCAGGACAGCCTTGAAGAAGCACTTGTGATCACTCATCAGGAGCTGGAGCTGTTCCACACCCAACCGTTGGCTCTGGACAAACTGCGGTTGAAAAAGGACACTCTGCAAAACCAGCTGGTCAACATCAGAGGACAGCTCTCCCAGGCCTCTAGTGTAAGACACCGCATAGCATGTCCACCAAGTGGCTGCAATACATAACAAAAACAACATTATGTCTGTCTATTTTTTGGAAGTATATATATCCTCCTAATATAGAATTAGCAAAAGTAATAGATAGAAGAGACATTTTACAGATCTATACTTTATTATGGCAATCCTAAAACTCCATAAGTACAATATACATGTCACATACCATCAAGTTCTTCTGTTTCACACGACATATTTTCAGACACATTAGCTGTGTTTGGAGACACTAAAACAATATCCAGATTGTAACACAAATTGTAAGCAATGGAATAACACATGTAATTAGATCTCAGTTGTTCATGTACACTCACTTCATTCTGAGAGTCAAACGCCAATATCAAGCATGTTTGTCGATCTTTTTCTTTTAGGCTTTAACCACCAGTCGTATGGAGTTTGAAGCATTAGAGGATGAGGCCAACGCCATTCATGGAGACCTGTGGGAGCAGCTTAATGCAGGAGGACAGGTAAAGGTCAAAATTGAAAGCTCTATTAATATGTACAATAATGTCATGGAAAAACACCATTTTAATATGGTATAATATGGAGTAGTCTGTCCACCATCAGCTATGGTCACTGATATTTCTGCCGACAAAACAATATAAATTAATGGAATCTGCTTTGTGGTACTTACATAATTATTTAAAAGTTTCTTTAATTTTACGTATTTCCCTCTCCCATATGACTTTGTCTGTCCTGGATTTTTGCAGAGTGAACTGGTCCATAGGCACATCCAAAAAGAGTTTTGGAGAGTCCAGGATGTATTGGAGGGACTGCACAAGAATAACTCATCCAGAGGCACTGACACAGCCAAGCATAAAGGTATCACACCGCTTCTGGGAAGACATCCCATTCACTACAAGCAACCTGTATATCCTACGGACTGTCTTCCTGACCCCCCCAACTGCATTTCTTTCTCTTCAACAGTGGCCAGCGGTGCATCAGGCTCCTTTAGTACCAATAGTCCAGCCAGTCCCCTGAGCTCAGTAAGCTTCACCAGCCCACTCAGCCCCTTCTCCCCAGTGCCCGGCTCCCAGGTCTCCCCCACCAAACAGCTGGGCCCGGAGGTAAGCACCGGACACACCCAGCCGAGAACCAACCCCTGTCCGAACCCAAACACTGGCCCAGGCACGTGCTCCAATTCTATAAACAACCCTGAAGTGCGTATAAGATCAGGCTCTCAACCCCGTCCAAAGTCCTGTATAGCACCTCATTTCCAAACCGACCCTGACCCTAGATGTAGGCCCAAAAGTCACAGGGAACCTGACACAAGTCTATACGATGAACATAAAAACGCCTATGATTATGATTCCCCCTCTCCTCAGCTCTCCCTAACTCTCCAAAACCTTGAGGAGTCCTATAGTATGTTAGACACTGTGTTAGAGGAATCAGACCAAAACCTCAAATGCAGAACCAGGACAAACTTTGACCAAGCAGCCAAACACACTAACAAGCCAACAAGCTCTGACCATCAGGAACGCCGTTGGTCCAACTCCAATGTTTGTAGCCAAGAAGTAAAGGTAGGGCTCAGAAAAGATGTCCATCCAAGCTCCCACCCATATCACTTCTCAACAGGAAACAATGGTGGCCTCAGAAATCTGACCCCCAACAAACGCTTTTCTGTGCCTGTTTACCAGATCCTGTTTCTCCAGGACTGATGTTTTATCATTACGTCACAGCCCACATCTTTCTACATCTTCAGTGCCTTGTTTTAGAGGTGCAAGCCTTGGAACCCCATTATTGGATAACTTCGGATACATTAGGTCATGCAGGTTTTAGGGGTTAAGCCTCTTTCTTACCCCAACATTAAGGGGCGAAGGGGGAGCATTGCCGCAGCGATTTCATCAATCACAATGGGGAATTTATTTATTTATTTGAAGACAAGAACATAAACCATGTCAAAGTCAAATGATGATTCCACATTAAATCTGTTATAAACATTTTACATGGAAAAACCCATTTAGTAAAGGCATTGGTCCTTTTAATTGCTTTTGCAGAGAGACTGTTATCTAACCTTAAACTGGTCAGTGAATGTGCTTTTACTACTTTACAGGCATCTAAAAGTGCACGCATCACCAATTTAGTTTGGCACAGTTGAGCTTTGGTCTGATTCACTTAAATATTTTTGGGAGTTAAAGTCATGAGTCTTGAGTCTGATAGCGGGGCAAAGTTAAAATGAATGAATGGTTCACTTGTTCACTGTTAAATGTAAAACGTTAGTCCAACAGAGGTGAAAAATGACTCATACCGTGGTGGTTGTCAATGCTTTTTTCAGTCTTTCGCAGACTGTTTATAATACAGAAATTCCCACCAGGTGTTTGATTGGCTGGCTGTGGATTTTCACTTCTAACTCCTGAACACAGGATAAAGACCCCAATCCATAAAATCATTCTCTTGAGTCATTTCTGCTCTGCACTTTGCCTGGCTTATTATCACTCCTCATGATGTGCAGCATTCTGTCTTCCATCTATCCTTCCCTCATTCCTTCCTCCTTCCCTTCCTCCCTCCCTATTGCCCGTCTGGTCATCTAGGAAAGTGTTCCCCCAAGGCCTCCGCTCCCCAAATCCTATCACCCTTTGGAGCCCTCCCTTACCTTCCCTCCCTCTATCCCGCCCCTGCCCTTTGACAGCACTGCCTGGCTACGCAGCTTGGGCATCGATGATGGTTACCTTGATGGTGAAGATTCTCAAAACAGAAAGGTATTTGGGTGTTTCTGCTTCCATCCTCCCCTTGCTTCACCCAGTCCTAACTATAATTAATGTTATCTTTTAAAAACATCATTGTTAACCTCGTAAACCAACAGGGACCATTCATCCCTTCAATTTTTATGTCTTCCTTTTTCAAAACTCCATTGTCACTAAGCACTCAACTGATTGCCTCTGATTATCCGACTGCGTCTCACTCGTCTTTTTCTCAAATTTTGTTGTCTTTCTTTCTCTTCCCTCTGTCTTTTCTATTTGTAATTTGCCGCTATATCTCGAATCTGTGCACTGTTAAGACAATATCATCCTTCTCAGAATGCAAAAACTGGGATGCAATTGCTCTGTGCTTTAAGTCACTGCTAAGACGACCAAAGCTGCGCCGGTTGAAAAGTGCTCCGTCAGGTTGTGAATCACCACCGTCCGTTGTAGCGTTCGGTCTTGGTCCGGATGGGAAGGTTTCTGGGTCTGGATCTGGACCGCGGTCCGCCAGTTACTGACCTCTGGTCTACAGCCACAGATCCCAAAACGTCTGATGTCATCATTATTTTGTACATAATGTACGTCGTCACAGGTAGCAGCACAGTCAACGTTCAGGCATTCTCACATTACGATGTGGAGGAATCATTTTAGCGACAATTTTAGAGCAATATTAGCCTCGAGTAAATGAGTAAATCAACTTGGATTAGAACACATTTGCACCGTCCCGTTGTGTCCCATGAACGTTGGCACATTCCTTTTTTTGGAGCGGTTTGTATTCCCGGAAAAATAAAAGCCTTTGTTTTTTCAGGTCCTCTTTGACCCCTCAAACGCAGCGCTGTCAAGAAACCTTTAACTGGTCAACAGATGATTTGGGTCGGAAATAAATATTTCAGATACAATGGTGTGATCAGGCATTACTGTGCCAGCAGATGATGTAAGTTGATACCCGACAACTAACATGATTTCTCCACGATGCAGTCCGGGTTTGCAGAACAGAACATCAGTGATGTGCAGGACCAGAGTCAGGATAGACAATCCACCATGAACAAAGGTACAACAATCAAAACTTATTCTAGTCAATGATCATAAACTAGCAAATAACCTTTTGGTAGGTACACAGAACCTGATGGAAGATTGACTGATACTGATGACCTACTGGCATTTTAAACTATACATGAAAGAAAATCCATATTCCAGTTCAAAATCCAGACATTTGAGTTTTCATTTTATTGTTTAATCCAGTGCGACTTGTATAGACTGTTTTACAGTATTAGCTGTGAGAATTCAGTTCGCTCTCTCTTTCCTTTCTTTTTTAACTTGTCGAGTTGTGTCCAGTTGGCATTGTCCCTCCTAGGACGAAGTCCCCCACCGACAAATCACACAGCAGCTCTACTGGAGATACGGTCCATAATGGCAGATGTACTAATGGAATTCTTAGGGTAGGTCAACCTTGCCCCATGGTCATTATATCAGAATGTCTGGTTGTTGTCTGCAATGATTGATTATTGGTGTGAAAATAAAATGATTAATTATCAAGATAAAGTATCTCTCTCAGTATCTAAGGTATCATTTTAATTTTCCATATATTAAAATATACTATATAATAACCTGAATTCTAATATGTTTTCAACCCAGGAGCGTCCAAAGAGTGCAGTGTTTCCTGCTGAGCTGAAGTCAAAGATGAGTGTGGAGGAGCAGAACGAGCGAATCCGACGGCACCAGAGCAGCTCTGTGAGGGACAAGAGGCGGAGTCTAAACCTCTCAGGTGGCCAGTCCCCAGCAAACTACAAAGTGGTATGAGCAACAACGGGATGATGCTTGTGACACAGAGTAGCGAGTACAGTCAAACCTGTCCAGGTCTTTCCGGCCCAGGAGCTCGTGGTGCGTCAGGGCCTTTTCTGGTGGAGGAATAGTATACCAGACATCTAATCCACCCTAAGCCCATGTCTGCTACATGGCACTCTAATGGTGTGGGTTAAGGGTTAGGCCTTGACCACATATGGCTAAAAGATACGTATCGATCTTCAAATGGTTCGACTGTTGGTTGGAATTTCTTGCATTTTGAAACTGTAATCTGACTTGGTTGACTTCATCGTATCATTGCAGGGCATAAGTGCGTCACTGATCATAACTGTTTTCTCGATATCTCCACACTATCCCCCTCACCGTTTTTACAAGGTTATCGTCTGGCTCTCTCACGGTTGAATATTATCTCTATGCACACCGATGAATTGGATATCTGCACGGAGTCACTTGCTGAGAGCTTATGCTGAAGCTTCTCACACTCATTTAGCGTCTCTCGCCGCCTTGCCAAGCCTGTCTTTTCACTCTTCATCCAAGCCTTTGTCCCCCCCCTGAATGCCTGTTCTTTTGGCTGACCTAGTTGCCTGAGCTGTGCTGTAAACCACGCTGTGTTGTTGTTGTAACTCATTCTGAGCTTTGTTTGGACACAAGTGTTTTCACAGAAGCTGATTTAAGATGTCACAGCCTCTGTGTACTCGCCAAGACCGTCGGTAACAGTCCTGAAAATTACCGAGCAAACACTCCCAAAGAGCCTCACCAGAGGTTTAAAGAGTTTAAATGTCTGCCTGCATGCAGGAATCAGGTGGACCATGATGTGGTCCGATATTGTTCCACAGAGCACAAAACTGAGTGTGAAGAGAAGTCTGTTTTTGTCCACCAATAGCTGGAGTTTGTCCAGTTTGTTGTAGAGCACGTTGGAAATAAATATCCCGGGAAGCAGTGTCCAAAACCCCCGTTAACGGAACAGTATTCAACTGAAAATAACACCAAAGTAGGAAGTAATAGCTCTATTGTTGCCCTGACGTCTAGCAGCTGTTCAGTGGGGAAAGAGCTCCGGGTATCCCAGCAGAAAGATTCATTATCAACAAAAACAACACAAAACAGTCTTTGAATCCGCTCCAAAAAGATTTTGAACCGCTTTTTTTTATGCTTGAGGTTGCAGAATATTTGATCTGTGTGTGTGTGTGTGTGTGTGTGTGTGTGTGTGTATGTGTGTACAGATTCGTAGGCGGCTGACAGCTCACGAGATTGACATTAATGACTTGGAGGCAGCAGTTCGAGGACAGGGGCAGGAGTCGCCACGGGAAGAAATTGCCCGACTTCGACGGTTGAGGATTGAACCAGAAGCCCACAACCTGGGCAGCAGCAAAGAGGTGAGATCACTGACACAATAACCGTGTTCATCCTTCTGAAAATGTTTCTCAGATGAACACTATCTCTGCACACCATGAAGGGAATTTGCAAAAACAAGGTTTAATGTTATCCTAATACCACTTGCGTTTAACTACACTCAGTTTGACTCTGACTTCTAACTGATGAAGAAAACCCAACACGGGTCTGTGTTTGCCTGAAATGAAAAAATCTAAATTGATTGATTGAATTTTGCACTTTTTTTATTCATCATTGCTTACTGTTTTCTGTTGTATAAAATGTATTATATTTGAATATTTATTTGTGTTTACATCGGCTGTATGTGTGTGGCTTCACATTTATTCAGACGATTTTTTTCTAGCTGGTGACCAGCAACAAGGTGGTGATCCCGGAGCGTTACATGGATGTGGAGGAATACGCCCCTCTTAGTCCTGAGGAACAGAAGGAGAAGCAGAAGAAACTTGTGCGGATCAAGACCCTCATTGCAAAATCAAAGTGGGTTTTTGGCTCACACATTGATTTCTCTTATTTCAAGACATTATAAAAGCATACCTATTGTTTCAATAAACCACACCTATTTACTTTTCCTTTTAAAACAAACGGGCTGAAATTCCTCTAAATACGGATTTTCTTAGTTTTTTAAGTACATCACATATTGATTGACCGAGAGGTCTTGTTCTCACTACTGAAATTCAGGAATAAAACCATTACTATGCTAAATAAGATCAGTTACAAACTTTGAGAGTAAGAATAAGCACAATGCTTTTTGCACTTCCTTTCACCTACCCGCCATCGATCCTGTGAATTTCCCCATTGTGGGACTAAAGAGGAATATCTTGTCTTGTCAGTTTGCAGAACATGGTTCCTTTGCTGGACGGGCCCGGTGGAGGGCGGGAGCTCCAGTCAATTCGCAGCAGCAGATGCAGGAGCAAGAGAAGCGTATGGAGATCTCATGTGCTCTGGCGGCTGAGGCCTCTCGTCGCAGCCGTCTTTTCTCCGGTGAGGACTCTCTGAACACGGCCTCTTAGTCACTAACTGTCTCCCTCTACTCTTCACTTGGATCACACACACCTCCTCCCGACACATTATGCACTCACTCTGAAAACTTATGCTTACGGTTTAGATTTTGCCTTGCTTTGGGAAATCAGTCAGGACATTTTTGACATCCATGCTTATCTAAGCCGATCTGAATCTGAAGAGCACATTGTGAACCAGGGAAACCAGAGTTAAAGTACTTTATGGTCCAGAGAGGTCACACATCTTCTCTTCAGCGACCGCACTGTGTTCACTGCTTCCATCTCCTTCCAGCCCAGTGCGCCCCCAGTCCCCCCTCCTCCCCCAGCAGCCCGGACCCTCCGCCTTCCTCTGCTGACTTCCCAAACTCAGCCCACGTCCTGAAGTCTTGAGTCACACAGGGTGAGTTTCCAACCATCCTCCAATCTGTTTGAACACTTTCTTTCAGTATCTGTGACTGATTGGATACATTTTGTTTGGTCAGTAGTAGAATTTAACTGTATTTAACTTGTGTTTGTGTAAATATGGAACATACATTTTGACGTGTTGCTTTCCAAACTATTTCCAGCACTCTCTTATCACTACATAGCAACCCCATCTAGAAAGGAGGAAGACACTTGACCTTAGCCTAACACTTGGTTACATCCACACCAGTAACTAAAACCTAGGTTTTAAAACAAAAATCTACCAAATCCTTTCCTTCAATACTAGAAAGCCTGAAACAATTATTGTGAGCAGGAAGTAGATGTTGCTGTGTATCATAGTAGCCTTTCAGAATAAGAGGTAGTGATTGATACAGACAATTTTTCTCTCAAATCTTTCCTGAGACAAATGTTGCAACTTGTTTTATTTTTCAAACATAGTTATAATGTTTACGTTAGGTCTTACTCTTTCTGCATCTCTCACACAAACCACTAATTCACTTAAAAATGATAACATAGGATCTTGTTAACTAGATTATGGGTCGATATATTTAGTCCGCTAATGTCTCCTACTCATTTCCTCTGTGTTTCGTTGTTGTCCATTATAACACTTGTAGTCCCTGAAGAGCAATTACTGTTTGCTAATTGTTCCAATAACAGCGTTTCCTCCACAATTCAGCAGTAGTAAAATAAGAAAATGCAGAATTTACCTGCAAATCAGCTGCTAGTATTCAGTTATCCATGTTGAATAAACTAGGAGTCGATACATAATCCAGGCTGCTGTTGGTGGCTTCTTCCAGAAGAAGGTCACTTGCGTGAGGAATCAGCGAAGGACGCGTAATGACTGTTCAGTCTCAATCAAGCATCCGTCATTGGTTACAACCTTTTGTGGATTCCCAGTGTAACCGTACTAAAGTACACGCGTTTTAAAGGGAACATGGACATGGCCGTATTCCTCTGAGTGTGGATGGGTGAATTATTTCAGCAATTTGAGTGGTTGAAGCCCAGAAAGGCAGAAGAAATGGTCCTGAGCTTTAAAGAAAGGATGAAATTGGGTTGAGCTATATTAAGACTCTCCATCTACTCTAGCTCTGTATTTCACGTGTTACAAAGGCTAGCAGGGAATACTTTTTTCAAGACGCCTTACAAATTTACTAAATATTTTGAAGTAGCCAATGACACTGACCACTGTTCTTACCCTGTCTTTATTTGCTTCTTTTTTTCCGTAGCTCAAGTTCCATCTGCTGTTCATTTGATGGATCATCTTTCTGAGGATTAACTGACGTAATCAAACGATGATGATGGCAAGGGAAGAAAGATTGACTTTTTCCAGCAACTAAACTACACTTCACCACAACGCTTTAAAGGCAGTCAAAGGATCTTCCAGGGCTAAAACGTTAATTGAAGCTATAAAGACAAATTTCATCCACCAAAACTCCCGTACGTCTACTCATGGCAGTCTCCTGCTACGAGTGGCACATTGGCAAAAAGGAAGAATTAAGGAGTATTTCCACTTAATTTTGCTCGGCACATCATCAACAAAGCTGAGCATTGTTGATGATAGTGCCATATTCTGTACATTGCGATGTTAAGAGAAAGAAGAACGAGTCACTGTGGTAAAACCTATAGAGAGAATCTGGTCATTATCTTCTAATCTCCAATTAAATCTTGACCGATATGACGTGTGGCCAAGTGAGTAGTGGACCCTTTGACAAGTAAGCATAAAAAGATTGAAGACGCATCCTCTAAGCTGAGGACGGTCCTTCTTAGCTCACTGTGATGCCTGTTTCACCACCACCTCCACCCTCACACTACCCTGGTCCCAGGAAGCTCGTCTGGTATCGATACCACTCATACGACATCATCAGCATAACATACAAACATTATGTCAACTGGATTGAGTTTTGCATCAAAGCGTCTCTCACACCAAACACAGAGTTTATTGTGTCGCTGAGTCAGAGCATCGCACGAACCAGGGCCTAATTTCACAAAGCAGAATATTACAACATTGCGTCCTACTTCAGCTTCAGAGTACTCGCTTTATCATCACCCCATCTGCTGTCATACTCAAGGTCTTTACTTTTATTGTAATGCGTGTTGGCATGCTTGATGTAACTTTTCGGATTGTGTTGAGGAAATGTATGTCACAAGGACCTTGCACAGAAAGCATTGATCCTTTGGATGGATCTTAAAGCCTTTGCCTGCTGTGAATGCTGCCGTGCCTGTCGTTCATCAGTTCACTGTATTTTGTGGTGAAATCTCTTCATTTGCCAGAAAACATGAAGAAAAATTAGGGCTGTGCCAGAACTCGCTCTGTTGCTCAAGCAGAACTCTCTGTGGAGATGAGATCCGACACTTCTTTCTGATGGATTATGGTGTTTTGATCAGCATAGTATCGTTTCACATTAAAACAGACACCATTTAGGTGGATTGACCTGATGTCTGTCTGGTTTGGTTCAATCTTCAGCTGTGAGACAGGAAGTGACACTCTTCTCTCTAATATTGTGTTACTGCAGTGGATGATGAACTAAGGTCTACCAAGTGTAAAATGTAACAATAGATGATTCAAAGAAACAGCAAGCAGCAGCACAACCCTCTGCCCGACAACATACTGAAGAACAAAGGAGGGACGTAAACTGCTCAAAGACGAGGTGCATGCGAGTTCAGAAGCCTTGTCAGATAATCAGCTTGTCCTCATGGCAACTACGTTATGGCTGAAGACCTTTTTTAGACAAAGATATCGGCTATCTGGTGGTGAAAGAAAGACAACGTTAGCTCAAGCTACCAGTAGGAAACCAGATGAGGGTTTTGTTGAAGGCACCCGTGACCTCAACACCATTGCTGTACATTGCTCTACATGACCTATATCTATGGCCCGTGATATGCATAAGAGTGTAACTCACCCTGCATCCTATAGGGGAACATGCACCTCAGCATTACATTCTGTGTGCAGCTCCCCCACAGATTGTCTGCATTTATATATATATATATATATATATATATAAATTTATACCAGCTCTTCTAATCTCACTTTCCATATGCAATAACTGCAATGAACGATATATATATATAGATATAGATCTATGTCTATATATAACAAAATCTGTTGTTTGTGTGCAGAGGGTTATGATGCGGTCTTATATATCAACATTTCATCCAGTCATGCATTGCCATTGAGAGAGAGGGTTTTTTCATGTGTTGTGATGATAATAGCTTACGAAGGAGTTAAAAGCAACATGTCTGCACATAGTGGTTGTCTGACTTTAAAATGGCCAACCTTGAATAATGAAATGAATGCATTATTTCACAATCATGCACACAAATGCATCAAATACACGATTGTGAAATAACACATTTATATTAAAACACTGCCCATTATTGATTATGTATTCATTCTTATTTTCATGCTGACACTTTCTGTTTATATATGGTAAAAAAAAATGTATGTTACATTTTGTTTCATCATTGATGCATTGGAAATGGTGGTCTATCTTCAAATGTCACACCCCCCCCCCCCCCCTTTGTTGTGTGTATAATATATAGATTTATTTTTGCTCTTACACTCTTCAATGTTGGAGTGACCTGCCTTTGTAGGAATGTGTTGTACGTCCATCGTCAGAGAAAGTACAACACAGAATTTAACTGAAAATTAGTAAACAAATCTTACTACAATGAATTATGACAAGATTTCTTTTCGTCTTCTTGTTTTGAGTATCTTTTTGAAAGGGTCTACAATAGAGACAGTTCATATTTTTTTAGATGCATTCATATTCAATGACAATTTTACACTCAAATACGTTATACGTAGAATTTTCCAGAAAAAACTTTTTTTCATGCTCTTGATGATTGTTAGATGATATTTTTGAATTAACTGGTATCTTGTGTGTTAATAAATGAAAGCCAAACAGTGGTGTCCAATATTTGATACTCGATGTAGCATTTGTGAAAGATGGAAATAAAGAATATATAGATAATATAAATTTGTCATGTATAAAATATTTTTATTTAATTTACAGCATATCCTGCTATCACATATAACCATTGCCATTTTGGGGGAAACTGCTTGAACTATGCAAATAATAGAAAATGGACATATGAAAATGCTTGCTTTCAGAAAACCTTGCAATAAAGGAAATGTATACTTGTGATAACGTGTTTCTCTAGATGAATTAATCACAGTATTTTATAAGATAGAACATGTCTGTATCAATGATCTAGTCACTGCTCTAATTTTGTGTTAATTTTAAAATTCAATCCCAAAAAGACTACTGACATAAATTAGGCTCTGTGATGATATTCTACAGTCTTTGTAATATCAAACTGTATGTCTGAATGAATAAAGTGAAAAAATAAATCAAGGCATCTGAGTCAGTCACTCATCAGGTACAATTAAACATTGTTGTTCTCCACCGTCGACCAGCTTCTCTGGCAGATTACCTGAAAGAATTGGACGTCCTTCAATCAAACGGCCCTCCGCTTCTCCTAATGGGGGACTTAAGCACCCAGACAGAGAGGTCATGTGACCTACTGCTCCTACTTTCACATACCTTTGCTCCCTTACTTAGTCCTTCCCCTCCATTTCACAAAGCCAGCAACCACTTGGACTTCACCAGAAACACTTTGAGTCCACAGAAAAAAGAGGCTGTTCCTTTCAGTTTATTTGCCGTTGTACTGTTAGAAAATCATGGTTTTGGTGATCGACCCCCTTTCAAAGTAGGACGTGCACGCTCGATGATCCTCATAACTGACGTCTGGTTCAGATTGTTGCCGTTGTTTAATCCCACGGCGCCTTAGTAGATGGCCGGTGTTACACCCCTACTGGTCTTTTCACCTACTGCTTTCCCTACGCGTGCGTGTTTGTGTAAATTTTATTAAATAATAGTGTTTTAACAGTCACAATAAATAAATCATTGAAAAACCAAATAAAGCAGCTCTAAAGAAAGCATGCTGGACAGCAGAAGTCCTGCTCCAAAGGTGGTTTCCCAGTGCAAACCCAGTGGAACCACAGATGGATGTGTTCCAAGACACGCCCAAGGTAACCAGTTGTTTTAGATCCACGACACCAAAAGGTTTCCTTCGTGCTGATCTACGTCAACGAAATGGATAAATTATACAAAGGTTGAGCAAATGTCTGTGAGTCACTGTGGTGCACTGCTAAGAGCAGCCACCAGGTTAATGTTTTGACCCACCGGGTTCGAATCGAGGTTGTGCCGATCTTTCCTTTAATATTTTTTTTCTAATAAATGTTTTCATACGCGGCTGTGATTTGGTGCTCGCTTATACAATCGTAAACGCTGCAATGGATTTGTGATGGGTTTTGAAGCTGTTCAAACGCGCTGGATCGATAAGTTGGTTTGTAAATGTCTCGCTCGCAGTCGTCTCCTCCACGCTGTGTGTTGTTGTTGTTCAGAGTTTCGCGCGGCTGCCGCGGCGTACTGATGACGTCACCGACAGGCAGACTGAATCCAGTAACGTTTAACGCGTCTAAAGTGCTAAAAAACAAACAAACAAACACACATCCATGCCGATGTTGTGCTTAAATCCAAAGTATCGATACAAATCGATTATGTACCATTTCAATCGATTTGGCTTTTCTTGATTCATGTTGTTCTGGGTCTGTACCCTCATGGTTGAATGCACATACTTTAAGTCGCTTTGGATGAAACAGCTAAATGAGACTCGTACACTGGGTAATGAACATTAACGTTTGGAAAGGAGGGCTACACTATGTAATACAGAAACATCTCAGAGCCAAACGACTTGTAAAAGTCTGTGAATGGCTGATTCCATCCCTCAATAGCGGCCTACTTATCAGAAGATTCCCAGCGATTGGGGGCTCCGTCTACGCCTGCTCAGGGTTAATGTTCAACACATCGACAACATCAACGCACAAAGGTCACTGTGAAAAGGCAAGGAGCCATTTGTTCCCGACTGTCACAGAGCGGAAACCAAGCTCCTGAGTGGAGGGGGAGGGAAGACATTAGTGATTCCCACGATGGCCATCACAGAGTTACAGAGTAAGTGCTTCTACATTTGCTCCCTTCGAAAGTGTTTGGGTGGAGCTGTAATCCCAGCGCACAGAGTATTGGTTTGATATCTGAATACTGACATCTAACAGCGGGAGCGTTACAGCTCATGGCAAAAGACCGCAGGATAATAAAAGAGTAACACTTAAAAAAAATGTTTGGAGCACGTAGATTCACCTCCAGTTTTAGTTGAAGGTTCTTATCAGATCAAGAAACAGTAATACACTCATCGTGTCGGAAATGGTCTAAAGATGGTTCAGCTTTATGCCTAAAGCATAAATAGAATCATAGTGGGCAGTATGAAAAAAGAAGTTTTGAATAGGAAACATAAGTTATTGGGGCTCTTCAGTGCTGACTGATACATGTCCATAGGAGGTTATGGGAGCTCCTGTCAACAGTTTGTTAATGGGGATGAATGATTAAATGTAGTGTTCAAAGTGCTTTGACTGGTTGGAAGACAAAGGGCAATACAAGTACCATACTACTAGAATCAGGAATCAGGAACATTTATTACCAAAATATGTCAGACATACAAGGAATTTGACTTGGTGGTTGGTGCATTACAATCAGAAAGACAATGGACAACAAGGAATTTAAATTAAAAATAAAAGTTAAAAATAATAAGTCAAAAATAAAGTGCACCAGCGAGCAGAAAGTGATGTGTGTGTATGTGCATGTGGAGCGTGAAGGGAGTGACCGGTGGAATGTGAGAGAAGACTCTGTTCTTCCTGAAATCCACAACCATCTTTCCTGGTTGTTCTGGCTGCACCCCGACCCCAGATGGTCAGACTCCCACCAGAGATCAGTCCAATGAGGATGGGGGTCACATCTGTGGGTGCACAGGGAGGCGGAGACAGACACTAGTTGCTTTTTGGGTACTTGTCTTTAATTAATATGGACAATAGAAATAACGGGACTTTCTCTGTCACGACCTTCCAGCACTCCTTGTTTGACCTTCTCTGGAGCGCCGCTGAATTGGCACTCCTGATTTTTTAAGTGGAGAGAAACATTTAACCCCACACAGGCACCCCGCCCGCCACAAACATACTGTCCATTGAGGGTTGATTCCATATCTATCAACCACCACTGTAAAGACTGTACATGTTCGTTTAAGTTCTTTTAACCCTTTGTGTGTTTGTCTTCCAGAGATTGGTGTTGGTCTGACGGGCTTCGGTTTATTTTTCCTGCTCTTTGGTGTGCTGCTGTATTTCGACTCTGTTCTTCTGGCCTTCGGGAATGTGAGTCATCTTTTATGTCAAATCTCCTCACTGTCAGCCGTCACTGGCTCATTTCACAAATGATGTGCCTTTGGGCATAAGTCATCAAACAAAACAAAAACAAAGAAAACACAGTCGAAATGAGAAAGAGACTTGTAATCTAGTCAATTTTCAAGTTGATGTGTGTACAATAATTGTTTGTCCTTCATCAGAGCTCTTTCCCGCAAAGCTTCTCTGATCATTTTGAATCCCCAAGCCCGAAATCTCCCTTCCTTCATCCTTTCTGCCCTCACAGACTGTGTTCCATCACAATCCACATCGGCTTCCTCATCCATTCCCCCTTTCTAACCCAATCATAAACCAGTTTAGGCCAACTGCCAATTCCACATATGTTGAGTTGTATTATGCTCATTTTAAGATTCATACTAATATTTAGGGTTTCCACCTTAATACGTTTGCATGCTGTTAAAAAGCATTTCAGAGAGAGAGATAGAACACAACACGTAACCGGTCGAGCCTGCAGCTGTTTCTCTTATGTTGTTTTTGTGGCCGCCTGTATCGTGGTCTGTGGTCCATTGATCATATTATGCATGTTTGATAAGTGTTTAAGAGTGTTTCTTTAGATAGCTAGTTCACCATTAAATGATAAAAAAATAGAATGCATTCAATGGGGTTTTAAGCTCAGAAATGTCTCATTTGTTTGGCTTTTTAGATTCTCCTTCTGACTGGTTTGATGTTCATCATTGGACTCAGGAGGACAGCCCACTTCTTCTTCCAAAGACATAAGTTCCGTGGTTCTTTCTTCTTCTTGGGAGGCATATCTCTGGTGCTGTGCCGTTGGCCCATCATTGGAATGCTGATGGAGACTTATGGCTTTGTGCTTTCATTCAGGTAAATCCAGTTGTTTTTTTCCCGGGTGAATTTCTTTTTATGGAAAGACTCACGCCAACATAAAATGTTTATATATTGTTTCGTGGCTATGTGGAATTATTTAACGATTCAGTTTCTGGAGAGAAAAACAAGGCCTCAAATTAAGTCTTTGTCCGATGGATTTTTGTTCCTTTGTCTCATATTGTAGAATCGGACTGATTTTCTCCATGTGTCCCAATTTATGAATAGTTTAGTTTGTGTCTCATGCTGTAAATGATCCCGTTCAAACCCCACAGAAGAGGTGTTACATTTCAAAATTCTAAAATGAAATACCAGATATGACAGAAAAGGAAGAGGATGTTTGTTTCCCCATTACACGGTGTTGTTTCCATCTGCAGGTCCTTCCTCCCCATGGCCGTGGCATTTGTGCTGTCCTCTGTGAACATCCCTCTCCTCCCTTCTGTACGGTTTTGTTTTTAACTCAAATTAAGATGCTACAATTTCCTTTATTTCATATGGATTAGAAATGGCACTACGTGGACTTAAAATATGTTTTTTATTGTTTTCTGTTAGTAACCCTTCTCCAGCAGCTCCTCTACGGTCTAAAGAAAATAACCTGTTGCAGCACGGCGGGAATGCTGATTCCTCTGATCCTGCGTGACCAGAGGGGGACGACTGATAAGCGACTGCACGACAATCAAACTCTTGTCATTTGGTTTGCATGAGTGGGAATTTACTTTTTAACAATGTGTTATGTGTTGTACCATATAAAGTGACAGTTATTGATGAAAAAGAAAATGATTAGCTTTTTAAAAGTGGGATTGAAAGAAATCTGAATAAAAAAGTTTCTTTCCAACTTTTTTGTTGGAATGCTGAATCGGCATTCCAACATGTTTTCTCTGTTCAAATATCAGTCTCTTCAGCTCATGTTAGGAATCTATTTCTATGTTGCTAGTTTCCATCACTTATACCTTTTCATATACTTTAGCATTTAACATTCATATTTTCTGGAGATTGTTTTCTCAAATCGTTTTGAACTCTTCTTCTTCTTGCATTTAAATCACAAAGTAGAGGTGAGTTTCAGAATCTCGCTAAAAAAATATTTATATTTAGTCAGAATTTCTAAAAGTTCTAAAGTCCTAAAAGTTGCTAAATAACATAGTGATGTCATTGCGTAAAACTGCATCATTATGTAAAATACGAAGTAACAATATTCAAATTGTGATCGCCACATTAAATAGGATTTCACATTTGTTAGTTTAGATTTGTTTGTTCATTATCACATAGTTTTATTTGTCGAAGTAATATACACAACCCTTTACATATGACCACCTATTTGTGACTTATGCTTTTTACTTTTTTTTTCTTTTCTTTCCTTCACTTTCGATCCAGCAGAACACAGATCGGCCGACTGCTCTCCTCCCTTTCTTCTTTTGTCGACGCATTCCATTCCATTCCTTCTTTGTATTGTTCCGCTGACAGACGACCACTATCCTCCCCGTCTGTGGTTAGATTAATGATTATTATCATTTCTGTCTCCATCTGCCGGTAACAGTCGGTATTACCACTAATGTCATATTTCCTGGAATATTTGTGATGAAACCATGAGAAAATCCCGGTTTAACGCTGTATGAATATGCCTGTGCCGCCGTCTGTCCATGTTTAGCTTGTGCAGCCGTAGCGGACGTCTTTTGCTGCAGGAAATACACGGAAAATACAATTTTGATTCACATGAGACTTCAAAACTGATTCCCAATCGTGTGAGCCCCCATAATCCCATCAGTGATCTTTTCCTCAATAAGATCTGAATCGCGAGATTGACGATCCATTGGTCCACTCGTGTCTTTCATCTCACAACACCACAATGCAGATGCTTTTGTAATTAGACTTTAATCACACAGTCTAAACACACTGAATCACACACAAAGAAAAACAACTACACAACATAGACATACTACTACACTTCTCATCTACTTAACATTTTTGTCTCATTGAGCTCAACGTTTTAGTTTTACTTCCAGCTTTTGATTCAGTCTCATCGAAATTCAAACATCTTTAACCCTCCTATTATTAGAATAGGAGAGGATGAATATGAAATTCATTTTGAATGGGTGAAATAGTTTAGTTCATGATTATATGAAGGAAACAGTCTGTGACCGGCAGTGTTAATGATCATATTAATGATCAGCACTGCAGTTCTTGCTCCTCCTGAGCCTCTTGCTATATGTAGATGAAGGTTGAAAGTGGTCGGCCGCCCCTTTCATCCCAGTCCTTTGCAGCCGTTAAGAAACTCCCTCTATCTTCATTTAGCTGAAGTCAAAGGTCAAAGGTGATGGCTTTGAAGTACAGACATTCTTGGTCAGAGGCCAGTTCTTCTGTTAATAATGGCTGAAAAAAGAAAGGCAAGAGAATGAAAAAGAACGGAAAAAAATAATCTCATGCAAACAAGCTAAATATGGAGTAAATCACCATTTGAACAGCTGTAAAAAAACAAACAGAAGTTGAATAACATAATGTTTTAAATGAGCCCTGCTCTGATTTGTCCCTTAGTGACAGCACCATATTCAAAGCAACGTCAGCAACTGGGGTAAAGTGTCTTGATATGATCAAAATTGACCTCAACTGTAATTGTCCAAAATATGTTGAAACATCAAATAGACATCATGTAAAGATCATAATATAGATCATGATAGATGAAATAAGTGGATGAATTGTTGTAGAAAAGTTAAGTTTTGCTTAAACACACACCTGTGATGAGTGTTGTTGTTGTTGTTTGGGATATTTATATTGTTGTTGACTGCTGCCGTCTGCAGAGAGCGCTGCCCAGTGGCCTGGTGCGGATGTGCCAGTTCGCTGTCGCTGTCCGACTGGTTTCCAGTAAGACTACCTTGTCTCTGTTTTGGAGATTAGATGTTTATGGACAGATATACATAGTTTGTATATTTCTCATACATTTTGATAAAAAAAATAACAGCTATATAGATATTTAAGTATAGAAAGGCTTTCTTCAGTCCTGTTTTACTGGACATTTAAAAGAATGTTTGTGGAATAGTCAATAATCCCTTTAATGCTTCCCTCCCAATCCCTTCCTCCGATCCATTAATTGTTCCATCCCTGTTACCCTGAAGATGGCTTCCTCTGCAATTTCATCAGGACCTCTATCCATCTCCTCTTCATGCAGAAGCTCTCCGGAGATGGCTCTATGGAGCTCCGTGGCCACCTCCTCTTCAATGTTCCTCAAGCCTGCCTGATGGACACAGATTAAGGTTTAGTTGGTGAAGAAAACACAAATGAATTCCCTTCAAGTATAATCTGTTGCATGTTTTAAACCTAAACCCGGTGGGATCTCTTTGTTTTTCAATTTCGTTACTGCTACTTTATTATTATAATTATTATTTATAATCTCAAAAGAAATGACTGTAATCCTCAAACTTGTACAGTCAATGCATAAAGACACATTGCATTTAGTGATTCAGAAACGATTTTCCACAACCCATCGACTACTTACCTGTATCTCATGTGTAGCACATTTATTGGTTGGCCGGGAGCCGTAGTATTCTTCCTGTCTTTTCTTCATTTTCCTGAAATAATCCTGGATAAGGAAAGTAGCGTAGAACTTTCCGACTGTCACCTCATCATCTGTTAAACCATAGAAATGCTTATTAAGTAACTTAAGAAATGCAGAATTGGAGAGACATATTTATGTATGAGAAATAATGATCCAGTAAATGATAACATTTCAATTAATACATGTGTGTCCAAATCAGTTATCTTAATATGGACATTCCTACTTCTGTCAAACTTATTTGAGGATATAATCATATAGTTGCCACTTTCCATTCTGACTGAAGCGGGAGGCAAAGAACTTAATAAACCGACTTGATCAATCAACCATAGAAGTTAGAAGGAGCCAATAAGTAAATTAACCTTAAAAAAAGCAGCAGAGATGTGGATCTTTTTATAGTTATCTATCTATAGTTGTTTGATTTCAACACCTGCATTGTGACAATTCCCTTGAACAAAAAAACACTCAATTGGGCATAACACTCAATGTGAAAATTAAAATGTAAAATGTGTAACGTCCCAGAACTGTATCTTAGAGAAATAATGCTAAAAGATAGTCTGCAGTATGCAGGCAAGTTTATTGCTACTGAAAACCATCCAAAGATATTCATGCATATGCTTCCTAATTACGGCTTTACTTTTCTTAACCTTCATGAAAGCTGACCTCCTATAGGTGGGATGACTTGATCCAGAAGTTTCATACTCGTGCGTTTCCAGATCTTCTTGATAATTCCCCTCAGCTCCTCGTTGGCTTGTTCAAAATTTCCTGACCAATGAAAGAAACACAATAAGATAAAAGACATTACTGACATGCAAGACAAAGAATGCCCGAATAACCAGAGTTGTTTTAGCTAAATGTAGAACTTTTACTAGCAATTCCCCTTAATGGTCATATTGTGCAACTTGTTTGAAATAACGTAATGTAGCTAGTAGTGAAGTGACAACAAAACCAACACCCTTATTACTGCTCCGTTGCTTGTCTCTAGGACAGTCTTTGGCCATATGGCCAAGCTGAGCCATTGCAGCAATCATACGGTCCTCAAACAGAGTAGGAGGGTTTTGCCATTTGGTTCTAACTTAAGAAATATGGGACCTGTATTTAATTTCATGAACAACACACAGTTTTGTCAAACCGGTCTGGAAAGGGATCCGCACTACTTTTTAAAAAGTTAGGGAATCGCCCAAATCATCAAACCTGAATTGTCCTTTTATGGACGGGGAAATCCTACAGTGATCGATAGTCAAAGAATGGCTCAATGTCTGCATCACGTACTTTCTTGTTTTCAAACCTTCATAATGTTCATAATCGTTAAGTGGTGATCGATAACGAAACACCTCTGCCATTTTTGTCACGTCCAGTCTTTCTATGTAGTTTGTTTTCACTGTCTGCTTCTCTGTGATTTCTGTCACTCACCTGCTGGGTCTCTCGGTTTAGGCGCCTCCCTCTTCCCCTGTGATTGTATGTTACTCCCTCATTGTTTCCACTGGTGTCTCATGTCCTCCCCTGTGTATTTAGTCTGTGTCGATAATGTTCTGTGCCAGTTTGTCTCAGTCTGTTTCCAGTGAGCTCACCAGCAATTCCCAGTGTGTTTTCGCCAGTGAGTTTTGGCTGCTGATTTGAATCCCGTTGCCTGTGTGACTTATTTCCCGCTGGATCCTATTCACTAAAAGTATTTTTTTTTCTCCTGCGTTTCTAACAGTTTTGTAATCTGGCCTGGCCGATAATATTACCTCCACCATTTTGGGCAGCTCTCTACTTGCTATTGTTTATGAACCTTATTAATACAAAATAATTCTATTGATATCCATTTAGTTTTCATACTTGCCAATAACCAAACACATTCCTAACTATGCTCTACAATGTGAGTGGATTGGAACTTGCCTTTGAGCCTCCATTAATCTGGTAATGTGTGAATCTACTGTAAAGAGTTTTTTTTCCATTTTCAACCCATGTTCACTAACAACGACACCCACAACGCACTTTGTATTGAGAGCACAAACCTTCTGTCTTTATTTTCAGTGCAGTTCTAACCAGGGCAAACAGTGTGGCGTTGAAGGTGACTGTTCCATCATTATTGAGTGGCATATTCATGGAGACCAACCTCTGTTGAAACAAACACACAAAAGCAAGATGACGTTGAAATGTTACTCACATCTGATATCAGAAGCCAAAGGTTTCAGTTCCGCTACATATCTTCAAAAACCCCAGTGGTGCAGCATTTAGCACCTTGGTTCGAATTCCTACACAGTATCATCACCGCTATCTTAATGTGGTTTGTAGTTTTTTTCATGTTGTTTTGGCTCTGTTTGAATTACTTCTAGTAGGACATACACTACAATTAAGATATTTCCCCTCAGTGTTAATGCAACGGCTTACAATTGTCGATTATTTGGATGTTTCAATACTTGATCAAGCATGTTGTTATGCTCTTCGAGGCGAAGTTCAGGCTTCTTTTACTGTGAAGCTAAGATGTATCATAGTTGTTGGGGACCTTCGCCATGGCAGTTTTGCGACTAGATGCCGCGTAGACCACCAGCACTGTAACAGAGACCACCGAAACTGCAGCTCGATGCTACCTTCTGTAGGGCTACAGCTTGAGAAGCCATGTTAACTCCCCAAGAGGTCCAGCAACAAATAAAAAGTCTGCTGGCTGAACAAGTAGAGAAACTCAGTATAGAAAGGACGCTGACATCTTTTTTGGGGTGTTTGGACAGACAGCACCGTTTTCTTTAAAGCGATTCTAGCAGAGGAGGACGGAATTCTTTGTGTATGCAAGTTCAAGCTGTAATTTCTCTTATTGTGTTTTCATAACCTTGTTTATTTTGTGTTCTGTCCTTAGTACACTGACCTTGGCATAACGACAAGGACGTTTATTTCTCTGAAGACCATAAATACTTGATTACATTTGGATTGTCCTGTGACATCAAGCGTTTTTTCTCACCTTGCAGGCGATACGATGTGGACAGAATTTTCCAAAACCCAGTGGAGGAGGTATTCTTCGTAGCAGTGTCACTACATCAAGATGCTTAATACGCCCCCTGTAAGAAACCTTATAAAATAAATTATTTTATACAAGCTTTGGGCCACAAATTAAACAGGAGCTTTAAGGCCTAATATATATAGAGAAACATCATAACCTCAAGTTGATATGGTTCTTTGGGGTCTGAATGGAATGTCTAAACACGGACTGTGGAAACCGCCATACAGACAGAGTGTCTTCTCCAGTTGTCTGATCCACCGCCACATGCCTGATTTGTGCAACTCTGCATCGTGTATAAGTACACATGTATTCTCCCCAGTGTCTTCTGGTCTTCCTGGGGCCCCTTCTGACTGCACTAGCTCAGAAACCCTTTAAAAGGAAAGCTTCCAGTGTGTATTCTGATCAGATGATTGAATCCTATCAGCTGGCCTACTGCAGCCTACAGGCTGAGACTGTCCCCTCTACAAAGAAAGCTCGTTTTAGCTACTTGAAGGGTCCTAAAGAATGAGATAATGGATACAAGTTGCGGCTTTATGAGGGCTGTTAATTTCATTCAGTTTCACGTTAGTCAGATGCAGAGATGCTCCCCTTGGAAGCAGACGGAGACACTCACGTGGCCTCAGGGTCGTATTCTGCCCAGATTTTCTTAAACTCATCCAAGTGCTGGGGACCAAGGATGGACCAATCACGTGTCAGATAGTCAAAGTTATCCATGATGACCGCCACAAACAGATTGATGATCTGTGAACGACAAAAAAGAGACAAAAGAATAACCCAAGAGCCGTGATGTACAGTTTAGGAATAGTTAAATGTTTTTTTTTTACCAAGAATGCACAAAGCATGTAGAAACTCATGAAGTAGATGATGGCGAAGTTGGATCCACATGTTGACTCTTCTCCAGGCAAGAAGTCTGACTTGGGATCACATCTTTTTCCATACATGCAAGCCAACATCACTTCGTGCCATGCCTCACCTGTAGCACATCTGCACAACGGAGATATCAAAACACCTCCCATCACACCTTTAACCTGTTTACACTGAAAAGATATAAGTACTCTGATATTGCTCACTGTTCCACTGTTTACTCTGTTACTCCACTGTTTCCTGGCTGTTTTTGGACATCTGCTCCGGAAGTGGCATGTCCACGATAAAAAGTGTAAATAGTCTGGAACTACTTTGTCTATCTGGACAAATGTTTTTGTCAGGATGAAAGGGAAACCCTATGAGTGCTCTGATCTGTGCAAATCTGTGTATATGTAAAATAAATCAATATATCACACAAAAAAACATTACATGTTCTGAGAGAAAATCACTGGGAAACAAGCCCTATAAAACATGGAGATACCAGGCACACATATAAGTCATCGTGTGTCTGTACAGTAATCATGGAAAGTTTCACATTGATCGAGTGAAGCTGAACTACTCTAAAGGAGGCTTTAGTGCCTCACGGCAGAGAAACGTATGAAAAGTCCAGTATTGTCCAACCAGAGTCGGACTAGAAAATGTTCACGCCGCTGCAAAACGGCTGGAGCGTAAATGACGCTCAAGAGGGACGTGTGGCTTTAAAATTTGACCCCCCTAACCTCCCTAACATGAGTCATGCAAGACGGCTGCTGGACGTATTGCAGTGCAGAAACAGCAAATTCATATTTTTGTTAAAAACGGCAAAGGTAAGGAGCATTTTTGATTCATGCGCTTCGATGGCTGGGGGGTTATTTTACTCTGAATTAGGCTTGTCTGAGAGAAATAGTACAGGTATTCAGCATTGGATGTGCCAGCAATTTGCTTCCTCGTTTTCCGTCTTAGCTTTTAGCTTCGACGGATTGTTTAACTTTTACATCCCGATGTGTAATATTTGGAGTAATTTGCATGATATTTTATAAGGCTTTATTACTTGTTGGAGTTGTGTTTGGACCATTTTCAAACCGATAAATGGTCTTTGTAGCCAAGAATGTTTCGAACAATGCAAAGCATTATTATATTTCTACAAGATGAATTCAGAATATTGTGGTTGGTTCTGACTCTGTTTTCGTTAAGTTTCAGGCCAAAAAAGGAAGCTCAGTCTGACCAGATTTTCAACGTTTACATTTGGAAAGGGATTTTATTTTGTGCGACTTAATCTGAAGGTTAATTATTATCAGTATTACTTCAATCCATCCATCTATTTTCCTCTGCTTATTTGGGGTCGCGTTGTGGTAGTAGCTGGACCAGAAGATCAACCCAGACTTCCCTTTCACCTGTGACATTTCCCAGGTCATTCTGGGGGATTTTGAGGTGTTCCCTGGCCATTTGGGAGACATAACCCGTCCAGCATGTCCAGATCTTCCGGCGGGGTCGCTTCACAGTTGAGCGGGCCTGAAAAAACATCCAGTGAGAGGCGTCCAGGACGACCCACCTCAACTTGCTCATTTCGACACAAAGGAGAAGCACCTCATCTCCAAATTGCCGGAAGCCAACGACCACTGGCTGAGAATACAAACAAAGCTCCTAGTGTAGTCAATCAGAGACCGGATGGCTTTTTGCAACGTGTCCGGCACCCTATACTCCTGCAGCACCCTCCACAAAACCCCCAGAAGGACCCTGTCACCAAGTCCACAAAGCACATGTGGACTGGTTGGGAAAACTCCCTGGAGCCCTGACATTAGCATTAACAAATTTCAATCTACGACATGTTTTTAAACAGCATTGAATGGAACAGTACCTGCTGGGGACACGCTACCAACCTGAATAACACCAACACAGCCTGTGGGAATGTCTGGAAGTTATTGTTCCTGACGATGTATGTGCCGTCTACTAATGCAATTTTACCAAATATCTGCAGAAAAAAAGAATGTAACGTTACTAATAAAACCGGCATTGAGTAACAGTTCATGCTGCCTTTGCATGGCATCAGATGACCCCCCCTACAGAATGTTAAGGGATTCCTAAATGCAATGCTTTTGAAAGCAGAGCAGTAGGCCCCCAAGCTTCTCACCTTTTTGGGCAATCACAACTCTTTTACTCCAGGGGACTATAGGTGTGCCAAATGGGGATAACGTAGTGTTGATTGACCTACTCCAAGATGTGGATAGTAATGCAATTAAATAAGTCATTTAGCAGAGCATCTGTTTTGTTTCTGAATTGTTTATCTATGGTTATAGTTAAGTTCTTTTGGGACAAATGTGTGCTGGTGATTGGAAGAGAAAACTACTTATTGAGTCCAGTAGAGTTTTCTGTGCTTCTATAACTAGGGTTGTGTTGGGAACGCGCATGGATGAGCCCACAGTTGCATTATCATAATCAATTAAAACAATAGCTAACTGCAATTAAATACATATAGCGTAGGAGTCTGGTGTGTATACCTGCATTCCAACCACAGCATATATAAAGAACAGCATAAGAATTAGCAGAGCCACATAGGGAAGAGCCTGCAACACAATAAAACATGTTAATGTCAGAGAGACATGATAATGCTGAACCACAGGCTGAATTTTCCTGTGAAATGATAACGACCTGAAGAGATTTGATGAAGGTCCAGAGAAGATTCCGTATTCCCTCGGAACGATTCAAAAGTTTCACAAGACGCATGACTCGAAACAGTCTGAAGAATGTGACTGACACGCTCATGTTCTCAGAAGACTTCTCAGAGAATAATAAAGGACAAATTAATAATGACAGAGCCAACTCCTAAATAACACAAATTTGGAATTTAAGAAAAAGTGAAGCATCTCACCGCAATTGCTTGCATGGGATCCACTGCCTGCAGAAACAAATATGTATTTTACAAAAACTGCCCTCAAAAAAGGCTTTTATAAGCAATTTTTTTGGTACGTAAACCAAAAATGTTTGTATCAACACATACGCAACTGATCATTTCATAAGAGGCAGAGCCATGCTTTTAGGAGAATTAAGATAATCTTAAAATAGCATGCATGTGTTATCGTACTTAGTACTTTGAGTACTATAGTACTTTGTCAGTGTAACACTTCATACAGATTTATGCAACATGTCAACTTCGTGCTAAATTGAAGCAAGTGAATAGTTACAGTGCAGCCGTGGAGACAGTAAAGTCCTCCAGAGGAGGCCAGTGCTGCCTGTCGGAGGAAAATCAAAAAATGTAAAAAGTCATTGTCATGAGCAAATAAAGAGAGCTTTCATCTGTAAAAGGGACAGTGGGAGATGATGGCAAAAATATATTATTATTATTATTACAAAAAAACATTGATGAAAAAAGATGAACACATGTGCATCACACATTGTACATATTATCAAGATGTGGAACAGGAGAAATTAAATTCTTTAAATTGTATCTATACTACATAATTACCAACACTGCATAAAGCGGTTCTCAGATTTTGTAAATATCTCCTGGAGATTGTGCACGGAAGGTTAGGAGTAGATGTAGGAGGAGGAGGATGTCACGGTGTGGTTCACTTCCTGTCTTATTTTGTAGTTTTCTGCCACTCGTGTCCCCGGGTAACTTCACTTCCTGCCTTGTCCTGTCGTCCCCTGTGATCGTCTAATCGTTTCCACCTGTGTCCAATCACCTGCACCTCCCTAGTGTATTTAAGCCCTGTGTCTCTTGTGTCACTTGTCGTGTCATTGTCAATCGTCCTGGATGGTCGTAGTTCCCGCCTGCCGTTTTTCCCCAGTTCCTGTGTGCGTTTTTGCCCCTTTGCTTTTGACTATTAAAGTCTTTTGTTTTCTAAGAAGTCTGCGTTTGAGTCCTGCCTTCTCCCCGCATCCCTGATGGAGGATTGTTGCGCAAAATACTTGCACCCAGATCGGTGCCAGTGCCTCTTTCTTGAGTTGAATTTCTGAGAAAAGAAACTCACCGGGCAGCAAACACCATTTCCATTATCCTGCATCCATTATACTGCGCAGCCCCATTTCCCACCTTACTATCATCCACATACAGAAAAACGGTTTGGTCCATTTGCAGACTGTAGACAACTTGACAGACGCAAGGGGTTCTTGACAGGTGAGGGACAACTCAAACTTGTCTTCTTAGCCCTTTGGGCTCCATACGTGGGAGTGGAAAAGAGTCCGACTTACAAATGACATTTGTCAAACTCAAGGCCAAGAGCTTGAAAGGCAGATGATTGTCTTAAAATAAAAGTCCCCCCTGCTTTGGACCATGCACTTCCTCTTCCACAATGCACGTGGATTTCGGACAACCCAAAATAGTACACAGTGACAGGAAAAAAAAGAAAGAATAAGGAATAGTACTTACATCAATTTCACTCAGCATCACGTCCACAACACTTCCAATGACGATGACAAAGTCAAAGACATTCCAAGGGTCTCCGAAATAACCCTTTGAGAAGACCATATAAGTGTATGTGTGATTGAGAATGTCACTCCCCATGTAAGTCATCATGTTTCCACGGACCTCATTGTAGGACATTGGTAGATTTTTGCATTTCAAATTGTAAAACAACAGGAATTTCAAAATGTAGTTTGAGTAATTCAACATCAATGAGTAAGTCAACATCAATGTCCAAAGAAAAGAACCTGCCTGGCTAAAAGGGAAGGTGTAGCTTGTAAGGGGTATAACATCTGTAGCACTGTACAACATCTGAGAAGGATTTCCACGAATGAACCTCAGGATAAAAGGTTACTGATGGTAAAAGATCATTGAAATGTCCCCTTCGTCTTTCATACAAAGATATCATACAGAGCTTTCACCTTTATAACACCCTTTATAGAATTCTCATAACTTGAAACCAAAAAGCATTTGATATCACCACAAGAAAAAGGCTACGAAAAAACATGAATGGAGGTAGTAGTTTCCCCAAAACAGCGTAACCAAATCAATCAATGAATCGTGGCTCACCTTTGCTTTGAAGGCCATAAGTTTAAGGATCATCTCCACAGTGAAGAGCACGGTGAAAATGACATTCAGCATGTCAGACAGGTGAGTTACGTGATCTGACTGCTTACAGTGCTGTGGGTTGAAGACACATTCCCAGCATGAATATAAAGTCAGACAGAGCGATTGTACTTGTATAATAGCACCAAAATGAAAGAGGTTCAGCAGCATCTCTGTCAAAAATACAAGCCTCACTAACAGCTTTTCCTTAAACACTTTCACAATAATGACATTTCTGTCATTATTACTTAGACAACGAGAGTCTGTGCTCTCTTACACGGATACATTGTGGTATTATTATGTTATTACACATGTTCAGCCAATAGTCCTCAGACACCAGCAACATAATGAATATGTCACAATTTCCGATTCCCACTATAAGACAGACCAGAGATAGAAGGCGTGTTATATGTATGTGAGATGTGTTCATACCTGCATTCCAAGACACATGGTGTTGAGCATAATGAGGAGGAACATTAGGTACTCGAAGTAGCAGGAGGTGACGACGTACCACACCTGATACTGGTAGGGGTTCTTAGGAATATAACATCGCAGAGGTCTGGCCTTGAGAGCATACTGCACACACTGGCGCTAGAGGGTTTAAAGACAGGTGATGCAGACCATGAGACGAAGTTGAATCATGATAAACTGTGATGATGGATTTTCTTTTCTCCAACTATTTTGGACCCTTGCTAATAAAATGTAAAATAGGCCAAGGAAAAGAGAATACAATCCCAGAAATATGATATCCAAATACAATTAAATGAGTATTTCTGCATTCAGCAGCATAGAGTAGCACTGAAGTTACAGCAGCGTTTGTATTTGTTGGTTGGTTGTTTTTTGTTGCCAGTGGACGTATCAGTTTTATTTGCATTTCCAGTCATTTTGAACAGAGGCCTACTTGGTTTTTGTCCAGTTCACAGTCCTTGTATTCCTGCTCTCCTTGCTCCTGGAAGGTCACGATGACAAAGCCCACAAATATATTCATCATGAAGAAGGCGATAAGGATGAGGTAGATGATAAAGAAGATTGAGATGGCCACACGGTTGTTGTACATTGGACCATAATCCTCCAAGTTTGAATCAATAGCTTTATATAGTATCCTAGGAATGAAAGACAAGTCACACACAAATACAGAAAATACAACATGAAATAATAAGAGTGAATTTCAGATGTACTGTACACAACTACATAGTGAGTGGGTGGGTGCTAATGAACACTAAACTATCAACCCAGAAATGAACAGAAACCCCTACATTGCCACTGAAAAGATCATGACTCACTTTGGCCAGCCTTCAAAGGTAGAGATGGTGAAAAGAGCCAGCATGCCATTGAGGATGTTGTCAAAGTTAAGTTCTGAGTTGGTCCATTCCCTCTTATGGACCTCAATCTCATGAAGTCCTCCTTCCTGGTACTTCATGTACCAGCCCCTGGGTCAAAGTGGACGGAATAGACACTACAGTTAAAATCTCCGTCCGCCTTTATCCAGGTTCTCCAAGTTACATTTTTATTAGCACATAAAATTACTAATATAACCTGTTTCACTGTAATACTGGTGTATTTATTGGTGCTTTTCAGACAAAGAAGAGAACATATATAAAGGAAATTCAAATATATTCATTTGTCTAATTAGTTTGGGTTCAAATGAACACTTGCAGATAATGAGACAATGACTCTTACTCAGATCAGGCATTACTGCTTGTTTTTGTCTTATGCAAAATTAAACTGAATATCATTATATAATGATTTGACCTTGAAGGCTAGGAGAGTGTGATCCAGGCATTATGGATTATATGATTTTTTGGGTTGTCAATAATACACCACCATACCAGTGGCCACCACCACCACACCAATAATGAAATCATGAATGAATGCAATCTTTAATCTTCTGATCTGCATTAGAGGTGTCATATAATTCATAGAAGTGACATAAGCGGGCCCCCCAGTAAATCCACATAGAGGTCACGAAGGGACTGGAGGTTTTTAGTAACTTGAAGGTGTCCAGTCTAAAGACACTGAAGCGACGGCTCACAGAGAGTAGCCTGCAGGAATGTGGATGTTGTCGGTTACTCGGGACTTAAAAACTCTTCCTGAGAAATCACTTTTTTAATAACACAACAAAGTGCTTACTTGCATGTTTCTTCAGTCATTTTGTCAGGATCTGTGCAGGCATAGAACTTTCCCTTGGAAGATAAAAATGTGTAGTTATGAGAAGGCAGAAGGAGAAATATTTAGATTGACAAATGCAGTGCTTAACATAATTCTCCATCATATTTCTGTGTCTTCTTACTTTGAAAAGTTGGACTCCGATGCAGGCAAACATGAAGTCCAGTAGCATTGTGACCGCTACAATGTTTCCAATGGTCTTGATGGCAACAAACACGCACTGGACGACATGCTATAAAGACACACATATTACACACGAAGAAGGAGGTCAGTAAACAGCCATTAAAGACTTTATCAAAAGACAATTCATACCTTGAGTCCCTTTGCTCGGTTGATGGCCCTCAGGGGCCGGAGTACCCTTAACACCCGGAGAATCTTCACCACAGAGATGGCACTAGATCTACCGGACACAAGCAAAGGCACAATGTATTCACGGACGCTCACTCTATAGCAACACGTTGATCTTTATTCCACTGGTGTGATCGAGGGATATGGCAACAAGATGAAGATAAAGAATGAGCTCTTTACATTAGAGGTCATTTCTAGTTTACACTTACTCCATGCCCATTGAGAGGAGAGATACACTGACCACCAGAAGATCCAAGATGTTGAAAGAGTTCCGACAGAAAGACCCTTCGTGAAGAATTGCACCGTATGTTGTCATCTGAAAAAGAATGCTTGTTATTCACAGTGAAAAAACTGTGAGAACAGTTGCCTTGCTATATGTGCTACATCTACCTTTTGGATTACAAAAAGCTGAAATGAAATGTTACCAGAGCAATAGAAGTAAAAATACCATCTAAATCTGTCCATGTCATCCTGGTAAGACCTGAAAACAAGGTGATGCCCGAAGCAGTTGAAATGCAATTTCAACTGCCTACTGCTACGTACATGTATTGAACCTCAATTGAAAAAAAGCCTCATTTCAAACATGAACAGGTAAACATGAAAGAGATATTCACTGATTCTACCTGGTCACTTGACGTTTAATTCAGCCAGATTTCAGTTTGGTAGCTTTATTGTTGCTCGTTCAATTTATGTAATTTATTGAAAACTTGTGTGTATCAATAAGAAGGTAAAAATAAGATATAGTATAGTAGCTTCCTCTCCGCTCTCTCTCTGTCGTCTTCAGGTGGTCAGCGATGGACCGCTTGGCGAAGCACGTTGTTCCCTCTTAGGAGGGGCAGCGGGGTAGAAATGTCCTGTCTATTACTATTTAGGCTTAAAAAATATATAGTAAAAAAAGAATTAGACTTGAAACCCATGGCCTTCTCACTGAAGGTCATGGGTTTTAAGTATTGGAACTAAGTTTATACTATGGCTTCTTCACTTAGTAATAAAACAACATTGCCATTGTTCCAATGGTTTACACTTGATCCTGATTAAACAGATCATCTCCATCTTTAGAATCCGAAAAAGCCAGACCTCTGAGAAACCTTGATGCATGACTTGTACGTATTTCAAATCTGCTTCTATTTGCAAGTGTTTTTAATAAATGTCCTGTGTAATTATTTTACAACTGGTGTCAAGTAAGATTATTCTAACAAACACAATTCTTCAACAGATTATTAACATCATTTTCATAATTTGGCAAACTTGCATGACCTGTAACAAAGCATCATGTCTCATTATGTTTCTCCACACCTGCTGTTTGCTAATTTGTCACAGATATTTATGTGTAATTTCACCACATAATTACCTTGAGCACAATTTCCGCTGTGAACACCGAAGTGAAGACTATATCAGCAGACGCCAACACCTAAAATGTTCACATTATTTGCAATGTAAAACAGCTGTATCATATCTATATTTAATGCTGATAACATGAATGAAAATTGTAATTGCTCAATTGCAAAATCACAGTAGGACAGACATGGACCTCCCACCTGGTTCCTGAAGGACATGGGGTCAATGGGATCCTCAGCAGCTAAAGAAATAGATGATAGCAGGATGAAGAGGAGGATGATGTTGGTGAAAGTCGTTGCATTGATAATACGATGACAGAGCTTCCGGAACCTGAAATAGTTAAAGAAAATAGAAAGAACTTGTGAAACTCATCCAAAAACCACCAGCAAAGTAATATTAATATTTTCTCCATTAGTATATTCTGTAACTCTGTAATTCTGTAGCCTGTTGTTGTTACACCATTATTTGACTTTTGATTTTGACTATTTTGAAGCGTAGAAGCTACATCAGGTTCGATTGTAGTGTTAATTCATATACATCTTGCTAATTGTGTTTATTAGAGATTTTTTGAGAGATTCTCGTCCTGGAACCGTTTGCAAAGAACAAACGCATTGTTCTTTGCAAAGTATCATACTTGTTCTGAGGTCCAAAGATAAAAAACGAGCTGGCTTCTGGCATTGGAACCGCTTCCTCCTTCAGCTGCAGATCTGCCATTGGACGAGGTCTCGGGCTTTCTGGGATCTCTGGGTCTTCCTCCTCATCATCACCTACCCAACAAACAGAAGTATTAGCAGAAACCCTTTTTATATTTTCAAACTCTAATAAACTACACTATGGAACCAATATAATTTACCAGGAAAGTCAGCTGGGGGGAAAGGGTCCTTGATCTCATTGACATTGGACTCAAACTCGTCGATTTTGAGCTGCAAAAATGTAACAAAAAGGATTGGAAATGAAAATGATATTGTGTAACTTACCCTATTCATGAATGCTTCTTATGTGCCTGACCTTGGCAGTTGTAGGGATTCCCTCCACACCTTTGGCCCTTTGCTCAGCCAGCTTTTTTGCCAGATTTGCTTTCTCCTCTGAAGCCTTGTCAGGCATGTTGGCCCTTTAAATGAACACAGCGTTTCAGTCAATTGCTTGGTGGCTTGTGGGATTAAAGAGAGCTTAAATCAATATGTAAACAACTATATGTCACATGTATGTATATAAAGTAATGCTGCCCAGGATAAGGTGTTATTATCGCAATCAGTCAATAATGTTGACAATTTTTTTATTGTGCATTGGCGCATTTATTAATTTAATGTTGTTTAAGCATCATTATTATTCAGAGAAACCCTTTGCTCACTGACACTGAGGTCACAGTGAGGGTGTGATGTTGATCAGTGTTGGCTTGGGAGGGACGTCACCCTGCATGTTATATTGGTAAATATGCTAAATCTAAATCCCCACCCTGCATGTTATTCTCTTCAGCACTGAATTCAAAATTGAGTGGTAAAGTCTCCCAGCTTGACCACTGTGATAATAACGTTACAGAGCTTGGCTTCGAGAACAACATCAGCACCTAAGTTACTTTTTATCATAACGTCTTCCTCTTCATAGTTTCTCATGCTTGAGAATTGCAACTCAAATGAAAACATGAAAAGCAGCGAACCTGAGAGCTCTCTTTCGTATTTTCTCCTCTGCTTTCTCCTTCTGTGCCAAAGTCAAAGACTCAGCCTCTGCCAGGTTATCAACAGCAATGGCCAGAAAGACATTTAGTAGGATGACTGAGTGACAGGGGAGTCAAAGATTGTTGCTGTTTTATTGTCATTTTATCAGAAATTGTTGTTTTCAAGGTTGAAGTTGAGTTTTGGCTTGAGACACAAACACTGGAAAGGATACAATTTCCACAGACAAAAAGGATGATGAAGTAGATGCTGACCAGGATACCAGGCATGCTGGGTCCTTCATGAGCCATGATGCCGTCATACATCACGGTGTTCCAGTCCTCACCAGTCAAAATCTGAAACGCATACACTTTAATACTAAAGTATTACAAATATTTCAAATCATCTTTAACTTTAGAATCATTTGAGGTGTAGTGTTTTGATTGTACTTGAAACACAGTGATGAGGGCCTGAGGAAAGCTGTCAAAGGTGCTGCGGGGTTTGGGTTGATTTGGGAAGTTGAATTTCCCTCCAAACACCTGCATGCCCAGCAGGGAGAATATGACAATGAAGAGGAAGAGGAGCAGCAGCAAGCAGGCAATGGAACGTACCGAGTTCAAAAGAGAAGCCACCAGATTACTGAGAGATGTCCAGTATCTAGGGGCACACAACATCAATCGAATAACTGCATGGGTGCTTCCGCCAGTTGTATTCCATCAAATCAGAGAACATATAACTCCTATTTCAAATTGCTTTTGTTTTTAAATGACATTTCAGGTGAACTTTTTCTTTGCCTGTCCAAGCTGACCAGCTGTCAACACATGTGCACATGTAATGTTAAACCCTGAAGCAGCAGGTCTCACGTTGACACAGGCTTGTATATCATGTCTCTCCTTTGAATGACAATACACCATTGATGAAAGCCGTCTCACCTGGTGACTTTGAGCAGGCGGAGCAGGCGGATGCAGCGCAGCACAGAAATGCCCATGACTGACATGACACCCACGTGGACAAGGATGAGCTCCATAATGCCAGTGGACACCACAAAGCAGTCAAAGCGATTGAAGAGGGACATGAAGTAAGACGGAAAGCCGAGAGCGTACATCTTCATGAACATCTCAAGTGCAAACATGGACAGCAGCAGCTTATTGGCATTGTCTGTTGATGGTTTTGGCCAACAGTATGACGAGAGAGACAAAGTGAGAGAAAGAAAACTGCATCATTCTGGAAAGAGTTGCAGCTTTCAAACTAAAGTTAGAAACTATCAAATGAACAGTTCAACACAATAAGTGCATTTCAACCGTAAGGATGCAAACCCAGAAGAACAAGAAACAAGAAAGTGCAATTTTATCAAATAAGCCGATTTACAACTTGCTATAGATAAGAGCCATTATAAGTACAGTTAAAGTGCTACAATTTGTTTTGTGTCTTTAGTCGAGGTACAGTCTGAGGAGGTGTGTCTTTATTTTGCGGCGGAAGATGTAAAGACTCTCTGCGGTCCTGATGTCATTTGCTCTCAAACTGAATTTTATTAGTAAAAAGGAAAAAATACATTTCATAAACATACTGAGTAATCTATTTATTCTGTCTTCGCATTTCACTCCAAGCTTGCATTTCAATCTTTCACCGTAAACATGATCCTTTCTTTCAAAACATACAGTCTCGGACTGAAAGTAAGATCGATCGATGAAGATGAGCAGGTTGTAAATAACAAATGAACTACATGAAGAGGTATATAAAAGCGCTCACCTTGCCAGTTTGTGAGTCTCTGGGACTGTCTGTGGTGTTCCGTTGCGATGGCCAGTGTATTAAGCAGGACGAGCATGATCACCCACCAGTGGAATAGTTTGGACTTCACATACACTCTGCATTTACGCCGTAACCAACGATTCCACTTACGAGCCAGCTTACTGCACAAAAAAATACAGAAAGACAGGTTGAATTCGTACGAATGGTGGCCCTAAAAAACAGACAGCATGACTTTTAAATGCATTTGACCCTTTACATTGTCATCGGGTTCGTCTCATGTACTACGGATATGTGACTACTGGTTACTGCATGCCATTGGGCATGGGGGAGAAGAGGAAAATAGAGCATTTGGCACGTTCCTGCTTCAGCTTTCTGACCGTGGAGAAGAAGTCTCCTACATGGTTTGCTCAAGGACATTTACACTTGATACCGTTGCTCCTAATTCCTTCTCTAATCCTATTAGCCACAGCTGTCGGCTTTGAGCTTATCCACTCTTAAACACACTACACATTATGCTATTCTAATAACAATATCTTTTTGACCGGTGAATGAAGGGTCGCCATGATTTCTGGCAAAAGAGACAAAAACAACTAAGTGCTGTTTTCTTTCTTTAGCTGCTGCCGTTATTTGTCTCTTACGTCCCCCGGCTGAAGCCTTGGTGTAGCTGTGTCTTATTTGGTCGGCTGCATCCTTACGAGAAAGCATTTGTCGACCGCACGCATTAAATGAAATAAGTAGATTATCTTTTTTTCGGCACTTGTTTTTTGGATTTTAAGGCTTTCACTGTCAAGCACAGCCGGTTGCTAGGCAACGGGAGCAGCGGTTCAACCTGTGCGTGTGTTGGAAGCAGGATGAGGCTGGTTTGATAAATCAGGATATAATGTGTGTGTGTTCAAACACAAGGACCGAAACCGAGACATTCCAGAAACCTGATTCTCATGTCCAAGTGTCATGTTTTACTCCTCTCAGTCCTTTTAATCAGCATTTACCGGGTACAAAGCAGGTTGATATTAGTAAAAAACATTAACTCAGAATGACCTAAAACTTTAATTCTGACATGAGAGACTTTTTAAAATATAAAAAATATATTAATAGCAACATTCTGCTATTGAGGGTACTACTGACTAGTAATAGATGATCATCTGCATGGTGTCCATTTTGTTGACACTTCCAGTCTCTGATCCATTTTCTGTGCTGAGCAACCCTGTTGACAGAGAAAAGCAAACATACACAGAAATGTTCTTTAGATCATACGTCTCCATTTGTTATTCTCTGTCTGGAGACTGTACGTCAGAAGGCAATATTTATATCAGGTAACTGCCTTTTTATCCACTTTTGCCGTGAAAAGAGTGGTGGAAAAAAAATTAAGAAAAGTTTAGGATGTAATAATTAATAAAATCAATAACAGATAAATAGATACTGTTTTGCTTCCAGGTGCGGAGCGGCAGTTCCCATCATTATGCATTTTTTGAGCAGGGACCTAAAAAACGGATTTGTTATTACATTACATTACATGTCATTTAGCTGACGCTTTTATCCAAAGCGACTTACAATAAGTGCATTCTACCAAACTCAGAAGAACAAGAAACAAGAAAGTGCAATTTCCTCAAATAAGCCAATTTACAATTTGCTAGATAAGTGGCGTTATAAGTACAATTTAAGTGCTACAATCATTATTAAGAGGTTAAAAGGTGTGAGTTCATCAAATTGTTTGATGATTCAGCTTTTAGCATGCATATTAAAGATTTAGTAGTTTAATTTAATTTTTCTTTTGTATCTCATGCAGTAGTGGCTTGTTTCAGCCTTCTTAACCTTGGCCATGTCTGTGACCCTGGTCCAGGTACGTTGCAGTTCTGTAATATTGTAGAACCTTTTGGCCGATTTGCGTGAGGAATAGAAGCTGTATAATAATAATATATTATTAGTTGGAAAAAATGCCTTTACCTTAGTTAGACTATTAGGGAGTTCATTCTAAAGCCGATCAGATGTTACAGTGAAAAGACTCAGCGGATTAATTTAGTAAAGTGATTAATCTATTGGGTCAATGAAAATCTTGAATTATAATATTTTTCTAAGCATGTTATTTATATGTTTTATATCATAATGTTTTCTATTCTGTGCCTTGTTTCTTACCCTGTCCTTCCTGGTCATTGTCCATGACCTCAGCCTGAGTTATCCACTCCATGTATCCCTTGAGGTCCTCATCAAGCTGCTGGGTTTCCCTCAGCTTCTGAAATTCTCCTCGGGACTTGGCCTTCTCTCGCTCTTTCGTGAACTCCCTAGTTGGAAACAAATTAAGTCACATGAACTAAAGAGACAGAACACACTGAGAAGTGCAAATGAATGAAAACTATGAAGTGCAGGAGAGTAGCTCAGTTGAGGGTAGGTTCATTCTTACCCACTGAGCACGCCCAGAACCAGGTTCAGCACGAAGAAGGAGCCGACCAGGATGAGCGTAGTAAAAAAGATCCATGGCCATTCCATTCCTATAGCATCATTGACCTGTATGACAGAGCAAACGTTTCTATCTTTATGAAAGAAACAAGAATACAACTATAACTTCCCGTTGGTAACAACTGACAATGAAAGATCTCCATATGTTGCATAGCATATGACTCAAAGGTCCCCCGTGGAAGGGTTTGTCATTTTTGGGGAGTTTTTCCAGTGCCGATGTGAGGGTTTCGGTACAGAGGATGTCGTATGTGTACAGACTGTAAAGCCCTCTGAGGGAAATTTTTAATTTGCAATTTTTGGCTACAAAATAAAATCTCATTAATATGATGAAAGGAAACTGAAATAGTCAATACAAAGAAGACATATGGCCTCACTGTATGGTATTGAAATGCTAGAGGTCATATGATATTGCGAGAATATAATAATTCTACTCTAAGCTGTCAGCACACTGGAATGGAAAAACTAGCTGGAGAAGTAACTTTGAGAGGATTTTGCTCAAATGGCTCTGTGAGTAGGCACACTGTGACACCAGGCAGACTTATTGTCAAATGTAAGTTAAAATATATCATTTTAAACACATTAAACAACTTCCAGTTTTCTTGGACTATTAACTTACCCAATAGAGGACATCAGTCCACCCCTGTGTGGTGATACACTGGTAGACAGTCAGCATGGAGAAGCCTAGGTTGTCGAAGTGGGTGATTCCATTGTTCGGGCCTGGCCAGCCAGCACGACACTCTGTGCCGTTGATGGTACAACGACGACCGTTCCCTGCTTGGGCACACGGAGCTGGCTTTTCATTCTCCACTGTGGCAATGATATCTGAAGGCCAGAGAAGGGTAATGTTAAGGGTTAGATTGGTCTTTGGCACACATGGTATCACCTGTTTCCCTTTTGTCTTGTGAAGAAACTGAATCGTTGAAGCATTCCTAATATCAGAGCCCATTGGGAATGAGGGATCAGGGTTGCCGCGTCACTCCTTCGGGTCCGCACTTCACCTTCACCCAGATGGGGGCCCCGGGCTGACTGGACCATTCATAGTCTGGCCCCTTGCCTGTGACCACCTTCGCCAAGTGCAGCCCTACCAGGAGCACACACCTCTCTACACGATAAATTGATTTATTCTTACTATATGTTGGAAATATATGATGAATACGGTCAGTGTTGGTGCATTGTATTTGTATTCTCTATAGTATTATAGCCAGGTATAACCATGTTATGCTGCATACTCCACCTGTGCCTGTGTAGTAGCACGTCTTGTGCATTTTGCACTTGAAGAGCTCCAATCCCATGATGGAGTAAATAGTGACCATGAACAGGACAAGTAGGGTGATGTGAAAAAGGGGCAGCAATGACTTCAAGATGGAGTTCATCACCACTTGAAGACCTTAGAGGGACGAGTACAACATGTTAAGTTTGATGAAATGATATCATTTCAGTGGTTTAAAGTATCTGATTTTAAAGCAGACCAGCAACTCACTGGGAACTCCAGACACCAGTCTGAGCGGTCGGAGGACTCTGAATGCACGCAGAGCCTTCATGTCAAAGCCACCACCTTTTTCTCCCACTGTTGCCTCCACTCCACTGATGTGGTTGATGGCATCCACAACCACAGTGAACAAGCTGAAGAGACGAAGAAAACAAATGTCAAAAGGTTGTTTGGAACATTTAACGTGAGGGTCCTTTCTGACTATGTTCAATGACCGATGCTTCTCCTGGTGAGTCTATACTATTAGAAATAATTTGATTTCCTATTTTAAGGAGAGGAAATAATGAAAACATAACTTTAGTAGTTTCTTCTTGACACAGAGAAAGTTGACCTTTCAGTTATGTTTTTCCCTCTAAACAGTAAGGTTCATAAATCGAATTACAGATTGTAAAAAGTTGCACAAGACATTTGAACACACAAAATTCACCAAGATACTATTAATGGAATTTGGAGTGTGATTCAGAGTATATAGTAATGTGGCCATTCGGAAGCTAGAACTTACCCTACGGACACACACACAAAGTCCAGAATGTTCCAGCAGTTTCTTAAGTAAGCATCTGTATGAAAAAGAAATCCATAGGCAACGATCTTCAAGAAACATTCTATGGAGAAGATGATGAGGAAGATGTACTCCAGGCTTTCCTGTAAAACAACCAAAATGGCTTTTGTTTGAATTCCTGGTTCTTATAAGCTCAAATAACATTTTTAACAAGTTATTTCCCCCGTTGGACCTTTGCTTTTTAAAGGTGGTGTTTTCACTCAGTGCTTACTTACACAGCACATTGAATAGTGAAGTCAACTCCCATATTCATGTTTCTTTTCTTTATCAACTTCTGTCTATTCAAGTCACCGACACACTGACAGACCCCTGGAAGGATTTAAGGCCTCTCCGATTTCAGCACAGATATTCAGTGAATGCCTATTTTAAAAAAGGCACAGCACATACAGTGCCCTTCAGGAGAGTAGCACTGATACATAGGCCTAGTAGTGTCCTTGTATCATTGTCCTTGGCTATAGTTAATATTTATTAATGTTATGGTGATTAATGGTAAATGGACCCTACTTGTTCCAACTACTCAAAGCATTTCAACGCTGCATGACACCATTCGCTCATTTGCACACATTCACGCAGCGATGGCAGAGATCCCAATAGGACTTTAACTATCTACCCTATTAACATTCATTCAGCATTCACACACACTGTAGGCACATCTACAGCAGTACGTGTTTGGACCAAGGACACGTGGAATAGTAGACTACCACTAAACCACAAGTTCAACTTTTTCAGCACTCACACTGTTCTTTAAGCTATAATTCTGTGGTTGATTCGTCAACATTCATCCGTCCTAAAGATTAGCTTATCAGGTGTAGTTAAAGGGACCGTCGGACCTTTCCAGCAGCCTGTGAAATGAGCCGCTGGTATTTACGTCTCCGTAAAGGTTATACATGAGCTATAACTAGACTTGAGTGTTCATAACGTTAATCTGTTGTCAAACACTTTTCTTTGTTCACCGTAGCGTTACTTGTGTTTGAAGGCAATAACTTAATGTTTTAATTGAATTGTATCGTTGTTTTACGATTGACGGAACGTTTTGCTTGTCTGTGTACACGGTGGGCAGGCTGGTTTTACTGTCTATCTAAAACCGACAATGTTTTTACATAAAGGTTAATCACTAATGATTTTGACGACGTTGGCACTGTTTGTCTCAGCAAAATGATGCATCACTGTAATCAGCGCGCTTCCTCGTGCTGTTAGCATCGCTGTGTCCATGATGAGACGCACTGTGCTCCGGTGTGTGCGTGCGCTCCGACATTTTTTTGCCACAATGGCTTGGTGTGTATTTCATGATAACTTTGGCAGGCTTGAGAGAAATATCACCTATATCACTAGATTTAGGGCGATCTGCCAATGCTGAATGGTGCTTCATTATAAAAATCATTCTTTATTTTGAATGCAAGATCAGCTTTGCATCGACAATTAAAAAAAAAAGAGCATGCTGACATACCAAGTTGCTATTGGTGTTGTTGCTGTCTTCCTCAGGCATGGGCAAGTACACAGCCAGGGCCACGCAGTTGGCAAAGATGGCCAGTAGGATTATGATTTCAAATGGTCTGAAAGTGATTCATAGGAAGCTTCAGGGCTAACCACGTTAGCTCACTATTTCCCACGACAAATACCCTTTACACACATACACCTACAGCGGTAAACATATGCCAATTAATGATTACTGAAACTATGTATGCTGAGGGGCAGCTGCGGTCACAATGAAATGTCATTGTAAAATGTAATGCATAGGGACACTACTACAGCAGGATACTTCCACTCCACAACACTGATGCACGCCTTGCGGAATGGATTCCTAAGTGTCAAGAAGAGGAGAGAGCGTGCAGGCCTTGGGTTGCCTCCTGTAGACATCAGCTTCTTCAGCTTCTCCTTTTGTTTTCTCTTTAGAGTTTCTTCATCCATGATGTAGGATGACAATGGCGGACCGCTGCTATCGGCCATTGCGGCTTCAAAAGGGTATTTTTGCCAAGTTGTAGGAGGTAATCCAAAAGGTCCTTTTTAAAATGTGCAGTAGTCCTTTTAGCTAGTTCGGTACTCATTCATAACCCATCTGAACTTGTCTCAATCATCTCTATCACTCTCTCTGATGGTTTGACTGAGCTCCCCCTCTTTCTCTGTTTATGTCTGCGGAATGGCAGCTGCACCCTTTACTTGTAGGGGATTGGTTTGCTGAGCAGCTGTGTGGTCATGAGAATATATATAGACAATGAGCACGGGTGTTGTAGCATGTGTTGACAAAAGAGAACATTTGATGTGACTATGGTGACTTTCACCTTTATAGAAGTGAGTGTCACCAAAACAGAAAAGTGTAAAAGAAGAAAAAACTGCATATAACAAACAAAAACATTTCGCAAGAAATGTTAACAGCGTGGCTGCAACTGCCCAAAGACAAAGCAATACGTAGTAGTAGTAGTAGTAGTAGTAATTTTAATAGTGGTAGCAGGAAGTAAGTCAAATTTGTACCAGTGGTATTAATTGTCGTAGGTTTAGTACTGGCAGGGTAAAAAAGAAGCTATTAAAATGCCTTGGCACCTAATAGGTCTGAGACAAAGAGGAAGTAATTGTTTGGGAAGTAATTGCAATAGTAGTAATGGTGTAGTTATTAATAAAAGCAATTGTAGTAGTGGTCGTCCTAGTGTTAGTTGTAGTTTTTTTGGGAAAATGTTTCTTGTTGTCCAACATATACTTGTGTTATAATCATCTGTTGTTAGCGGCGTGGAGCGGCACTGGGAGGAACTTTTTGGAAACTTTAATATTATCAAGGTCTGACTATATTTCTGAGGAATCTGATTAATCTGAGAGGAGAAGGGTTTAAATTAAATAACATGTAACTTAATGTTGCCACCAGGTGACGCTTTTACTGGGAATGAAAATCATCATATGGATGTACAGGGTAAGGAGGTGACGACGTATGAGAAATATGGAGCAGCTCAGCATTTATGGACAATTTAAAACCACTTCAATTTTCATGGCGAATTGTAGTATTTTGCCACACTCGCATAGTTATAGCAATATCTTTTCAAGAGGGTACAAATCTAGTGAAGGGTACAAATCTAGGTCCCCAAAGTCCCCCTTTTGAAAACGTTTTCTGGGTTTCAGGTCAATGATTTGATTATGAGAATAAGGGAACTATTGGGTCCATGGTAAAAGAAGATAACCACTATCTTTTTCAGCCACCAGAAGGCTCAGCATGCAAGCACTTGGGCGGATTACCTTCGCAACCTGTTGTCTTTGACAGCCTGAGCTCTATACAGCTGACAATGGCACTGCATTTTATATAGTTTACTTTTTAGATCTTGCCGCCATCTAACGGAGCCTTCTGAATCAAGCTATCCATTTCTTGGCCAGCTGGTCTCTACTGATCATGTTATTCTGTGCAATTGTGCAGCTGAAATACTAACACACTTCTGCCACCATGCAAAATGAGCTGCAGTCCCTGTCGGCCCAAAGGCATACAAGCAGAGACCCTGTGTCAGAACTACTGTAAATAGTTGGGGCCCTACCTCCCCCACTTTAAATAGATCTACTGGGTCTGTTAGCTGCAGCTGCCTGCGTGGATCTACCATGGTGTGACCCATATGGGCCTTTAAGGCCAGTGCCAATATTAGATGTTATATTTAAGCTGCTTATAGACAGAACTGTAAGCTGAGTTTTATTATATTATCCTTAATTGTTGTTCATTATGTGCCAAAAATATATGAATATTATCCGGTGTTTTGTTCTGAACGTTGATTAAATATGTTGAAGCTTTGAATGCTATTAGAACAATACAATTGGTTTAATATCCTTAACTAAGAGCTTTGCAGTTTTTTGCTGGTTGTATTACGTCTGGATAAAGCTCTTCCTCACCACAGTAGACGTATTTTCTCAGGGAGTCATCTTACCAATAAGTGACTAAGTATTCATAAGAGGCTGATGTATAGACGACCCTATGAACTGCATGGTCTAATTCTAGCATTCTCTCCCCCTCTGCTCCCCCTTGGTCAGCTCCTTACTTTGTTCCTCTGCTCTCCCCTGCCCTCTCTACTCTTCAACTACCCCCTCACTTGGTTTTCAATCCTCTCTGCTTGTCTTCTGCTTGGTCTCTTTTGTTTTAGTTTAGTTTAGTGAACCCTACTTCTCATCATGGCGGAGAAAGGATGTTCCGTAACGAGAGGAAAGAGAAAAGAAGAATTGTCCAGCGAAAAGCCCGTGGATGTACAACAAATAAAGAATGAAGGAGGGCATGCACAGGATAACGCAGAGGTCGGTGCAGAAGATTCTCAGGTTGAGCCAATGGAACTACCTGCTTTTGAAATCATCAACGGGTAGGTTCACATCAATAAGTGTGGTCCACAAAACAGTCAATAAACAGAGTGAAAGATGAGCAGTGACCTCATTATGAATGTGCTGTATATTTTTTTTACTGAAGTGATGGTGTGCTCACAAGGTTGAGAGAATATTACGACCCCACATGATTGTACTGAAGCGATCAGAGTTGATTTGAGTGAATCTTCACCTTTACATTTGAGATCTGTGACAAATGTGAGAAAAATCCCCCAAGTGCCTTGCAAAAAACAATGTGTGATAAGCTCAAATGAGATGTCCATATAATGAAGTTTGTTTTACAGGTTGTTTTATTGTAGTAAATATAAAATATCTAAATGTACATTAAGACAAACCTCTAAATTTGATGATGTTGAACACCAAACCCTACAAACCAGTCAAGTATCAGCTTGTGTAAACTTAAACACAAAGTTATTCATCAGTTGCTTGAAAGTTGAGAAGATTCTTTGTTCAGCAGTGTGAATCTACAAGCATTATTCATGCTTTTTAGTAGAGGCTCATTGAAATGTATTCCTGCAGACTTTCCAATGGTTAATTCTTCTGTTTTTGGAATGCAGGAAACATGAGCGCCTGAGACTTTACAGCATGTTGGCTCTTTGCTTTTGGTCTGCGTGACCCACTTCAACTTCTAAGGAAAGTTTGGCCGGTGTCACTAACTTGGAAATGCAGCTAGATTTAGCAAATCTTCACACCCTGTGAACGACTTCATTTCTAAAACGTGACCAATTTAGCTAACTATTAAAATCAATAAGGGAAAATGCGAGAGATATATCAAATATATTACATTGAAATTCATTCTTAGTAATTCTGTTCTAGAACTAGTGCAGGCAAATAATCTCTGATCTTGTAATTATGTTGATTTTGAGAAAGAGAGGATGATTACTTAGTTAATGTGTTACTTTTAAACTAGATTACTGCAATTCTTTATTAGAAAACCATTATTATATTATAAGTGTCTTCAGCCTCTCCAGTTCAGAATGCTGCGGCACGTGTATTAACCAGAACTAAGAAAAGGGATCATGTTTCTCCTGTATTTGCTTCTCTGCACCGGCTCCCTGCTAATTCAAGAATAGAATCGTAAGATAGTTCTCCTCCACTTGCTGGACAGGCACCGTCTTATCTCAAGGAGCTTATAATACCATGTTGCCCTACTACTCCATAGATGGCGGTCTATTTGTTGCTCCTATAGAGTCTTCAAAAGTCGGATGTGAGCCGGAGCCTTCAGTTATCAAGCTCCTCTGCAGTGGAACCACTTTGAGTCCAAGGCGGCAAACAGTCGCCTCATTTAGGACGAGGTTCAAGACTTTCCTCGTTGATAGCGCTTATAGTTCTCTTACAGGCCTCCTGTTAGCCTCAACCGTGCCATTAGATGGGCTTCTAATGGCCTAGAATGCTCGGGGAGTTCCTAGGTTACACTTAGCTCCTCTCAATTCTTCTCTCTCTAGTTCCATAAGGATCTCATTACTGCACATTACTAATTCCATTACTGAAGCACCGGAGATGAGGTGCTTTCTGCAGATATAACCAGCCTGGTCCCGTCTCCTCACGTGGCCCTGCCGACACCTTTTCTAACATTAGTATTGGTGCCATTACTGTTACTGTCACATACAAAGTCCTGGATCAAGGAAACTCCAAAGTCTTCATCTTTGGAGGAGTCATATTAAACATATAAAGCAGGGGAGCCAAATCCAGGTCAAAGGTTTTCTCCATTTGAAAAACAAATTTAAGATCGGAATCTGAAAAATATAAAATCTGCAACCAAAAACATATAATATACAACGAATATCAAAAATATAGGGGTGAATGGAAAAAAAAAGTTTATTGAAAGAAAGTATAGCACTGAGTCAAAATGATATTCAAGCCAAACATACTTTCGTACACTAATTTTTTATTTTGAATACATTGTTGTATTTATCAATGTTCAAGACCAAAGCTATATAAAACCTTTGACTGGATAGTGCACACACTTTATGTCGTCTAAGTCAGAGGTCCCCAACCACCGGGCCCCGGACCGGTACCGGCCCGCAGGCAGTCAGTGGCTGTATAAAACAGGCAATTAATGGTCCTTTATAAAGTGTGAGTTACCGTAAAATAATTGATCTCGGTTTTGCATCATGTAAGAATTTTAAACTGACTTGACTATGTTTCTTTCATTCATTGTGTTTTTACACAGGGACCGAATTGATCCTTTTGCCTTTAAGTTCCAGTTCAAGAATGTGGAATACTCCTCGGGACGCAACAAGACCTTCCTGTGTTACCTCGTAGATAAAGGGAACACAGATGACGGGCTGCTGAGGGGCTATCTGGAGGATGAGCATTCGGGGTCTCATGCTGAGGAGGCTTTCTTCATACAGTGCATCCCAAACTATGACCCTTCAGTCAGATACACAGTCACCTGGTACATAACTCTCTTGATCAAATTAGAGGCAGTCATCGTGAACAAATAATATGAATGTGGAAAGCTTAAAACATGGGCTACAAAGCCAACAAAATCAGTGCTTCAAATGCCACTTCAACAATCTTTACACAATTTATCAAATTTCGCACAAACTGTGTACATTCATGAGGCCATCAGTGCTAATAAAGGAACCAAGAAACCAAACAGCAAGCACATTTTACCCTGATTACGCCGATATTCTTAAGGTTTCTCTCAGACAGAAGACTTATCAATAACTGCCTTAATGAACTAATTACAAAGTTCGATATGATGTCACATATCCTGTTAAACATTCGCTCACTCTGTTGCTTTCAGGTACGTGTCTTCCAGTCCATGCGCTGCGTGTGCAGCAAAGATAGCTGAAGTGTTGAAGGCCAGGAAAAACATCAAGCTGAGCATCTTTGCTGCACGGCTGTTTGAGTGCGAGGAGACAGATATCCAGGCCGGACTGAAGGCCATGCACACTGCGGGCTGTAAGCTGAGGGTTATGAAGCCTCTGGACTTCTCCTATACCTGGGATACATTTGTGGAGAATGAAGAAGAACCTCTTAACCTGTGGGAGGACTGCAAAGAAAACTATGAGTACTACCAGGAGAAGCTGGCTGACATTCTACAGTAGTGTGATACTATCAGCTAGTGAGAGCTCCAATAAATACTCCAATGTTCTTCTTTTTACGATAGTTCATGACATTCTTATTGTGTCGTATTGTCTAACAACAACTTCCTCACATTGTATTATTCAACGCAAGCGTAGACTCAGTCATCACTTGTAAAATGCAATGTCATTGACACGTAATGTAACACTTCTGCACACATTAAGTGTGAAAAAGGAAAAAAGTACTGCACTTTGAAATGGTTTTGAAATCTCTATCAGACGGCATAGTCAATAAAAGCAAAGCTATTTGTAACCATTGCAAACCGTTTCTTATCACCGGAGTGCTATGCGCCCAAAAGTACTACAAGCCCAAAGTACTACGACCCTGAAGTACTACTTAAAAGCGTTACAACATGGAGGCTTACACAAGCAGCCTGAAGAACAACATCTGTACCCTGTAAAAAGTGGTTTTCTCATGCTGGTGATGTTGTTCGGAAGAAGAGAGGTTCTTCATCATCTGAAAAAGTAAATGACTTTGTGTGTCTCTGCAACTGGCTTGGTGCAGAGAAGTAAGAAAATGTGAAGTTGTAGGAATGAATTAAAAAAGACTTTAACGGTTCATTTTGTCTCTTGTGTGACTGCTCAACCTGCATCACTTTCAAAGGAAATCCACAGCCTTCTTACTACTGAACATGTGCTGCTTCATGCTGTTCCTTGATGAAAGACAAATGTTTCTCTGCTGGTTCAGACCATTCTTCTGTAGAGCCTCACGTGTTCTCCAGCTCCTGGCCTCTTGAATCAATGTTACAAACTTTATTGGCTTATGATGTGGAAATCACACTACGAATAACACCTCAGAATGCTTGTCCGTGCTTCTCGAGATACACTGAGTTCTATTAACCCGGTCAGTGTCTCTCTGTCTGCCTCTCTCGCTCTCTGGCTTCCACTTTGCATCTGATGCATCACATGAAGTCCGGAGCGCCTTTTTTTCAAATCGGCCCACCTTACCAGGCTTGTCGTGTGGAACTCTGAGTGCTGCTTGATTAATTTCAAGAGCAGTAATCCACTTTCTCCTGTCTGCTTATACGTCCACCTTCAGCAAACTCATTTCAGGTTGGGGCCACATACGGGACCTAAAAATTGTTGTATATTGTCTTAGAATAGGCATTGTTGCATTTAAATGTCTCTCTCTCTACTTATGTCTTCTTTCTTATCTCGACAAACATCCAAAGAAAACCCCATTAGTTCATATTTTGGTCGGTGTAGCTACAGGTTTCAAACAGTAGGTGGCGTGGTTATCCCATTCCAACGGGATTTAAACAAAAGCCTTTTAACTGTCACACGGAAAACGATGTGGCAGCGAGTGAGTGACTGGGGTTAAACACTGAAGGGGGGAGTGGGGGAGACAGGTGAGTGTCATTGGGCTGACGAGGTGGATGTGACCAGCGGGTGAACAGGTAGAACTCTTCAGCTGGAGTGAGATGGGGAAATGACAGATGACAGAAGTGACTCTCTACGATCCTGGAGATCAGTTGTGTGACTTTCTACATAAGAACGGTTTGTTTGTTGAGCTCACAGCACAGAAACAGCACTGGTGGAAATTCTGAATGATCTTCTGGTTGCATCCGGCCAACGACTCGTCTCTGTTCTGGTCTCGTTGGCGCTTAATGCTGCGTTTGACACAATGCATCATTGTATTCTGTAGCAGAGACTGGAACATTTAACTGGTATCAAAGGAACTTCTCTCCACTGGTTTTAGTCATATTTATTGGATCAATTCCGCTGTGGGTTTGTAATCTGCGAACCCTCAATGAGCACCACCAGGTTCTGCTTGGACCTTAAGGCAATCAATGTTATCAGAAAACACTGAATAAACAGGTATTGTTATGGAGACGATATTCAATTGTATCTGTTTAACAGGCAAAACAAAACCAGCCACCATGTTAGACTTCAGGAATGACATCAAGATCTCTACCAACAGAAACTTTTTCATGCCAACTCTAACAGCATGGATATTTTTTTTAAGCCCATAGGAGTCTGGTGACGTAGTTTCTCTGGATTTTATTGCTCTGTTAACCGGTAGCACCCTAAATAATCATAGTTATCTTTGACCTTTAGCTCTTAGATAAGAGTCTTCAAAGGCTGCCTTCTTCACCCATGTAATGTGTAATAAGAACAAGTTGCATTTATTACTTCTAGACTATAATACTGCTGTCCTTCATCATGCTGTCCTTAAGCCTCTCCACTTGATTCATAATGCTGCGGCACGTGTAAGCGAGCGCGTGCACATACTGTGTGTTCTACCACATACCGTCGAATAAAAGGCACTCAATAATGTCGCAAACCACAATAAACGGCCAACTGATCTGTGTGAACACGCTCCGAACAGAACTTAAACAAGCAATAAAAGAGTTCCAGTACATCATATGCAAATCCAAGCTGAAGGCTGAGACCAGCCTGGCCGTAGATAAGCTGCCCTACTCCTAGACCGGCTCTCCTTCTATAAGAATTTACATCTTATTAATGGACATCACTAATGTAGCTACTTCCCCGGAGCTGCTTTCTCTTGATTATACACTGTGTGCACAATTATTAGACAAGTTGTATTTTTGAGGATTATTTTCATTATTGAACAACTACAGTGCTCTTGGTCAATGCAAAATAACAATAAACCCCAAAGCTTAATATTTAAGAAAGTAAAACTGAGGTTTTGGTTTTCCTAGGAGAATATCTATGTGTGCACAATTATTCCCCAACTAAATGAAAAACGATTATTTTCATCTGTTAAAGTGAGAATAATAGACATAAACAACTCAGGAATGTTTATTTGTACATTTTGACATTGCACTAAGTGCATTCTAACAAACAATAAAAAAAGTAATTTTCCCACTGGGAATCAGTAAAGCGTAAAGATTCTGTTTTGTGTTTAAATGAAATATTAACTCACAACACAATACTGGAACTTACAGCAAGTTTCTCTGTCTTTTGCTGCAGTAGCGGTGTTGCTTTTCTTTCTAATTACGGGTTCATACTCGTCGTACGCTTGCATTAATATTTGTAGCTCAATAGGGGTTGACGTATCGTTTGTGGTTGTTGCCTTGGTAACTCGTAGCATCGTGGCTCCGTTCATGCTGCCTTCATACTGTGGTGCCTCACGCGCTCAACTCTGAGTCAACCTACTCCGAGTTGATTGAACCAACAAACAGCTGTTCTGAAACCAGAAACTCTGGTTTCACATCTCAGGGTTTGAATCAAAACTACTACTCGAAACGGACCCCAGCTCTGCTATGATTATTATTAGTAGTAGTAGTGGTCACATTACTATTACTGCAATCACAAACACACGTTACTGATGTTGATTCTTTCCTGAAATGATTGTTCTTTCCCTCCCACAGGTTTCTGTGGGTTTCATCTGATGGTGGTTGTTCCTGCAGTTATCACGCTTTACTCCTGGCTTACTACTCAATATTTAAATCCTTTCGGTTTATGACTTACCTTTTGTACATCTTTTAGGTTGTTCGGATTTGTACACTTGACCTCCATTGCATTCTGTCCATCCCGGGGGAAGGATGCCTCTTCTGTCCTTCTCCCTAAGGTGACATTTTGATGTCATCTTTTCCTGTACTGATGTGTGGGACAAAGGATGTCTTGTGTGTGCAGACTCCAAAGTTACTTACTACTTACCTTGATATCTTTATCAAGCAAATACAGTGTATAATAACACAACATCCCTGAATTCAATGCCATGTACACCTCACAAGTCCACAACAGAAGGCTGCTTCTGGCTTTTCCATTAAATCAAAGACCATTCTCATTCTCTCAGCGTATACAATGACCTGTTGTACTACGCCCGTCTGTTACATCAGCTGCCCAATCTGCATCACTGTATGCCTGTTGCCTCAGTTTCTCAGATCAGGTGCATGTAGTCCGATAGATTAGGCTACCTTCTGGACTACCTACAGAACCTGGACTATAAACGCGTAAGATATTAGATAGATAGATAGCAAAACGTATTATATTACTCGATAAAGTTATTAAGTGAGAGATGAGTGATGAGATGATTCTAGTTGGATAGCAGGCAGGATTACATTTAGTCTCGGGAAGCTGTGGCAGCAATGGAGAGCTGTCTAAACGCTCCCTCTGCTTAATGATTGACTGGGAGAGTAATGGAGTTTCCGTCACAATGGAGTACATACATTCCAGAAGATCACTGTTGTGATAATAATAGGGTTACTGATGATATAATAACTCAGGTTAGTATAGGTTCATGTTTCCTTAAGTCATGACACAATAGTGACAGTCATATTATTAAACCCTCAGTAAAGTACGCAGTTCTAACTCAAATTAAATAGTGCTGCAATTTATGGAAAGAAAGAACTGAGTCACGGGTACAAGCGGCCAAAATGGGCCGTTCTCCCTTTGAGAGGTGAGGAGCTCGGTGTAGAAGCGCTGCTCCGTGGCTTTGGAAGGAGCCAGTTGAGGTGGTTTGGGCATCTGGTAAGGATGCCCCCTGGGAGGTGTCCCAGAGGAAAGACCCAGGACTTCTCTGCACTGGCCTGGGAACGCCTTGTAGATGTGGCCCGGGAAAAGGACGTCTGGGGCCCCCTGCTGGAACTGTGGTTGACGGCGAAGGATGGAATGAAAGTCTGCACTTTACTTAATTCAACACAGTGCAGTGGATAAGGATGGTGGGCAAAACGAAAGTGTAATAAGGCGGTTTAATAAGTGACTGGGGAGAAGGGCGTAATGACTCTCTGTGTCTTTCCAGAAAGAGGTTGGTTCATTCGAATACGTGCTGCTCCAATAAATCTCTGTGGATTGAAGGATCTGGATCTGTGTGTTATTGTGTGTTACTGTGAGGCTGTGTGGCTCCTTACCGAGAGTCACACAGATGAAGTAAACAGGTTAAAAAATAGTAAAAACTCCAAAGAATGTATCCACAACACCACTGGATATGCTCTGGGTTAAAAAAAAATCCGCCCCGCCTTCCTTCTCATTTATTTTCTGGCACAGACGATGCCGTTTCCAGTAAGCTACGTGTTGCACAAACATTCTGGCATTTGGCCAAATCTACCTGCCAAACAAGTATGTTGACCTAGTAGGAGGAGAGCAGAGCTGCTTTCACCTTACAAAGGTGTGTGTGTGTGTGTTTGCACACACAAGTATAGCTTTATTTTTTATGTGCCGTCCATAGTTAGTGGATTAACCTATTGCAGTAAATGATTGTCAGGTGTGTTGCTGTTGGGTTTTAGTTGGATTAGCGATAACCGAAAGATTAAAGATAAAATATTTAATGTACTACTGCTGTAGTCCTCAGTTCTGAGACAAAACAGAGTTAAGAAGGCTTTTGTTTTAATGGCTTGATTTTAGGTCCATTGTTATTTTTAATTCCGGTTTGTAGTGTTGACGTTGGGTCATTACAGACATTTTGTGTAAATGTGAATTAACTGATTTGACAGCTACAATCATGGATGGGATATTTTTGTCTTTCAGGCTGTATCATCAGGAACGACGGGGGGGACATCAAATTCTTTTCACTGAGCTTCTTTGCTCATCATCATTTATTCTGGTGAAAGGTGGAAGAACCCTGCTGACGTGGAGATTCTTCGACTGGTTACTGATTATGTTGAATTACGTTACTTTAAACATGACTAATCCATGTTGTATTACATGGAAGCAGACCCTTTCCTTTATGGTGGGAGAGTTCGCAGTAGAAAGCCAGTGGCACAATTCTAAACGAAACAAAGACAATGGGCAAACAATTCACTTCTTTTTTTTCTTGCTTTATTAACATTGTGCCCAATTCAGCCAGAAACAATTCTGTTGAGATTGGGTTAAAGATGTAATGCAGGTGTGTTTGGACTCTCATAATGTTTGAGGATAGATAATAAATGAATGCAGCTTCTTCTCTCGATATTACACATTCGCATTCACACAGTGCAGAGTCCATTTTGGGATTTAGTGTCTTGCCCAAGGACACATTGACATGGGCAGAGGAACAAAAGCCCCAATCTCCTGATTGAGGGAAAGTGCCAGGATCATGACTGATGATCGTGACTAAAAGTCTGCAGCAAGCTTCTTCTCCAAAATGTTATTCGTGGCTGCACTTGGTATCCTCCATCTTCAGTACATTTTCTTTGGACTGCTTCTTCACCAGTGGTGGTTTGTGTAAAAGTGCCACGCTGAGTGGATTAACATTCCTACACGGATGACAGAGACTACCAAGCAAGATGCCACTATTACTTTCTAACAGGTTCCACTATGTCATCTCATGATTAAAGGAGATTCGGATCAGAGGGATGAGCGATCTGTTTGCCCAGTCTAAGGACCCTACAACTAGAAAGTAAGAAGGACTCTGGAACTAGAAGGTGAAAGTGCATTTTGGATGACTGAACAATAGTTCCCACTGCTGCAGAACCATCAGATAAAAAATGTGACAGGACAGAATGGTGGCAGCCGAACGCGCTGAAGGAAGTTCATATAGCACAGACCAACCACTGAGATGTTATCATTTCCTGTTATTTGCAACAGGCCCAACCTGTTGTACACAAGGCTGACACCAGAAACCGGTGTGCCAGTGTCGGTTGGAAGAAGCGGACAGGGTGTAAACCAGAGGAATCCGCAAAACAGTTTTTCTGCTAAATGTTGTTGATGGTGACTGGATAGTTTGTGTTTGTACACAGTTTAGATGTATCATGTATAACTTACGCAGCTCGTTGACCTTTACACAAGTGAATGACACATGTTTTATGGCTCGCTTGAAAGCGTTGCGCAGTTGCATAACACTGACCAATTGTTCTACTTGCCATTGTGCAACACTGGCGTTTTCTGAAACTATTAGCAGTGAAACGGTTTTACAGGTTTTTTCAATGACGTCACATTGGTGAGTTTACAACATGGATAAAAATGAAGCCCTGTTTTCATGATGGTTGTTCAGATGGCATCTTAATTACCTTAATAAAACAAAATAATGAATGATGCTTGTTTTCACTATAAGACAGATAAACAATGTGTGTTCCTTCTGTTGCATTCCAGAGATTAAATTAGATTAAGGTTGGTTTTGCTAACCAGTGGTTGATTAGATTTCAGACAGCATTAAGGGTGGTTGTGAAGTATTTCATTGTCTCCTCCTGTTCATGTAAATATGCCACGACCCCCAATTAGGATATGAAGTGGGTATCACATTTTGATATATTAAGAACAAATCAAGTTCAAATACAACCAGAATTGAGTGTAAATGGAGCATATTTAGGGAGACTAATGCCAGTTATGGATGAAATAAGAGCTTTTAAGCCACATCATAAACACTGACACAATGAGCCCGCTCATGTTCATCTCGGAAATGGCTCTTTTCTTTCTTTTCTCTCCCCTGTAAGGGGACACTGACAAGACTTCCCAACATTGCCATGAGGGAGGACACCAATGCATGCCTGCCAGATCTTCAACGGCTTCAAGGATGTTTGCTTTGTCAGTTTCATGTTAAGGTCGGGGCGGATGTAGGACGTCCCAGCAGAGGACGACCTCCGCCCCATCTGCTGCAGGGTCCTCATTGGGATGCGTTGGCTAGCTGCTGATGTCTGTCCTAATACAACTCCAGAGTGAAATAATCTACCCTTCGATGGGGAGGAAAGGGGGAAGAAACCTGAGGAGGGATCCCTCTCCCGAGATGGACAGACTGATCATCCTGTACGCATGACATCCATTGCAAAGTAAAATATGTACAGTACATTCAATTCCAGATGAGCGTGCAGTTCCGCGTAGAGATCCCATGCTTTTGCTCTGCAGCAAATCATTACGCGCCACTATACCTGTACGATACTATACCTTTGCTTGTATATTTGTATCTTATTTTATCCTAATTTACTTATTTTTGGGGTATTTTCTTGCAATACTGAAACAATCGCCAGAACAAATACCTGTATGTTTAATACAGATGCTGCAGTTCTGAATCAACTGGAAAGGCTTAAAAGAGCAGCCTATTGACATTTAATTGCAGTAATCTAGTGAATGTAGAAGTAAAAAAGCACAAACTCATTTTTCTGCATCACTATGAGACAGGAAGTGGTCGATTTGATATGTTACGTAGGTTAAAAAGGCAGTTCTTACCGGACACATACTGGTTGAAGAGAACCGGGAGATTTACTGGATACGAAATACATAACCAGGCAACTGATTCCAAAGGCGCTCAAATGTCCTCGGCTTTGTTTAAGTTGAACATCAGAAAGTTGCTCATCAACAAAGTAAGACATTGTTGAAGTCTTACAAGCCGGCTGGTCTCGTTTGGCATGATTGATAGATACGATTGCCTGCATGCCATGAAGGTTCATGCTGTGTTTTCTGATAACATTGCCTAAAGAAAGAGTACACACGGTAAAGTAAATCAAATCGGTCGAAACACATGACTTTGTAAGTCATTTAGGTTTCATTGTTTACGAACCCAAACCGGGACCAATTGGATAAATACGACTTAAACAAGCTGAGTGTGGTTCTAGGATCCGCTGATCAATAAGGTCAAACGCAGCACTAAGGTCCAACAAGACCAAGAGCAGAGAACAGTCCTTTGTCCGTCCTTTGTCAGAAGGTCATTTGTTCAAAGATAAGATGAGTCTATATTTAGCACCTGTGGATCAAGAGTAGCTGTCTTAAGATCGTTTCATTACTCCGACCTTTAAGGACTGTGGTACATGTCCTCTAAAAAAAAATGATTCTTAATATCCATTAAAGAAGTTCAAACTAATGGTGAAACTTTTTTGAACAGCTAAGTCGGAATGGAATCTCTGGAGTTTTTTGGAAAGACTGTTAAATGTCATTAATTCTAAAATAGCTTTTAGATAACAGAGATTGAATATATACAAGTCTACCTTTCATTCAAATAACTCACCTAAGTGCAAAAACAGCCTCTATAAGGTTTAGTGTATTTTGGGTGGATGCAGACCTCAATCTCAACAGTCAAATCAGACCTAAATCACCCGAAGAATACGTTACGGATTAGAGGACTTGTGAATTGTGGAAACACATGTCCATGTATTCATCTTTAGTAGACTGGACTATTGTAAAGGTGTGTTCTCAGGTCTCTGTTCAGTCGGAACGCTGCAGCTTGAGCTGTCACCAGGAACGTGGATCACATCACTCATGTTCTGATGTCTTTACACTGGCTTCCTGACGAAGACTTAACTTTAAATCCTGCTGTTTGTTTATGAAGCACTGAAAGCTTTAGAGCTGAAACACATTTCTGTCCGCTTTCTGTTCCCAGTGAGGACCAAACATGTACAATTAGCGTTTTTCTGATCCAGAACAAACTGTCAGAAAGCTGCAGGTCTACTGACGCTTTGCTGCTTCAAATTAAGAGTGAAAACTGCTTTGCAGTCCGTTAAAAGGCTCAATGACCACAGGGCCTTTTAACAGGTAGTTAACTCTCTCTCTCTCTCTCTCTCTCTCTCTCTCTCTCTCTCTCTCTCTCTCTCTCTCTCTCTCTCTCTCTCTCTCTCTCTCTCTCTCTCTCTCCGCCTTGAAATGTATTTCTATGAAAATCATTCTATCCAAGGTGGATGGCATTAAAGTGTATAAATCACAAATACAATAAATAAATAAAAATCACAAGTCGTTCTGGAGCTGATTTTATATAAGTTTAATAAACAGTGTTAAAACTGCAAAATAATTACTCAGAAATGGCTTTTTATAATGTACACATTGTTACTGTATTAACGTGAAGTAGTATTGGATATTCAACAACTGCTCTCTCTGTTCTGTTTGTCCATAACATAAAATTAACCAGAAGAATAGTTTTACTAATGAGTCTCTACATCTACCACTGATTTTAAATTAACAGTGTTGAAAGTTCCACCCTCTTAGAATAACAACAGCAATATAGGACGGTAAGACAAGCGACATTTCCAGCACTACAGCTCATATGTCCCAAAAACTTCTACGGTGACTGACTGGATGAAGTGTACATGCAACGCTGAAGAAAGTTATACACAACCAGCACGGTTACTTCTTTGTGACTGTAAAACATTTGGTTTGTAGTTGCTTAGAGAATCTCTCATGCATTCAAAGTGACGTCCACTTCTCGTTACTGCACACACAGTCGACAAACAAAAACACAACATTAATATTGGTTCATAAAACCTACTAGAGCCAAAAACACTGGCTTACATTTTATGCAACACCTTCCTTCTTAGAGGAAGTAAGTGTCTTAAACATCATGGGTAGAAAGTTTTTTCTTTTCACACAAACCGCACAATTCCTTCTGGTTCCTGTACAACTGCTTTGATAAACGCGTTGGTCGTGGACGCCTCATGTGGATACGACAATCTCCTCCATCTTCCATCCGCTGGAGTTCTTTCCAAATTTGTAAACGAGCCTCCGGCCGTCGACTCGCTCCAGGATCTCCCTCTTATAGTAGTACCTGAGGAAGGGGATTTACTGTTTTACTTTCACGTTTAAAAGTGTGCAATTTCTTTCATCATCTCACAGACTTCCCTCATACAAAACAATGGGTTGTAAATGAAAATGTACCAGTCATAAGAAAGTTCTGCTGAAACTCTTATAATGTCTTGTGTGGCTTTTAGAGAAGCTTGGTCAACTGACACCATCAGGGTTATTTGGCTTTAAGACTTGCAATGAAGTTAGAACATCACGCTCGTGTTTCAAACTAGGTTGTGTGGTGAATCACTGTTTGAAAGAAGATAAAGCTTCACTGTCTGGGCTGGTTGTTTCTGTTTAAGCGGCGGCACGTGAACTCACCTCATGGCACGGCTGAGTTTCTCATACGTCATGCTGCTGTTCTTTTTCTTCTGGCCCCACATTTGTGCCACGGCCTCGGATTTGAGGAATTTAAAGACACCCTCACGGCGGTCCTCCCACTTCATCAGGCCCTGGTTCCTCTCAGGGTGGATCAGAATATCTCTGATGAATTCCCATAAGTGAGTTCCTCGGGGCGCTGCAGACAAACGTTGAGGTACGATCAGCTGAATGTGCTTTTTTATGTGCATGAATCCTCATAAGCAGCTGCGTCAAGCGGATTTGAATGTAGCTTGGTTATGATGCAAAGTAGAATCTGTCAAACAGTTGACCAGTGTTCATTTACAGAGGCCTGGTTGAACAGTGTTTTTCATAATGAATAATATTACTAATTCTCAAAACATCAGCCTTACCGTGTTTGTTTTTTCTGGGATTGTCGTAGATGCTGGAATGCTCTCTGCTGATTTTGGGCGGTCGCCCACGTGGTCGCTTCAGGCAAGTGTCTCCTTTTTCTGTTTTGATTTGAACTGTTTGAACAGTAAATTGTCAGACATGTACTTAAACTCACTGACGCCGTTAAAAGAATCTCTCAATGTCTTTTATACTCACTTGAAACAGGAGAGTACGAGTATTCTGGGTCCGATTCTCCAACGCCAGACTCCTGTGAGTCCGGGCTTGAGGAGTCAAACATGCCGCCTGAGCCACCAACACGAGACGCACGTATCAGATATCCAACATTCTCAAGAAACGTACGGTCAGAACATTTGAGCAAGATGAGAATGAGATACTCACTGTTTGAGGAGGAGCTGTACTCGCTGTCAGACAGGTACTCAGTGACTGCCAGAGGTGTCTCTGGTTCCATGGATGGACAAGTGAAATGATTATCATCTCTGTAGGCAAACTCTTTCTTGTTGACAACTCCTTCAGCTGTTGATAGCCAGTATTTAGTTAGTTGCATTAACCCTATTATTTCACACAAAACGTTTATTTTTGGCTGTTATGTAAAATCACTCTACAAAATGTACCTTGGCCAAATCGAATGCTGCTGAGCAAAGGGTATGTTAAGTTGTCCAGGAAGTTGTCCAGGAGCTGGCAGGTCTCCCTCAGCTCTGGTCCTAACATGTTCTGCAACTCTAAAATGAGGAGATGAAAAAGGGTTGTGTTAGCTCATCATCACATGCGGTAACTATAACGACAGGAAAATAGAATACATTGCTGGCTTACTAAAATCTTTGCATGGGAATGCCGTCAAATAATAAAATGAAGCAAATAGATGTATATTTCACATCTGAAATTCTACTACACGTGCAGTTTTACCATTTTTGGTTTTGTGTTCCTCCAGACTCTGGTAGAGGTGTGGCCCGAGCTGTGGGCCGAAGACCGTGATGATTTCTTCCCGGTTCATCTGGCAGAGAGTCGGGCCGTCCATGGCGCAGTAGGCCAAACTCAGGGTGTTTGCGTCGAACTTGGTGCTTTCTACGTGGTCGCTGATCCACTCCAGAACGTTGTTGGCTGTCCAGCAGTCGGGGTTGATATGCCTGTACCACTGACCTGCTGAGACAGAGACCTTCATTGTTACATAGTACTTCTGGAATCTGTGTAAACAGAGTGACCCAAGTTGGACATGATGGACAGCGCAAAAATAAAGCTTTCAAATCTGACGTCATTGAGTATTGCTCAATGACGTCAGATTTGAAAGCTTTATTTTTTTATTTAAAATCTAAATTTCCGTTCATACATTGAGTGGACCAAAATATTGTTTTCTTAAATTGCTCGTTAAATGCACTTGATGACGTGGACGGACACCAGCCATGGATACCATCATCACCTGGTGTGGATGTTTGTCTCTAAGGTCAGACAAAACAAAGTCTTCTCTGTTTCAACTATGAGGTGGCAACATTCTCCGGTTGGACGGTTATGCTGAGTTAAACATTGGCCTGGTAAATGATTGAGCTAACAGCGTCTAAATGAGGTCAAAGCAAAGTTCAGTCTGTAAAAAGTCCCGCCGGCTGAAGTTTGGAATAAAGGATAATGTTGACGTAGAGATTAGTCTTCAGTTGAAACTGCCGGCAAGACTCGTACTGAACTATAGTGGCTCACAGGGGTTCACAGCTGAGACACTGGCACATTTAAAATCTTTGGTTGCATACAGATCACACAATAGAATCTTACAGCAATGAGAAGATAGAAATGAGGGTCACAAAAACAGGCAGTCCGTCTTACCACTGTTGAATGTTGAATTGCTGATCTGCATGCTGTTGATGCTGGGCAGCAAACTGGGCTGCTGCGGCACGACATCGGCGATACCAGTGTGATACATGGTGAGGTTGGCATGAGTCAAGATGCTGCTGAGGCACGGAGATGACATGGAGACTCTAAGAAACATACAAATGACCAGTTGGAAAAGAGCAGCTTCTAATTCAAAGATACGTTATGTATGACGACTACATCTGTTTGTTGTCATCCAGCTTTGTAAGAATCAAATTCTGTATTCAAATGTCTGCTCTAACATTTCTATTAAAGAGTGAACTAATTTACCTGATCACAGCAGGAGCCACAATATGATGCAAAGGAATTCTCAGAGACAATCCGTAGTGTGAGCTTGTATTTTATAACTTTCAATGTTGAAGTGGCTCTCCTGTCCTCGCCGTGTTGTCTCCGTAACCGTTGTCTCTGAGGCAGAGATGCACTTGTCACTATATAAACCACCTGTGGAGCTTTATACTCCTAAAAAAGAGTGGGGGATGGACGCAGGTGAGTTCAGGGGAATTCCACCTGCAACGGGCCACACCCCCAACCCTCCTCCTTCCCGTACCTGAGAACTCGATCGACCAAACAAACCGGCTCTGCTATTCTCTCACACATTTTTTGTTGCTTTTCTCATCATCATCAGTGTTTATTTAGAGACTGAGTTAGTTTATATGGTTTCATGAATAGTATCTTTTAAAACTCTGTTACAGGAGTTTTCAAATATATATATATATATAGACGACATTAGAAAATTACAGACACAATAGACGCGGAGGGTTGATATGAATTCTATTATTACAGTGAGAACTACAGTATAAACCCACCCACACACTCACATACACTGTGTTTAGGAGGGATGTTCATTTATTATGTCAGCAAACCTCTGACAAGACTCACTAATGGTCCCTTGTGGTCAGTGATCCACTGCCTAACACCTCTATGCGTCTCCTACTGCCCCCATACATAAACATTGTAGTGGTAGAATATGGGTAACATCAATTATCTGGTAAACTTCCAAACCAAAAGGATGTGGAAGATCAAATCTTTCAGCCCTTTGATCCCAAAGGATTTTGGAATCTGGCTGCAGTGAATTGCCACGATTAAGCCAGGAAAGCATAAGCCTGTCAGACAATGACATCTGGGGTTATGAATATTTTCATGTTCCATTATATTTTCAATGTGATAACATTTTCAATTCGTTTTGTACATTCCTCACAAATGGTGAATTTGTCTAAGAAGGCGATATACAGAGAAAACATACTCTGTCTTTAAATGACAATTTTGACAAAGTATTATCGCCACCTAGTGGTAACAGTAGCTAAGTTATTTAAAAGTTATGTACTTTTAGATCCTACTCCTCACAACATGTTTCATTATGTTTGGGTAATTACCCCCTATTCAGCCACTCGGAAGTCACTAAACTTAACGTGTACACACACTAAAACTAACTAACCCAAACTTGATCATGAATGCAAATGCATGAATAAGCTCATGAATAAATGGCTGCTAGCAGCCCCGGACAGAACTGTAAGTTCCTGTTTAAACGTGTAGGCAGCAGAACAACAGCAGTTGTTTGGTTTCCTAAATACTGTTGTTGAAGGTGTCAACATATTAACATTGTATTAAACTGAAAGGCGTTCACTGCTTTATTTTTTTGCAGCACTAAGAACCGCAAACCACTTCATTTGACCTCGACGGCCACATGAGGTCACACCCAGGCACCCAGTGAGGGGGGGGGGGGGTCCGTAGTATTAATAACTTTCGCCGTGATGAGTGATTTATTCGTTCATGCGATGCGTCAGATCAGATCACATTCCTGCTGTGCGAGGGTTTAGCTGACCAACAAGTTTTTCCTCTTCTCTTTACTGATTATAGCTTCTCCTCTTCACATGACCAAACGCTTTACTGCATATTGTCACCAGGAGGAAATTGGGTTGTTGCTGCAAAATAACCTGTTTTTATGGAGAGCTCCTCAAACTAGGTGGCCTTGCTGGTAACTTTTATTTCCTATTTTCTCATCATTTTTAGATTTTTAGATTATTGGATTTATCCCCGCCTCACAGGGCTGACCCACACGTCCATCCCTTCGTCTATGGTGGAAAATCCTGTTTGTTGATGACGCTTCCTTATCAATGAATAATGTGGCTCAGAGTGTGCTTTTATCCTCCTATCTTCCTAATGAAGACGCCTATGCAGCATATAGTTAATATATTGTATAACAATATTTAAGCACAGTTATCAACTTGTGCACAGTGCCGTGGTGGTTGGCACAGGAAGAAGGTCTTGGGTCCGAGTCTAAAGAATGATGAGCAGTTTTCAAGGTGACTGACAACTTTGAGTGTTTCCATATTAAGCATCACGTGATTCCAAACACAATATCTTTATTTCTGAGGCAAGACAGATATCTGCATTATTCAATTTTCATTCAAACATTCAGTGTCTGTTGAACTTGTGTCTTCGAGGTGGCAGGCACCAGGGCAGAAATCAACCCCGGGAGGCTCCATGGATACTATTGAACTGAACATCTGTCCCAATCAGCATATAGTCCTAAAGAAAAGCACAGCAACTCAACTTTGAGATTACAAATGATGTGATCAACCAAATATTTAAAGACGTGCTCCCCGTGTCCTCTTCATAGGATGAATGCAGCTCTCTCAAACACATGTTTTATACATTTTATAAAAAAGAAAAGGGAAAAAAGGAACCTGTCTGACCTTCAGGACTTGAAGCTGAGTGTTGACAAGTTGCATCTTCCCGATGGCGGGAAGCGGGTACCCCTTTGCAAGTTGAACTACGGAGCAAAATTTCAACATAAAAAGATAATAATTAAACAGATTAACCGATACAAAATAGTAAAAACAGGAGATTCTAATTCTTAAAACTGCTTGAGTATAATTACAATGAACAAACAAAAGTCGGAAGAAATCTGCAAGGTTGTCAAACATTTATCACGTTAACAATTGGTTGTGTGGTTTGAGCCAACAGAGCAGCAGAAACAAGTTGGGAGAAACCACATATGTATTTATGGTGAATCAGTCATTTAAGAGACTAAGTGACTTCTGACTTGAACTCGTGCGTTTGGTCTCTTTACAGGTTGTGTAAAAAGGGTTTTAAGCGCTAATTGAAGCTTCGTTAAAAGGTCCGTGCACAAACGTCCGGAGTAACCTGAGCATTGTGCAATGAAGTCAAACAACAAGAATGAAGTGGAAAGCTGAAGATGACGTTACATCTCACTCATATGGAACAGAACTCACCGTTAAGTACGGGTATCACAACTGCCCTGAGGACCATCCTGAAGATGCTGTTGAGGAGCCCGACCTGCGGGTTGGATTTGGGGTTAGTAAGTCATGCTTGTGCAGGCGCTGCACTCTGACACGTGTTCAAATGCAGTTGTCACCTGAAACTCGCCCACGTAGCTTGTCCCAACGGTCAGATCCATGCTGTGCAAATGAGGCAGAATTGCACTGTGATTTACATCTTTTCAACGACCTTTTGACCCCCCTGTGAGAACAGCTAGTTATTTGTTAAGTTACCCACTTGTTCAGGCTGACCCTTCCGGCCACCCTCATCTCACTGAGAAACGGCTGTGCGCTGACGCTGCTCTCCTGTCCAGGAAACGTGACCAGAAAAGTTAACAATTTTGGACCACACGCATTGAATCTGTGCAAGATGTGTCACCTACCAAGTTCAGGACAAAGAGAGGGGAGAGCGTGCTGTTGGGATGGATGGCGTAGGCCGTGACCGTGCCAGAAGCCTTCACCATGGTGTTGTTGGGTTCAAACGTGACGACGGGGGGTTTTACCGTCTTCACCAGCAGTTTCATCGTCAGACCCAGGAAGCGCTGGGCGATCTGAAAAGCAGTACCGATGCACATGGCTCACAAACCAACCCGACATGCCTCTTCTATCAGACCTCAGCGGCACGCGTTCGTCACCTGCGGAATGAAGACGCCGAACGTGTTGGTGTTGAGTCGGAAGGGCGAGGCCGGCGGCACCTGCGGGGACGAGAAAAGACCGTGGTTCAGTGTCGTGTGGCGAGGACGCGGATCGGCGGCGGGAGGAACCTCGGCCCGGAGCTCACCATGTCATCGGTGACGTACAAGCTGAGGGCTCCTGCCGCGCTGTAGACGAAGGCCGCAGAGTTGGCGGTGAAGGCGGACAAGCCGATGTACAACATGCTGTCTGCCTGGGGCGGCAGGTTAAAGGCCGCGGCGGAGAACGGAGGCTCCTGCTTCTTTCCGATGTTGTAAAATTCACCCTGTGAATGAAGTGAAAAGGACGCCGCGAGGCCGAAAGATTAGGACGGGAAGCTTCCAATGCATTCTATAAAATGTGCAGATGGACACTTCTTTACCTTTAAGCCCAGTTCTAAAGAAGATGCTGTCACTGCAGGCGATGACACCATGGAGTATTCAATCTCTGCGTGCTTGTCTACCTTGGCTAGAACTGCAGTGAGGTAGAATGTCTCTCATTTACTCACGGCATTAATAAAACAAGTATTTGATATAGATATTTATTTATTTTTACCATTGAGAGTTTTCAACTGAGGGTTCAAATCGGATATTGCATTGGTCACAAGGGGGCAGATCTGCAACGACAAAAAAAGAGGAACAGAGACGTGAATTTTACACAGCTCCCCAAACTGGATACTGAGCCACAGGCAGGAACCGAATGCTACTTCAATGGCTCATACTGGTTCCCAGCAGCTTTGTGGTCTGCCATGAAGAGGAAACTCCTAGTAATTCATTATTATTGAATAGTTCCGCAGCGAGGAAGGGTGACAATCTGAAGCTGCAGGCTGGTGTCCCCTCACCTGTCTCTCCAGTGCCCTTCGTATCGCCTTGTCGATGAACTTTCTAAAGAGATTGTACAGCCAGCTGAAACACAGAGCGATCACAGGAATGAGGGTGGTGTGTCGAGACAAGAAAAGCTCACATTCCATTCCCCGGGGGCTCTTCTACCTGGCTCCGCCGTGGAACTTGATGTTGGCGCTGCCGACGGTGGCCGCGCAGTCCACCGTGTTGACCGCGGGGCGGCCTGTCTCGTCGCTCTCGACGGCGATGCTGGTACCGACGGTGAGATCGCTGACGCTCAAGTCGAAGGAGCCGCTGTTCTTTCTGTGAAGAGGAGTGAGTGACAGCGTCAGTACATTACATCACGTGTCATTTAGCTCGGTGCAATTCAACCATAAGGATACAAACAAGAAATAAGAGTGCAATGAAGAAGGACGTTTCTTCTTTCTCACATTATTCGGAGGAACTTGACCCTCCAGTTTCCGTGGAGACGGATGAAGGCTTTGCCGATGGACAGTCTGACACCCGTCCCTGGAACCAGAGCTACACTGGAAGTTGGCAGTCCCACATCCACTATTTTCAAACTGGAAGAGACGACATGCACATTTTAAAATATCACAGTTTCCGACAGAATGTACTAAAGTGTTAAATAAACGGGGCCCTTACTTCGTCAGGCTGTACTTGACCTTGCCAATAGGAGTCACCCTCTGATTCCCCGAAAAATCTGGCACTTGGATGGTTTTCAGTTTCTCTTGGATGGAAACCATCCCCAGTTGTCTGCCTAGAAATAGAGACCAGGAAATGTAACGGCGAGATTCTGGATTCCCAAATGTCCTTCATCAGTACTATCCGTACCGTATTCAAGGCCTTTCGCAGTTAGCTTGACCTTCACCCCGGGATCGGTGCTCAGAGTCAGAGGGATCAAAGCCCCCAGAACCAGCCAGCAGCACAGGAACATCTTGACTGCTGGGGGATGAAATGGAAAAGATCATGAGCAACACTTTATGAGTCAGGCTACTATTTTTCACGTGTTAATTACATCAACGGCTTCCTCTTTTAGAGGAAAAGTACATCCCTTTTTTTATTTATATGCATCTGTTAAAAAATAACGTTTTACTTCACTGTGGACAAAAGTCAAGCATTCAAAAATACTTTCCCTCAGAAAAATGTGACTAATATGATTAGCAATTTATTGACATTAGCATCTGAAATGTGACGAATGGCGAAATGCAAACTACAACGCATTTATTTATCAGCGGTTACACACTATGTAGCCATGAGCTGAAGCATTCCAGTCAGTTTGTTATGTTGGTGATCAGAAAACATGCGACTCATTAAGCTTTTCAGATTGATATTGATATGATGAACCCAGGCCGGGCTTGTTTGGCAGGATTCTTTGAAGATGCCGACGATGGATGCCGGTATATTCAGGCAGCGTGGGGGGAACTGATGCGTTTTTGAACATTAGAAGTCATACAAACATGTTCCTGTAGAAACCCAGAATATAATGATGACTAAAACTGAGCAAGATGCAGCCCCTTCAACCCTGCAGTACATTACACGTCCTTTAGCTGAGGCCTTTATCCAAAGCGAAGTGCATTTCAACCACAGCTTAACAGCTTATTTTGGTCCTTATTATAACATTTGAATCCAAAATGTAACCTCTGCAAATAAATGTCATGGAGTAAAATGTACCACAATACGCTCTGCTTTGTGCTGTAGTATATAACATATTACATGGAAAAGTCAAGAAAAGCACAAAGAGAACAGTAAACACGCTTCCCACTGCAGCCTGGAAGGAGCCTGCTGAAGAAACCACATGACTCCTAATGAGTCAGCAAGCAAGCTGTATTAGATTAAGCGTAGTTCTAGTACCCACTTTGTGTCCACTCTCAACATTGAAGCGCAAACGGTCTGAACATTTAATGCTTTCATCTTTCAACGTTGCCACGGCTTCATCGTGTCGCATGTTCAAAATCGAAGGATTTAGTCTCTGAGCCGACAGACTCGTCACACTGTTGGCAGAGATGCCACTGCGAAGCTCTGGTGATGAAGGTTGAATACTGCTCTTAAGTGGAGTAGAGGAAGAAGAAAATGCTTATAAAAGATTAATCATATTAATGAATCCACAAAACCCTCGCACCATCTGCCTCTTTCTTTGTCTTGACATAAATACACAATGGAGGCAGAGATGGAGCTTCCCATCCCTCCATCAGGCAAAGACAAATCTATGGGTCACTTTATTCCCACTGGAATCTCCCATCGCTAAGAACAATAAGAGCCGACGGTATGAAGGAATGAGCTTTACAGCCTGCATTCATGAACAGTGAAGAAACGTCCTTCTCTCACCTGCAGCAGTTTTCTCCTGATGTGTCAGTCGGGCAGCCAACCAGGAAAAGTGAAAGACGAAGGGAGGCACGTTGCCTTTTATTCACTTACTCAGTCAGGAAGTGGACCTGGGGACTATCCAGGATAATGCAACAAAATTGGGCCCCAAACAAATCAGTGCCCAACACCATGATACTAGTAAATATTATGTATGATTATGAAACAGCAACGGGAAGCTGTTTGTTACATCTGCTGCTGTCTAACGATGTTGCACAATAGAAGTATTTTTCTCGTGTTTGTAATGTTCAGAACTTTACAATATTCCTCCGTCCATGTTTGCCATCAGAACGGTGAATGAAGATCTTGCTCTTTCCCTATGAGGAGGTCACTAATGTTCTGTATCATATCTCTCAATAAAGGTCTGGATCGCACAGCCTGCTCGAGGGCGCGGCTACTTCGCCATCAACGGACGCTGCCATTGTGTCACAACACGTTCAAACAACACAATCCTAAAACTACCCGCAGTTGTCTCTTGCTCAAACCAAAACCACGTCGACAGTACATTTACTAAAGCAATGCTACTAATGACTGTTTGGCTTCAAAAACGGGGACTGATCTTCTAAGCAAATTATGAGCAGAACCTGTTTAATCTGTATCACTGAGTCTTCAGTGGTTGAAGTTTAATGTGAAAAGTATTGATTCATAATCCCTGTTTTCATACTGAGAAGTTACCCTGTTTAATACATTATACAAAAATGTAATAGAACATAACGAAGCAAAGCTGTCAGGTATTCAGTGTTGTTTTCAAATATATATAATCTCCTGCTGATCCATTTTTCCTCATCCAGTAATCACGCTTCACTCGTCCCTTCTCACTTCAACCTCTTTAAATGTGCATGTTGCATCGATTCCCGTCAATGGTACATGAAGTCACTTTAATCCAATTGCCAATCTTGAGCAAGAACTGTTGCACGTACCGGATGTCAGGAACATAATGTGAGCGCCGTGTCCCAGCAGTGCATCTGTAGACCTACGCCTTCGCAAACCAACAATTCGGAGAGAACTAGTAGTATTCAGCATTCTGAATATCTAGTAATTATGAAATGAAATCTTTGTTGCATGGCAGCACTGTATCAATTACACTGAACGTTTTAAGCACATATGAAATCTGCAAATCTGTTGTTAATACGATCTAATGGGTTAAACATATGACCTGCATGACGAAGTGAGTGGTGATTCTTTCAAAACCAATTTTGGAAACTCGTGAAAGTTTTGCCAAGTGTGACATAGTTTGGGAAATTCCAAGACAACATAAGTCGACCAAACGTGAGTGTGACTAACACAAAATGCTCCGTGTGAGGACACACAGCAAGAGTGAAGTTATGCAAAGGGGCCCGGGGCCGAGGTTTAACGCTCTGAGTCAAACCCTAAACTCTGAGTTCATTTACGCTGAGATGTGAGACCTCTAAACGGACCCCTGGAGATGTAGTTCACACTGTCCACTATCAGGTCTTATACCGTTAATAATCCAGCCTGCACACACTCGGACAGCGTCTGTTTGCTGCTCATTTCTTTGACATTTCTACATCGTCCTCCTTGATCTTACCGTCATCATCTGAATGTGTCGCTAACTGCTGCGGATCGCGTTGTGGTGCAGTCCTGCCCCCCTGAGGCCGAAGGCGGTACGGCACAGGCACCAGGACGTCATCTCCCATGAGGAAAGCCCCTCTGATGCAACAATGTGTCTAATAAAGTGCACTTTTAGGAAAAACAACAACTGAATGCCTCCGAGTGTTTTAGTTCGTATCCCCTCGGGGGCCCCGTACTGTTTTGAAAAACAAAGATTCTTTTCATTCTTATTTGTATTTCATGAGGAATGGTGATGCCTTTTTTTAACCGTCTGAATGATGTTGGTGTTTTCCAAACTAGTTCCACCTCGTGACAGGCTCATTTAGTCTCATTTAGTTGTCTATTTACTTCATATTGAAACTCTCCACAAATGTGATGTTTTGCTTGCTTTCCAGTGACTGTCTCTCCACACATGTTATTCCAGCAAGGCCTAAATATACACACAAAACCGTTATTATTTTACTCTGTATTCTCCCTCTTTACGTCCCAAATCCGAATGAAAACTGATTGGATGGTCAGAAACATTAAGCGTATCTTTTTTTATCGAACACTATATCGGTTGTGTGCAATATGTCCCCTTCAAGTTAATGATGAGTACCGTGTTACTAAAAAGCAAATCTACAAAACTCTCAATTACGAATGACAGTTTTCAAAGTGTAGTACGCAAACAACAACAGCGTGGAAAGTAGAGCAGCTGAGCACACAAGGAATGAGCTGCTTAACAGAGCCAGCAATACATGTTTTATACTCACACACTGTAGACCTACATACATAATATATGGCGGAGCAGGAAATGGAGGAAAACTCATTTAAAAACCTCTCTGCTCTCTTGGCTCCTGTTATATACTGACTTACATCAGAAAGAGGGCATTATTTTAGTTTTTCCTGTGTGCAAGTGAGGGTTTCAGGAAAGGATGTGGCTGTAAAGCCCTCTGAGGCCAATTTGTAATTTGCAATTTGGGGTTAATACAATAAAATCACTGGAATTGAAAAAGCAGACGTTATAACGAGATTTTTGCTTTTCCAGCCACCGATATATCAGAGACAAATATAAACAATTATAAAATGAAGTATTGACAACGATGGAGGGGGGACATGTGATACTGACGATGCTCCGGCGGTTAAGTGATGGGAGGACACAGATGGCCAAAGCACCCTGTGGTCCCACTGTGGGATAATTCATGTCTCTTTCCTTGAGGCCGGAAGAGCTTCAAGGACGTGATACCACTGACTTCAAGACAGAGACGCAAGTGTTTTCCCTCAGTTCAAACTATTCCCTTCAAGATTTGACCACAATTTACACCATTGACTCTGACAGTGGATGCGATTTCATTTAATTGCGCTGTTCAATGAGTCGTGTGAATCTTCCAATACCGGTGGAGGTTAACAGCAGTTAACACGCCTCCTTCGGTACATTAATGGCTCCAAATGAATTTGAACTGGGTTGTGAAACGACGCAGCGGGGGACCAGAGAGACGCCCACAGCGCCCTCCTGCTCATTACAGCCAGGTCTTTGATGTCTGCGGCCGGTTTGCTCACCGCTGTTCGGGACGGTTTGGGATGATGTGTCACATTTACCTCCTCTGAGGACGGGAGGTTTTCGGGATCGGCTTGTTTGTCAGCAGAATCTCAAAGCTGATTCAGGTGTTATTTTTCCCTGTTTTGGGGGGGATTTGGTATTTGGCCTTAGAATGCAGTTTGGTGTTTGGTTAATGTCTGGTTTTATTTTGTAGTTTCTTGCCTCTGTTCTCCCTGGGCCGTGTCACTTCCTGCCTTGTCCTGTCGTCCCCTGTGATTGTCTGTCATGTCGTGATTGTTTCCACCTGTGTCCAATCACCTGCACCTCCCCAGTGTATTTAAGCCATGTGTGTCTGTTGTCACTTGTCGCCTCATTGTTCAATGTATGGAAGTCCACGTCCACGTCCACGGTCTTATTTTTGTTCTGGTTCTGGTTCCTGTCCCCGTTTTTGCCCTTTTGACGATTAAAGTCCCTTTTGTTTCCTGAGTCCTGCCTTTTTCCCCACGCAACTTCCGTGACACATTCTCTGCGTGGCCTTTCCAGATCAATATTGTTTTTTAGTTTTCCCCCCCTTATTACTGACGTGGTTCAGTCTTTAACCATTGCTGGCAGCGCCATGAGGCACTGCTTAAGCGCGACGTACAGCTCAGGCATATGGGTGTAACCGCTTTGATCATGCACTTAAGTATTGGATATGAATATTTTGATCTGATGATGTTGCCAAAAGAAAAGTCAATGTAACGTATCCCTGCTCAGTGGGATCAAGCCCCCAGGAAGCGCGCAATTACACATTGCAGCAAAACTGTTGCAACATTCTCATTCATTTTTTTAATGATGTTGGGCCCCAAAACCCTTTTTCATTCACCCTTTTCGTTTTACATTGGGAGAAGACCTCTGCAAATCAGCAGACTTTTCCACCGACCTAAAGACTTATTTAAACCGTTGGGTCTTAAACGTTTTGAAATGCGCTGATAGCTGGATCGAAAGTGGATTAAATATTCTGTTTGCGAGAACGATGTTCAGGCTGGACCAAGAGTTTGGAGGAGAAATGTTAACGTTTGGTTTCTAATGGATTGCATCTCCCGGGTGGAAGTCCCGTGTTGGTTTGACTTGATTCATTGGCCTCCACTCCAGGCCGCCTGTGTTTTGCTCTTCACGCCCTCTGACTTCCTCCTTCTGATAGTGAGTGCGGCATCATGGCCGCCAATAACGCCCATCCATTCGGTTAATAGAATTCAAAGTGGGTCAACATTTTCAACCTCACTGTTGAATAAGTCACAGGCTCTGCAAAGTCAATCTGATTCATCCTCTGGGAATCACGACCCATGAGCCCATCAATCTGGTAGATGAAGAGACGCTGTGCTGCTCACACCAAATGAAAAGTCAGAGCATCCTTTGGTAATTCTTCCTGTGGGTGACATGAATATCTCTGCCAACCTTAGACCGTTATCAGGACTTTTATGTTTGGATCAAAGCAGGGGACTACACGAATGATGAGAAATATGAATGATATATTTCAAATTCATGTTGCTCTATGTGGAACATCACTTGCTGCATTAAGACAAACCCCAAGTGTGTGGTTTTGTCTTAGCAGCGTTTCTAAATCGGAACAATTTCCCAAATAAAATAATATTTCAATAGAGTAGGCTTATTGTTTCACGCCGTACATTAGAGAAGGACACTGCAGGGCCCCCAAACAGCGGAACTGGAGAAGAATCATGAAAGAGCCTCAGCCTCTTATTGACAGGCTTCCTCCCACTGAGGTTGTAAACTGGTCGGTGCATCAGCCAGCGGGAAAAGTGCAGTGAATATCAATCAGGCAACTCCAGCAGAGGGCCGGCAGCGTGAACGCTGACCGTGGGTGACAGAGACGCGTAGAGAAAGGCTGGTGGGAGGTGGATTGATTTCTTTTTTCAATCAGATGCAGTTGGTAATAACTCTGCACTGTGGAGAATCGACTGACTTTCACTTCTGACGGTTTGCTTTGTGAAGATTTACGGCTAATGTCCCGATCTATAAGCTGTTATGCAAATGTCAGTTTTATCCAAAGATTATAATCCGAATTTTGATCACGGGTGATCATTTTCTGTCATTTTGTCTTTAATAACTATGCTAAGTTATGTGAGAAAAAAGTATAAATACGTTCTTATTTTTCGACGGTTGAACAGCTGAAAGGAAATATCCCGTCTTTAGCTGCTAAATGCTCCCTTGTGTCCACCAGCTTGTTGTCTTTTGCTGGACGAGTAGTCATGTGACTAACTATTCATGTATAATCATCAATATTAACGTCTGAACCGTCGCAGGAAGTGATCTACGAATGCATGAGTGTCAATGCAATTTATCAGAGATTTTACATTCCTGTATCATATCATCTCCATGTCAACATTTTGCATTTAGATTAACAAGTGCTGCAGCTCGTGGCGCAGTGGAGGTTAGTTAGAGAGATAACGCATGAAACTTTCCCTTCCTTAATAACAACGCTGGTTGGCAAACGAATGTGTGACTTGGAGATATTGTCTGATTTTGGGTCTGCTGAGCAAAGTCTACGTCGGTGCAGCGGAGATGATGGCGGCCTCACATCAATGGTTCAGTGTGCTGGGCATAAAAGAAGCAATGTGCCCCAGAGAGAAGGGCTGCCTGTGCCCCAGCACCACGCAGCTGTGGGACCCGGGCAGCCGTCCACGCCCTCCGCCCCCTGCGCACGCTGTTAGTCCGACCTCCGAGGCCAAAACGATCAAATAATGAAGGGCTGCACTGGAAATACATCCGCTGCTGCAATGCGACGCTGGACATAGTTACAGAGCCAAGTGGTGCTTGTGCAACTTTCTAACCCTTGTTTGAATTGCCGGCCTCTGACACACAGGGAACAGCCGTGAGGGTGGGAGATGTGGGTTTTTTTTGTGTGTTTGAGGAGTTGAAGAGTTGTTTTGTCTGGTTATCGCGTGTTTGAAAGTTCCGTCATCCTTGAAATCAGTTTTTTGCAGAGCCGTCGCTCTTCATTTTAGACTCTCTGAGCGAGTTCTTAATCAGAGTCCGTCTCCGTGGGAAGAAGCATGCGGTTCAATGTAACCATTACTTTTTCTATTATGTCTGTGTGTGTGTGTGCACACTTACTAGGACCACTTATATCATCCATTAGCCATCCAGCACACGCAGTGCTGACAGTACACAAGCACCTCATGCATATTGGCAGATTATTAATGTGTAGTGGAGGACACAACATTTTACAACAGTTTATGATTTGGGTCTTTGCTCATATGAATAAATACATACATACATGTATGTCTGAATACATCTGTGTATGTGTATTTTCATGCAAACCAAACTGTATTCATGGGTACAATACGAATCCTAATCATTATCTTTTCTTGTCGGTCTGCTTTTCAAGTATTCTCTTGCTCTGACATATTTGGAAGATTCTTTATTCTCTTTATTTTGGTGCCTCACAATGTCCCTGGAGAGCAAAGCCGTTGCTGCGGTCAGTGGACTGTTGTTGTTGTTGTTGTTGTTGTTATGATAACCACATGTGGGCGGGGGCCTCAGGATGCCACGGCTGGTTTCCTGTGCAGCTGTGAAGGGAGCGCGGCTGCCTTCTGCAATCATTGGGCCTTTCCAGACACGCATGCTTAACGGAGCCTGACGGGTCGGTTCCCCTCTGACCCCTGATGCTGCACAGATACTGTACGTGTTGGGCGCGGCTACGGGATAAAAACAAATAGGAAATCAACTCTTGGGTTTCTCAGGTGTTTTAAATGAGCAAAGATTGAAAAAAAAAAACACCATCGCTCCAGTGGTTTGACAAAAATACACTGAATTTAAACATGTTATTTTTCAAATGTTTATTATCTTTTAAATATTAAGGATCGGCGGTGAGGTGTTATCATTCAAGGTCTTGCATTCAAGGGCTAATTTGTTTTAATGCTATACTATTAATCATTTTGTCAACGCATGGGGGTCGCTATCTCCGGTTGGAAATTTGAAGCCCGGATATCCATCAAAGCACATCGTGTCTTTTATTCCTTTGTTTTCGTCCGGGAAGGACCAAACTTGAAACGTGACCTTTTATCGTTTTAGCCACAGCACTTTTCCACCGCCGGCGGGCAGAGGTCACTCGGGCCGGAGCAAACAGAGAGAAGGAAGTAGCCGCGTCCCGGCCAACGGAGCGCCGACAGGGGAAGAGACAGGATGCTCCAGCTCGCTGATTCTCTTCATAAAACACGATAACTCACACGGACGGCTCTACTTCATCATTTCACACCACTGTTTGTCACATAGGGAGGAACGTTCAGAAGGGATGTGATTCACCTCAATGGTAGCGGCTCTTTTATGGGTATTGTGTAACTGAATGATTAGTTCTAGTGGAGTTAATTGGCTGAAAAGAGGATTTTATTCTTATTCTAGGGCGGCAAGGGAACTTAAGGGGTGAACAGAGGCCTTGACCAGAATTTCATTGCAAATATTTCAGCCTTTGTGAAGAATCAAAAGTGGTCACTCATCTAACATATTGACAAAAGTTCATACATGGGTGATGCTTTAGCATTTAGAACTAGCTTAAATGATCCTCGGAAGCACGTGGAACCCCAAAGGACATATTAAATCTATAATTAAAAAATATATATTTCAAGAAAATGTATTCAGGTTTTTCTTGTCACTGTACCCATCCTCCAATTTCCCCCCTAAAATCTGATAATTCAATTCAATTGGGAAAATATTGGAGTTTATTTTTTGTGCGTTGTTGCCGTTAGCAATTTTAGCACTATTAGCACTGTTAGCTTCTAGCCACAAGCTTAGCCATCGCCATGTAGCGAGACATGTGAAGGCATTAGATATGCTTTGAATTGCAAATTTAGCACCTTTTAAAATTATGCTATTAATGCTACTTAGCTTGCAAACTAAACCATTGACCAACAAGTCTATCTTTGTGTTTGAGATCAAACTGATCAACGGCACCTTGGTATGTTTTATGGTAATTTCGGTATTTCTTAATTTCAAGATTAAGCTGTAGTTGTGGCTGGAGGGTGTAATGGCCGACCAAGCCATTGGCTAAAACATACCACCAAGGTTTTATGAGCTAACATGGTCCTGATTTCATATGTATTCTCTTGGCCGCCTGTAATGGTTCATTTAGAGCCAGTTTATTTTTGACACTCTTCAAAGTCAGAGTGCCTGCAGTGCCCATCAGGATGAGTGCGAGCACCTGTCTCTCTTTGTGTTCTTCATGTGGTCTTTTAACCACCTGCTTTTACCTTCTTTCCAACCAGTGCGTGCCAGGAAAGAAGGCTGTGCAGGTGAGATGGGAGATGAGGAGAATTAAATAATGATGATGTTACGTCCTATTTGAAAAACGTCATCGCAGGCAGCATAATGCAGCAAAACAAGCGGCACCACCTCGGCTTCACTTTGAGTAATTTATGTCTTTGTCTAGCAGCCCTCGGCGAACGGCCGACGCCGGTAGAGTTGAAAAAGCCCCTCAGAACGATCTCACATCGATTTTTGGTGAAAGAAATGGTCCGCTCAAATTTTGGGGAGCACCCCCCCGAGAGGCCGCGGAAGGCACATTATGTGCAACCAGGATTTATTTTTTTCGTGGTTTCAGCGTTTTTTTCTGTCTGCACTGGTTCCGCTGTCCTGCCAAGAGGATGTTAGCCTGAAGATGGAAAAACATGAAAAGACGCTTCATTATTAAACGTCTTTAAAGTTATTATAATTATTGTAATAATGCGTTTTCACTTGTATGTTCTTGAGGAATATATGCTATTTATAACAGTGGTGTCAAACCCTTTGGCACAATTAAAACCTCATGCTGTATGTTCTCATGCTGAGATCGGAAGTGTGGATTCTCTTCTTTAATGGGGGCCTCGCAGACGCCGTTTTATGTAGCTCGGTCAATGAAAGAGTCTTAAAGGTCAGACTCTGGGAAAATTTAAAAAAATACACAGAATGGTGAGCAAAAAAAGAAAGGCCTTTTACGTGGAAGGATACGTGACGTAGATGCTGCAGAGAAAAAGAGCTCTCTTGAAAGGTTTGATGAGAAAGAAGGAAAGAGGATGTGAATCATGTGGCTTTTCATATATTTTCACAGACAAAAGGCCAGCTGAACACCTGTGACTTTATGCAGCTATAATTGGGAGCCCCCCCCACCCCCCTTTTTAATCAGCCTCTTTGGCGACTAGATGTTCCGCTTTGTTCATCAGCTGGCCGCATCCTTTGCCTGGATGTTTTTTTGTTGGTTTATGAGAGATGTGGATGCTTAAAGCTGAAAGCTGAAATTAATTTTAAAAAATACAGAAATGAGAAAATACTGGCATGACAAATGTTGAAGGCCAAAAGCATTGAACTGCATTACCTTTTGGATAAAATGTATAGCTGGTAGAGAAAAAAGCTTAACAACATTATCCAAAGAAGTTAAGGAGTCAAGTTCAGGATGAAGGGTGCAGGGAGGGCCGGGGGTTTGCAAGATGTCGGTTTTAGAGGAGAAGGCACTGAAATAACCTGGGTGACAAAAAAGAAAATTTATTGAGAGACCCAAAACTATCCAATCCAAAAAAAACTGGGGGGTCGGGAACATTCCTCAGCAATTTTACTCCATATTGACATGATAGCATCGACAGATGTGGATGTAGCCATGCTTTCCACATTCTGACCCCACCGCCTGGATGCTGCAGCTGAAATCAACACCCATCAGACAAGGCAACGTTTTTCTAATCTTCTGTTGTCCAATTTTGGTGAGCCCGTGTGAATTGTAGCCTCAGTTTCCTGCTGACAGGAGTGGCCCCTGGTGTGATCTTCTGATCTTCTGTAGCCCGTCTTCTCCAAGGATCCACGTGTTACGCGTTCAGAGACCCTAGAGACGGTTGCGTGGATCAGCAGTTAGTTTGTGACATACAGACCAGAACTTCAGCAAGTTGTCTTGACCACGTCTACGCGCCTGTACGCATTGAGTTGCGGCCGTGTGATTGGCTGATTAGTGTTAATAAGCAATTGTTAGTGTACCTAATAATAAAGCGTCCGATCTTATATGATCGGGGGTCGTCGGGGCGCAGGAGCTAGAGAAGGTGTGCTGGGAAGCACAAGGTTGGTGGTTCGAGTCCAGGCTGCCCCATGTTCCATGTCGAAGTGTCCCTGAGCAAGACACCTAACCCCTAATTGCTCCCCTGGCAAAAATGTGAAAAAAAAGCCACGGGTTTAAAGTGTAATGTAAGTCGCTTTGGATAAAAGCGTCTGCTAAATGACCTGTAATGTAATGTAATGATCGAGGCGTCAGAAATGGGAGTCAAATGGGAGTTTTTAACAAAATGTCACAGATTTACGACTGCTGAGGGTAAACATGAACATTTTGTATAATACCTCCTTTATATGATGTCAAAAATTCAAACTAAAAATAGTGACGGTGAAAAAATTGGGTTTTAACAAAGAGACCAGAGAGCAGAAGATAATAAGTGTGGAAAACATTCTACACAATGCCCTGTGGCTCTGGAAGGCAAATGCACATTCAATCATTGCATAATGGAAGAGACAAAACTAAATATCTGTGGTTCTGCTGCAGCAGATTTGATCGTACTGTCGATGTTGTTTTCAAAGCTGTCCATGTGTCACAGTAATGAAATGCCAAATCAATGAAGATGCCACTTGACTCAATAGTTTAATGGTATATTTAATCACTGATAGATTTCCAGTGAGCACAAACCAGCCGACGCACATTAAACCTGCAGCAGTGCCGACCTGGGATTAATGGCCTTTGCTTGTTAATCCAGCATTAATGGCACTAGACTGGATAAATAAAACCACATGGGCTTGTAATGAGTTTGAATGTTGTGTATACGGCCTAACATTACTGTAAATACTGTACATTAGTAATACAGCCGTCTTAGTGTATCACTGTAGTCCGAGCTTTAGAAAGGGAGTGACAGTGATTAAATTCAGCAACAGCAACCCTCTAATCAGTTAATCAGTGGTTTACATTACGTCAAACAGCAGGCTTTTCAAAATAAAACATTTACCACACACGCACTACGGGACACGATACCTCTCTATTACTGCTTTTTCTCCTTTTGTGCCGACAAAAAGAATACAAATACACAAACACAACAGCGACTGTGTAGCGAAGGGTGATTGTGACAGAAACCCGGATGCTTTTCTTTTCCAAACTGCTTCATCCAGAGCAAGAAAGAGAGTCCACATACTTGAACGGTGTGAACGTGAAACATCAGCCGCTGGCACGTGAACGCGGCGTGACGTCATCAGCGCCGGCGTGTTCCTGCGCGTTTCTTCTACCGGAGCACTTGTTGACCGACGTGGAACGCGCTTGGTTTTTATTTTTTTCCTCTTTTTGGGGGAAAAAACCCCCCTGGTTTTTTTTTTTCACGCCCCCCCCCCCCCCCACGCCGTTACGCGTGCGCGCGCGCGCGTGTCCCTGCGCCCTCCCCTCCTCGCCCGTGCGCCTCCCTCACTGCATCCGACAGCGTCCCTCCCTCTTTCTCTCCTCCTCCTCCTCCTTGTCCTTCTCTCATTAGGCTTCTCCACCGGCAGAACACCGACAAGCTCCAGGCCCCCCCTCCCCCCGCCCCCCCACCGCCCGCCCGCCCGGTCGGTCCCCCTCCCGTGACCGGAGAACAAACGCGGAGCAGCCGAGAGAGCAGGATTCACCTGCGCACCCCATCTATGGTCCTCCCCTGGATGTCCGCCTGCCAGGAAGGGTATGTTGGAATATTAATACCCCCCCTTCTCCCCTCTCCCCCCCTCCGCTGGTTGGCTCGATGTCGTCTAAAGCCCGGGCTTTAACGTTTCCCTTCCCCTCCCTCCATGATGACGGGTTTCTGCTGCATATTCTCTGTGTTTGTGTGCGATTGCGCGTCGCCGCTGCGGTGGGAACAACAATAAACGCGTTCATGTGTCCATGTTAGAGCCGCGCGTGGACTTTGCCCGCGGGGTTCCGTCTCATGGAATGAGGCGAGTTGTTGGGTCCTTCTGTGCGCACTTACTGGTCCAGTGTTGACAAACCAACCGGGCTGCTGAATTACACCCCCCCCCCCCCATCACCCCCCTCACCCCATCAGCACCACCACTACGCCAGGATCAGCCGCTCCGCAGACCACGTGATGCTCTAACAGCTTATTTTAGAAAATAGAAACGAAAAAAAAAGGGGAAAAGTTGCTCTGTTTGTGTCTCAACGTCTCAGGACCAACTGGATCCCCTTTGAAGTCTGTGGGCGACACACCCACCTCTAATTATGCAACAGCCGACAGATGCACACTGAGACACACACACACACACACACACACACACAGTCGGTGCTGCCATCGTCACACCGTCTCTTGCAAACACCACCCCGGCTCGCCCACACCAACTGAAACTAAACGTGTAGTCTGGTGGATGGTCTTCGCCTGTCCTCCGGCGTGGACATTTGTGGAGACGTCGCGCCCTTGGACCCTCGGACCAGAAGCCGCTCCAATGCTTTTTACCAGTGCAAAGGGGTCGTGGGGGGGCTTGACTCCACGGGGGATGGACTCGACGGTTGGAGCGCCCCCCCCCCCCCCCTAACTATTTCTCTGCCTATTACATTGAGTCGTTTAGTCAGTTCTGACAATCCTTGGCAGTTCCAGTTCGTCCTGTCGGCCCCCAGTGTCCCTGCACCGGGGGGGGGGACCACAACTCTTTGGTCACGTTCTTCCTCCGGGGGCCTCACGTGCACTCAGCCGGCAGCCCTGGTAGTGACTCTGCCGGCCAGCTGATCCCCCCCCCGGAGCCATTTCCTCAACCCAGCGGCGGCTGCGACCAACCCGCCTCATCGATTGTGTGTGGCGGTTTCCTTTGGTTGGTGTTGACGTTGTACAACAGTGTCTCGCTGCTTGTGTGCACACGTTTTTGTTTGTGCGTGTGTGCAGAGGCCCGGGGGCTCATGCTGCTTACCACCATTTGCAATTCAAAACGAGCGATGAGGCATCCAGCGAGGCCGAATCCGCCCCCCCAACCCCTCCCCCCATTGGAGACGAGTCATCGCTCGCGAGTTAACTCGGCCTTTTTTCTTCCGGACTCCTCTGTGGGGAAAAAGAGATCAGTTCCGTGGCCGCGGTGCATGAAGTGAGTGGGGGGGGGGGGGCACTTTACCTGAGTCATGGTTTATGCTGTAGCTCCTCGCACATGGAGCCACAGCAGGAATGTGTGGGGGGCACCCCGGTGTTTTTTTTGGGGAAAAGGGGGGGGGGGGGGGGGGGGGTTGGGCTTTTCATTGCTTTTGGCCCAGCTGGCTGCTCATTGGCTCGCCACGTTTTCTGTACACACACACACACACACACAGTGATTATTCGGACGGACCCGCCTGGGGTCAGGGTCAAGGGCCCAAAGTGCGTGGGGACCGACGGGCCTCCAACCAGCAAAACGTCCCCTACAGACTTGAAACGACCACAAAGATGCACACGGCTGCAGAGGGACACGAGGGGGCCGAAAGATCTGCAAAGAGATTTAGACACAAAGCAACTGCACGGCGTCACAACGCGATGATAAAAGAGCCTTTTGAATGCGTCAGCCTCCAATTTCAACCCTCTCATATTATTATTATTTATGACACATTGTGTCATTGGCTCTCCATGATGTTGTTTTTAAGTATAATGGAATGCAGCATCATTCAAGTTCCGGACCCAACCTCAGGGGGCCGAGGTCGACACAGTCGAGTATCTCCACATAACGCATCACCCCGACATCCAACTCTGTGAATTAGGCTTTTATTTTGACCAAATCTGAATTTCTTATTGTTGTTACAGTTGAAGGACCACAGAAGAGGTTTTATTTAGTGTTTAGTCTTACTGCTGCAGTCGCTTTGACAGAAGCATATTGATTTGAATGTTTCCGACAGATTAAAATAATTACCCAAATCCTTGTCGATTTTGGCACCGAGGGGAAAGGCGTCTGTAACCTTTTCCCGTGAAAGGAAAAAGCCGGATGTCAGTGGGTTCTCATTGTCCACGGGGAACCATACACATGGGTGATAATAAAAAGTCAAGGCTTAAATGCGCTGACCTTTAGTCGCCGGTACTTCTCCATAGCATTTTTCAAACCATCCCGGTCTAAATGCCAATCACCACACAAACCGTGTTTACACAGCGTGCGCCGACATCGATGCCCGATGACTGACGAGCAACACTGTGTCACTGAGTGATCTGCAGCTCGCCGTTCGTTCCCCTGTCATAAGGGCTTTTTACTTACTTCAGCTTTGGAATAATCAAAAGAAGTGACATTACGGCGGCTGAAGGCTGGATTCAGCTCCTGACCCCTCAGACCTGAACATGGAAGGCTCCTTTTGGGCTCCACGGTTCCTCCGCAGCACCGTGGCTGTGCGTCTGCTCGTGGGCTTCATAGTTTTCACGATGTGTTGCCTTCCTCAGGTTGCGTCATCCTGTCTGGCTGAGCAAAGAGGGGCTCTTTCATGCCACGAGGCAGCTCCTTCTCCCGATGCTCCTTCCCCACCTTCAGCTCCTCCGATGGGAAGCGTTACTTTGTCCTTCTGAAGGGGAGGCAGGGAGCTTTACAGCGGCTCAGCTTGCCTTAGCCTGATGATTACAGTGAGTCAGCAGTTTCCCCCCCCCCTCCCTCCCTCCCTCCCCCGTCTTTCGCATACCTCACTCGTCTCCCTCGCCCCCTCTCGACCGCAGCCTCCTTTGAACAAATCCCCATTGCCTCTAAAGGATGAGACTCGTTGTGTTGTTTTGTGGCTTCGGTCTGATTCTCTCTTTTCTGGCCTCCCCACAGTTACACGTATCAGCCAAAGTCAACAAGGAAGGAGAACAGTTGTCACTTCTTTTTTAGGGCCGTTTATTCCGCCGTCCTCTTTGTCTGTCGAGGAAAACTTTAGCTTCTCCAGCTTCGTTGGCTCCTTCCCACAAAACGAGCCAGCGGCCATTGTTTTCTTCGGGGGCCACTTTGCACTTGGCAATCATACATTTCCGCCTTTTGCAGTCGTGGAGGAAAGCTAATTGCGCCGCGGAGCCGTCCATCTCTCCCCGATGATTAGAGGGCGTGATCGCCTCACGCGGCGCAGAGAGCGGGCGAACGGTGGAGGAGCGGCGTGCGCAGGAGGTCGCTTGTAGTGCAAAGTATTTGTAAATGCATAAAAGGAGCCCTAAAAAGAGGATTAGAGAGGGATTAAAGTCCCCCCCCCCCCACAAACTCACAATCGGGCCATGCATGCGGCTGCTGCTGAGGGAAATTGAGTTGATTTGCACACATGAGGCTGCAGGTGTTACGGTTCGCCCTCTGAGGACGACGTTCCCGTGGTAACGGGACTGTGATTAAAAATACATTCTGGTCAACAAGATCCGCTGCTCCGCTGAGGAAGTCGGGTGAACTTTGACCTCTGGCGTACGCCTTCGGCCGCTAATGGTAAAGGCGGTTCTGCACCGAAACGGCCAGGTGAGCAGGTGGGTGGAGCCTGCAGGTAGACTCTGTGTCAGCTCGCTTCTCTGCAGGAGCACCGCCTGTGGCTCCTAAACCGGTCCGACAGGTTGGAGGGCAGATCCAGGCAGAGCTCGCTGAGGACGAGCGCCCTGTGTTTCCCAGCCCAGGGAAGTATCGGCTGTACACAATGCGCACACACACGCTTATTGTTAACCTGTTCCTGCCTTTTTCTGGCTTCTGCTCCCAAAGTGGCACGATAACATGTGTAACTATTTGGAACTAAAAGTCCTTAAAGTCAGAATAATACGCGGCAGGAAAAAATACGATGAACAAACGTAGCTTGTACCCTCTCTCCCTCTACACGCAGCATCGCACGGCTTCAAAACTAGTAAAAAAGCACACCTATTGGACGTATCAGCCCGTAACAGGCAGTGCTACGATCCTGTGATATGATGAACAATATGAACCCCAAACTCAAACGCAAATGGATAAATTGCTGGATCGCTTTTCAGGATTGCAGGTGATTTAATTTGGGCCAATCGACTAATCCATTAAGCAGCAGTTACAGTAGATATGAGGTGGAACATTAGATGGATTGAAAAGGCTCGTTGTCTGTCTTGCGTTGTGGATATTTGGCACAGAGTCAAGATGGCGACAGGAACAGTTCTTTCTATTGGGTTTCTATGCAACAATAAGAAAGAGTAGAAAGAGTAGTATTTCTCCAGAAACGTCCCCCAATACTACACCATGATGACTATATCCAAAATAAAATGTGAGAAACATTATGAATCCAATGCAAAGCATTGTGGGTAATGTAAAGTACACACATTTAAAGGCTGCTACGTCCCTCTTCATCAGCATGCGTTTTCAAGTGTGAAAGTATTCCTTTTCCTTTTTTCCCCCCATCTGTTCTGACCTGCAATCGTCTGCGCGGCGGATGTGTGAGGATGGACGTTATAATCATGCAGTATGCCACGATTTAATGCACGCCGCATTTTCAACGCCGTCTGCAGCGCGTACTGGGAGTAAAAAAGCAAAGGTGTGGGATGTGGATCACCGTCTTTTGACTTCTTTATAATCAAATCGACTGTCTCTCCGCAGAGGGTTCAAAAGTAAGAGTGCGCTGTCTTTTAATTCTTCTTCTTTGTCCTTTTTGAAGGCATTTATATCAAAAAGTAATACGTTTCATTCTCTAATCCTTGTGGACGTCCTCGCCTGCACTGATACGGGCCGACCGCTGTGCATGGAGTAGAGAGGGAGCGCCGGGGGCCGCAGGGTTGGTGGTTCGAGCCCCGGCTGCTCCGGG